AATCGAAGTATATATTTTCGACGTTCCAGCATGATTTTCAAGCATGGTCCAAATACGTGAATAATAGAAATTTAGAAAATTAATAAATAATATGGAGTTCATAAGACTAATCTCGCTTTGGTTTTTTTTTATAGTTGAGTATCAAGTCTGTATACCCTTTTGATAAATATTCGTATACCACTTTATATAAATATATATATATTATATATAAAACAAAATGGAAAAAAAGAAACAACTCTTTACGTAGTAAATTCCTTTATATTATATAATCTCGTTATATTCGTTACAACTTTTTAAAAACATTTTAAACATTTTGAAATGAATGAATATAAACTTTCCTTAAATTTTCTTTTATTATTTGTGCTTAATACAATTTTTCTAACGATACTATTAGTTATTGAAAAATAATTAAATTAATTAAATAATTTTAATTTGTTAATTAAAATTTTAAAAACAATTTTATTATTCGTATTATTTTTATTTTCATACAGTTTTTCTATAATCAAAATTGAGACAAAAAACGAATCAAAAGTTGTAAACTTTTGATTTGTTTTTTGTCAATTTAATGTTATTAGAAAAATTGTGAATATTGTTATTAGGGAGCGTTCACAAAAAATGTCAAAAGCACTTTTTTAAGATTTTTCAAAATCCCCCCTCCCCTACACTTGTCATGCAATTTTACAGACTTTTACATAAGAAAAATTGTGTCATCTTTAGTAGAACCCCCCCCCCCCCTTCCACCACCCAAAATGTGACATAAATTTTGAACGTTCCTTCATTTTTTATTATTTTTTTGTTTCTATTTTTATTGTTGTTGCTATCTTTATTTTTTTATAATTTTTATAAAAATTATTTTTATTATTATTATTATTAATATTAAATTTGAATTTTATTATTAATTTGAAAAGTTGAAAGTAAACATATTTTCGGAGTGACAAATTGGGACGATGTAATTTTTGAGAAATTTTGTTTTCTTATTGCGAAAATTTTAAACAAATTTTAAGCAAAATTATAGAAAAGTATGGGAAATTATTATTGAATAATAATTTGAATAAATGAAAAATTGAATAAAAAGAAAATAAAAAGAAAAAAAGAAGAAAAGAAATCAGGGAGATGGTGTGAATGAATGAAAGTTATATTATACAAAAAATGTTGAGATATAAATGAAAGAAAAAAGTGAAATATATAGGTACCACGACGCTCTTCATTGATTTGTATTCGTGTAATTTTGAAAGAATTATTATTATTATAATTATTATTATTATAAATTATTATTAATACCGTAACTGTTATATATCTCTATATACGTTGCGCGATTTCCCCGATGAGCGTTAACACACGGGGTGACAGGTTAAAGAGAAACTGATATTCCAAAAGTAGGAAGTATATTGTACATTGACTATTGATACATAATAATTAATATATAATAAATTATATACAAAGTCACGCTGAAGAAATTATAACTGATTTCGTTTTTGTTTCGTTAACATTTTTAATTTATTCGATTTTATTCGTTTTAATTTTTTTTTAAGTTTAGTTTATAGGAGAGGGAACAGTGAAATTTCAAAACCAAGTAAATTTTTGGAAAATATACTTTGATAAATTAGGAAATTATTAATTACTTAATATTTTTTCAATAGAAATCGAAATTTTCGAAAAATTAAAATTTGAACTTTTTTCGAGATATTAAATATCAATTTGTTTATATTTTCGTTGGAGATTAGTTATTTTTTAGTGAATATATAGAAAGTTTAAGAAAAATCGAATAAATTTCATAGAGAACATTTTTTTTATTTCCTAGAATTATTGGAGAAAAATGTCTTTCAAAAGTTTTCGGCTTTTGAAGAAGTTAAATTAAAAAAAATCAAAACTTCTATAATTTTCATTTAATAATAAAATAAAAAAATACGTGTTTTCTTATTTTTTACATGAAATTTGAAAAAAAATTGTTCCAAATATAAAGAAATTTTTAATGAAAATTTCACCTGGAATGACCCACTTGACTATTTAGACTTTTCAGTTATTTTCAAAAAATAAGACTTTTTCGACTTTTCCTCCAAATATTGCAATAAAATACTATTTTTTTGGTATAAAGTGTAACTTATTTGGATTTTTATAGTGTGAAAAATAACTGATTAAATCTTTCGAAAACTTATTTTTAATAATTATTTTAAGATAATTAAATTTTTGAAATATACCTATAATAAAAAATTTTCAAATAATTAAAGTTTTGTCAAATTTTAATGAAAATAATTAAAATTGGAATTTTTTAATTTTATAAATAATATAGTAAGAAGTTTTTAAATAATTGAAATTTTGTAAAATTTTATTGAAAATAATTGAAATTCGAATTTTTGAATATTATAAATAATGTAAGTAAGAAGTTTTTAAATAATTGAAATTTTCTAAAATTTTATTGAAAATAATTGAAATTTAAATTTTTGAATATTATAAATAATATAAGTAAAAAATTTTTAAATAATTCAAAATTTTGTAAAATTCATTGAAAATAATTGAAAATGAAAATTTTGAAGATTAATATTCGAAGAATTTTGGTAGCAAATTCTGAAAATAATTGAATTCTTGACATAATTGAAAATCCTCAAATAAAAATTTTGATAATGAAAATTAATAAAAATTAGTTAAAAAAAATTGTTTTGAAATATTTTTTTGAAATGTAATTCTTACAATTTTTTTCATCATAATTTTTATAAATTTAATCGATTTCAATATTTTCCACTATATATTTACGAACATTCAATTATCTACAAAAAATAATTACATTAACATAGTTTTGGTAAAATTAAATTTTTTAGAATTATAAAATTATTTGGAGAAAGCAGTTATTTATAAAATTTTCAATTAAAATTCTTGAAATTAAACTGAAAAAGAATCTAATGTTTTAGAATTACCTAAAAAAATTTTGAGAAATCATAATCATGTTAAAGATTTCGAATTAAAATTCTTCAAAATTTTATTGTATTTTTGAAAGAGACGAAATAAATTCTTTTAAAAAATTCAATTTCTTTCGAAAAATTGTATTAAAATATTTTAAAAAACGAATATTGATTGACTTAAATTTTGTTGGTGTCATATTAAAAAAAAATCAACTTCTTCCACAGTTTTTATTATTTTTCACAGCCGAATTTTTTGTAGGATTTTTTAAAAGATTTTGAACAATCAATCGTATTTTGAAAAATTTTAATTTTTTTCAAAATATAAAATTTTGAAAAAGGTCAAAAATGTATTTTTTAATTTTTGATAATAATAGATCCTAAATAATAATGCAAGAAAAAATATTGTCGAACCTTAACAAAATTTAAAATATCGAAAATTTGAAATTTCACCGATCCCTCCAACATTATCATATAATTAACAAATTTTTTTAATAAAAACATTTTCTTTGAATTATTAATAATTAATTATCAATTAGTAATTAGTAATTTTTAAATTATCAATTACTTTACAACATTTTTGTTGTATTTTCCTAGAGTAATTTTTATTTTCTGATGCGCATTTTCTTCTTAGTCGTCATTTTCTATATTAGTTGGACTTCTATTTTATTTGCAAAACTGATGAATTTCCCCGGAAATGAGAAATATTTTTAATTTTTCTTTAATTCAAATTCTTGGAGTTATAGTTTTTCGTTTTACTGTAAATCTTCTTTATTCAGCTCTTGAACAGTATCCTCGCTTACGTCTGAGTTGTTGATTTAATCTCTCGTGCGTATATTTTTCTTTGTTTTCCATTTCGTATATTTTTTTATCGCACTCCTGGAATTGTTGATCGACTGGATGACAATAAAACCATGTGTGAGTAATCCCCAACGAATCCTAATTATTGTGAAAAAAAAAATTTTTTTTTTCTCCTCTTAACAAAAAATTGTATTCTGTAATATGTGCTGTTTTTTTCATTTCGAGTCTGGATTGAAAATTTTTCAATTTCTCTTAAAAAATTGAAAATTTTTTTACTGTTTTGTAAAATGATGTGATTATTGTTCATTTTGTGGAAAATTGTTATTTGGAGAATATTTGATTCATTTTATTGTCTTCTATATTAATGATTAATTAATTCCGTTTATTCAGAGTATCGTCAATTTCCAGACTCGGTTTTCTATTATTTTTGGAATAGGTTCCAGAATTAGTTTTTCTTTTTCTCTTTTCTATTTCAATTTTTTCGTCTTTACTGAATTTAGACGATGATTTCAAAGTAGCAAAGTCGTATTTAGTATCACTTAACCAATTTTTAGTATCAATTTTATTGTGAGCACGATTATTAGATTTGAATTAATGATGAGACCCGTACTATTATTTGCATGCATTAATTTCAATGTGCATTTGAGTAAAAAAAATATTTTTGGTACATATTTTAGGTTGCTTACAATTAGCTAAATTATTTAGAAAATTGAAGTTGCATAACGTTCTTGAATTAATTGAATACAAATTTTTCCTTTGGGAAAATTATGATTATTGACATTTAAATTTTTAAAAAATATTTCTGTTCGAATGAACGAAATTAATTTCTCTTTCAAATTCGAATCTTCATTTAAAAATCATTCATCAAGTATTAAAAAACAATTTATAAAATTTCAGAATTTAATTTACTTTTTATTTGTATTCTTATTTTTTTTTATTAAAAAAATATTTCAACTTTTATTTAAAGCATCAGAGTTTTTTTTTAAAATAAATACTTGAAAAACTTTCGTCATAGAAAATTGAAAATTTTGCTAGTACCATTTTAAAATTCTATCCATTAACTTGAGTGATTTTACATTTTGCTAATTTAATTTACTGCTTTTATGAAGCTAATTACATGTGAAATTAGTACTTGAGAAATTAATTAACAGAAGATAATTGCACTTTAGCATGAAGCCCTTCAGCCTGATTCCCATTTATTATTATGTCTTAAACGGGTTCTTAAATTTTCTTATTGTTATTATATTAATTAATTGAAAGACTCGTTAACTAATAATTTTACTGTTTATAGATTCGAAAACGGAGATGGATGATGATGATGATGAATCACCAAAAAATCAAAATAACAACTCCGTATTCACGAATGCTAAATCTCCAGAGAAACGAACTAATGGAGTACCGGAATTTAGTAATAATAGTATGGTCAATACTCCTGATCTGAGTCCATTGAAAACATTGAAAAATGAAGACGCCGAAGATGCTGAAGTTCGTAAAATCAAGGTAATATCGAAAATTATTTATCACTGTGTAAAAAATCTTTAATATTTTATGTCTTTTATTAATTAATTGTTATTTATATTAATTACTATTTAGCTGCTATTTTTTAAAAAAAAGTTTCTATTCACATTGATTCGTTTAAAAATTCCACTAATGGTACTATTTTTCTATCCGAGATTCTAAATATTAATTTATTTATTCTTTCGTTGCAGATACGTTATTTTCTGTTGAGTATAGAAAAAGCTTAAGAAAAATCTAATAAATTTCGTAAAAGACATTTTTTTTATTTCCTAGAAGTATTAGAGAAAAACGTCTTTCAAAAGACTTCGGCTTCTGAAGAAGTTGAACTTAAAAAATTCACAACTTTCATAATTTTCATTCAATAACAAAATAAAAAAATACGTGTTTTCTTATTTTTTACATGAAATTCGAAAAAAATTGTTCCAAACGAAAAGAAATTTTTAATGAAAATTTCACCTGGAATGCTCCACAAGACTTTTTCCACTTTTTTAAAACTATTTTCAGAAAAGTCAAATTTTTCCATTTATTTTCAAAACTTTTTCGATTTTTCCTCCAAATATTGCAATAAAATACCAATTTTTAAGTATGAAATGCAACTTATTTCGATTTTTATAGTGTGAAAAATAACTAAATAACTGGAAATTTAAATTTTTTAATTTTAAAATATATAATTAAAAAGGTATTAAATAACTGAATTTTTGTCAAAAATTCACCACTTCTATAATTTTTTTCTATTAACAGAATAAAAAAAACGTGTTTTCTTATGTTTCACATGAAATTAAACAAGAATTGTTGCAAACAAAAAGAAATTTTTAATGAAATTTTCAACTGGAATGACCTATATGACTTTTTGTTCTTTTTTCAACTATTTTCAAAAAAGTCAAATTTTTATTTTCGATTTATTTTTAAAAAATACGACTGTTTTGAGAATTTTTTCAAATATTGCAATAAAATATCAATTTTTAAATATAAAATGCAACTTATTTCGCTTTTTACAGTGTAAAAAATAACTAGTCAAATCTTTCAAAAATTTATTTTTTATAAATATTTTAAGGAAATTAAATGTTTGAAATATATAATTAAGAAGCTTTTAAATAATAAATTGAATTTTTGTCAAACTTTATTGAAAATAATTCATATTTTTAATAAATTTCATTCAACTTTTTAAAAATCAAATTTTGATAAATTTTAATTGCAAATTTTGAAAATAATTGAATTTTAAAAAAATGTTTAATGAAAAATCATCAAATAAAAATTTGATAATAAAAATTAGTTTAAAAAAATATATTAGTTTTTGTAAAATTCTATTCTTAATTTTTTTTCTTAATTTTGGAAAAAACAATCATTTTTGAAATTTTTAATTAAAATTCTTGAAAAAATAGATTTGTTTTTTATTGGTATTAAACGTGAAGGGACTTTTTTGCGCCTTGAAGTTGATTCGAGGCCTGCAGTTACTAATAATTAATTAATATATATTAATTACTACTAATTAACTAAAACTATTTGAACTTAAATTATTTTTTAATATTCTTTCTAGAAATGGCCAATTGACAAAGCTTATTTTATTGCTAAGGAGCTTCTCATGACAGAAAGAACATACAAAAAGGATTTAGATGTTATTAATGTGGTAAGTTTTATAATAAAAATCACGATTGTTATTGTATATCTTTTTATTAATTTTTTTTATTTTTATTTTTATTTATTTTTTTTTATTTTTATTTATTTATTTACACATTTACTAATTAATTTTTTTATAGATTCAAAAATATATTTATATATTTATAATTTTATATATAAATTATTTATTTATTATAACTAATTAATAACTATATTTGTTTAGTGGTTCCGCGAGGAATTGACGAAAGAAACAGACACAGAGGGCGATTCAATGGTGACACTATTGGAATTTCTTGCCGACGCACATGGTCCTTGTCTTCAGGAGATGGAGGCACGTCTAACACGTTGGGAAAGTAATGCGAGGCATAATATTGGAGATTTTCTCTACAATACTTTATTGAATATCCTTCCACTTTACGATCAATATTTGGAAAATTTGATGCCTGTTCTGGAGAAAATGGAGTATTCAATGAGAACATCCAAACAATTTGATCAACTGTGCAGAGACTTTGAATCTCAGAAACATTGCTATCTACCATTAAGCTCCTTCCTCTTAAAACCGCTTCAGCGATTATTCCATTACAACAGTATTATTGATAGTAGGTTTCGTGATTTATTTATTATAACTACATTCGATAATTGGAAGTGTTTATAATTATATCAATATTTCAACTAATTTTTAATAATTAATTCAGTAGTTCAATTAATTTTTAATAATTCATTCAATAGTTCAATCAATATCAACTATTTAGTTCATTATCTATTAAGATCATTAAGTCTATTGTCAAATTGATTTAATTATTTAATTTTTACTTCCAGGGTTACTAGATCATTATCCAAAAGATCACACTGATTTCGAAGACTGTTTAGCTGCCAGAGATAGACTCGGCGAAACATTATTGGAGGCTTTCACTATTTTACATCAAGCGGTAATTTTAATTAATTTTTTCTTAAATTAATTTTCTTTTAACCATTGTCAATATTTTTTTTATTTATACAGAAGATTAAATTCTTTGTTGCAGGAGAATCTTGTTCAACTCTGCGAATTACAAAGAGATATAAGCGGTTTTGACAATCTAGTCCAGGGGGATCGGAAATTTATTAGACAAGGTTGCTTACAGAAATACAGTCGCAAGGGATTTCAACAATGGATGTTCTTTTTGGTAAGATTCGATTTCTTAATCTCTTCTCTTTTTCTCTCCATTGCAGGCTCCGCACGAAATCTACTAAAACCTACTGCAATTTACTACTTCTTTTTAAAACTTGCTACTATTTGGATGTTTTTTTTAGATTCGTGATACAAATTTTTACTTTTTTTGGGGAAATTTGCATCATTTTAAATTCGCTAATAGTTGAAATAAAAAAAATTCTCAAAAATTGTACTAAAATTCTTTGAAACGATTTAATTATTTGAACAACTTTTCTCAAATCAATTATTATCAATATCTACAATTTTCTAAAAATTCCACAAAGCAATTTTAATAAAGTTCTTTGCAAATATTAAATTATTTTCATAAGTAATACAATTTTTATAGGAATTCAATTTTTTCACAATCAATTAAAATTTTTCACGAAAATTCAATTATTTAAAACAATTTCAATAAAATTCTTCACAAGAATTCAATTATTTTTATTAATAATAAAATTTTTCACGAGAATTCAATTACATATTTAAAAATAAATTGGAAAAATACTCTTCTCAAGAATCCAATTATTTTCATAAATAAGAAAATGCTTCTCAGCAATTCAATTACTTTTAAAAACATTCATAAAATTCATCACAAGAATTCAATTATTTTGCCAAATAATAAAATTTTTTTACAAAAATTCCATTATTTTTATAAATAATAAAAAGCTTCTCAGAAAATTCAATTACTTTAAACAATTTTTATAAAATTCTTCGCAAGAATTCAATTATTTTTCCAATTAATAAAAATTTTCACAAGAATTCTATTATTTTCCAAGAACAATAATATTTTTCACGAGAATTCAATTATTTAAAAAAAAATTGAATAAAACTCTTCACAAGAATTTAATTATTTTCATAAATTAGAAAATGCTTCTCAGGAATTCAATTACTGTTAAAAATGTTCATAAAATTCTTCTCAAGAATTCAATTATATTTCCAAATAATAAAATTTTTTACAAAAATTGAATAAAATTCATCTCAGAAATTAAATTGTTTTTTAAAAAATTAAGAAATTGTTTATAAGAATTAATTCTTAAGAAGTATTCAAATATGCAATATAATATTTATTTTTGTATTTAAATAATTGAATTATTCTAGTTGAACTTTTTAACCCCTTAACAGTCCATGGCCCATATATGGCCACGAAAAGTCGTGCCACCTTCGCGTCTGTGGCCATATATGGCCATCTCAAAAAAAAAATACTAAACATGATTTGATTTTAGTAGCGAAGTACATACTACTGTTTTTGGGGTCGCTGAATCCGAATCTGAAGTCAGATTTAAAAAATTCAAAATGGCGGACTCAAAATGTCGACTTCAAAAAATAAAAAAATTTCAAATTCGCTTTAAACTCGTTACTTGGGGGGTTTTCGGGGTCTCTGATTACAAATATCAGGTCAGATTTTCAAAATTCAAAATGGCGGATCCAATATGGCGGATAATTTCAAGATTGATGCGATTGGATTAAAATTCGTTTCTCAGGGGTTTTTGGGGTCGCTGAATTTGAATTTGATGTTCGTTTTACAAAATTCAAAATGTTAGATCCAATATGGCGGATAGTTTCAAAATTTATGCGTTTCGATCGAAATTCGGTTCCCGGGGTTTTTTGGGGTCACTGTATTCGAATTTGATGTTCGTTTTTCTAAATGCTAAATTGTGGATTCAATATGTCGATCAAATTTTTTGAATGTTGACAAATTTGTCTAAAATGTTTACTCAGGGGTTTTTGAGGTAACTTCATATTTTTTTCGCATCAATCTTGAAATCATCCGCCATATTGGATCCGCCATTTTGAATTTTGAAAATATGACATCATATTTGTAATCAGAGACCCCGAAAACCCCCGAGTAACGAGTTTTAAGAACATCTGAAAAAAAATTTTTTTTTGAAATCGCCATTTTGGGTCCGCCATTTTGAATTTTTTAAATCTGACTTCAGATTTGGATTCAGCGACCTCGAAAACCCCCGAGAAATGAATTTCCCTTAAAACTCTTTAATTTTAAAATTATCCACCATATTTGGTCGCCATATTGGATCCGCCATTTTGAATTTTCAAAAACTAACCTCAAATTCGAATTCAGCGACCCCAAAAACCTTATATATGATGAAATCATATTTTTTTGTAAACTTTTTTTTCGGACCGTTTTTGGACCACAAGCGATTTTCAACTAGACTGCGAAGGGGTTAATAAGAATTGATTTTAAAACGAATTTCAGTTGAAATTTTATATAATTAAATATTAAAAGCGTTATAGTATGAATTTTTAGAAAATGATTAATTAAATTTCAAAATTATAATTGAAATCGTTGAAAATTGTAATTGTTGGAAAACTGTAATAACATTTAAATTATTCCTGAAAAAATGGTTAGTTTATTATTTTCTTAACTCTTGTAATTAATTCAAATTAAATTTTATGTATTAAGAATTTTATTTGTTTAATTTTATTGAATTTTTCAAAAATTTAGAATTGAAAAATTCTGAAGTTTTTAGTAGAATTAGAATAAAAGTAAATATTTTTGATGGAAATCAGAAAAAAGTCAGGGAAATACTGAATCAAATTTTTGTGTATTGACTAAGACGAGTTTTGTTAGTTGTGAAATTTATTTTTTCGATGATAGCTACTTTTTTACTACTTTGTTTAGTGTTAGAGCTAATTTTTGATACTTTTTTAAAATTAATTATCGAGTGCGTAGCCTGCTATTGAAATTAATGTCCCAATTTTTTTTTACTACTCTTGACTGAAATTTATGATTTTATGATTTCTGAATTTATGATTTCTAGTTTTCCGACGTACTACTATACACATCAAGAACACAACAGCCTTCTCAATGTTTTCGAGTACACGGTCAACTTCCCTTAAAAGGAATGTCGATTCAAGAAAGCGATAACAAAACGATAGCAGAGAATGTTTTCGTTATTTTGGGCCAAGGCAATCAGTACGTAATTCCTCCTATTCATATTTTTTAAAAATAAAATTATTAGAAAATTAAAAAATGGAATTAAAATTATTGGTCGTTTGTTTTTATCGTTTTGCTTAGTTACCTCACGGTCGCCGCAAATAATGAGGAAGAAAAGGAACGTTGGCTGGAAGATTTAAATAATACTATTGCAATGGCAAATACAACCGAGACTAAATCTCCCTATTCGAATCTTCAAACATGCAGTAAGTAATTATTTTTTTATTATAACGAAAAGAAAAAATATTATTTCTGTTATCTATATTTTTGAAAATTTTATTATTCAAATGGAAATAAAAGTATTTGGCTCAGCGGATGAAGTAGGAGATGGAATTGAAATCGATAGAACGAGTTGCGGTGGAGCTAAAGCATCACAAAGAAGTAATACAACCGTTCATGTATGCTGGCATCGAAATACGAGTATCAGTTATAGCGACCAACTTCGAGCATTTGAGGTATTCTATATGAATTTTTTATTATTTCACTCCAAGGAAAATATTATTTTGCTTTTTTACGAGAGAGAGAAGATATTTAAATGTTTTATTTTCTTTTTTGCAAAAATTTTAGAATCAACTCAGTGGATTTCTTTTGAGAAAATTTAAAAACAGCAACGGTTGGCAGAGGCTTTGGGTTGTTTTCACAAACTTTTGTTTATTTTTCTACAAGTCGCACAGAGATAATTTTCCACTTGCGTGTCTCCCATTGCTGGGATATACTGTCACTACTCCGTCGGAGAAGGATGCAATCAATAAAGATTTTGTCTTTAAATTGCAATTCAAAAGTCATGTTTATTTCTTTAGAGCTGAAAGTGACTATACTTTTGGAAGGTAAGAGATTAATTGAACTTTTTTCAACTTGTGGGGAAAATTAGTGATTTTGCGAGTGTGAAGTTTGTTGCTCTCGCTATGCTCGAGCAACAAACTTCACACTCGCAAAATCACTCATTTTTCCCACGATAAGACGTTGGAGAAAATATTTTTTTTTTCGAATCATTTGTCTTTTTTCTATTTTGATTTAAAAAATTGAGCAATTTTACATGAAACGACCAAGTAAAAATTTTAATTTTCGATCCTCTAGAGATTTAATATTCGTTTATTTATATTTTCGTTGCAGATACGTTATTTTTTAGTGAATATATAGAAAGTACAAGAAAAATCGAATAAATTTCATAAAGAACATTTTTTTTATCTTCTAGAAATATTAGAGAAAAACGTTTTTCAAAAGTCTTCGGCTCCTGTAGAAGTTGAAATTAAAAAAGTCACAACTTCCATAATTTTCATTCAAAAACAAAATAAAAAAAATACGTATTTTCTTATTTTTCCCATGAAATTCGAAAAAATTGTCTCAAAGAAAAATAACTTTTTAATGAAAATTTCACCTGGAATGCCCCACGTGACTTTTTGGACTTTTTTCCAACTATTTTAAAAAAAAGTCCAATGTTTGCGATTTATTTTTAAAAAATGCAACTTTTTTTGGCAATTTTTCCAAATATTGCAATAAAAATACCTACCAATTTTTAAGTATGAAATGCAACTTATTTTGACTTTTGTAGTGTGAAAAATAACAAGTCAAATCTTTCGAAAATTTATTTTTTAATAATTTTTTTAAAGTAATTAAATGTTTGAAATATAGAATTAAAAAGTTTTTGAATAATTGAATTTTTAGCTGATTTTATTGGAAATAATTCATTTTCTTTATGTATTTCATTAAAATTTTTGTGAATTTTAATTGCAAATTTTGAAAATAATTGAATTCATGAAAAATTTTAATAAAAAATCTTTAAAGAAAAATTTAATAATGAAAATTAATAAAAATTAGTTTAAAAAAATTATATTGAAATATGTTTTAAAAATGCAATTCTCACAAGTTTTTTATAATAATTTTTGTAAATTTGATTGTTTATTGTTATCAAAAAAATTATTCTTGATTCATTTTTATAAGATAATTAAATTTTTGAAATATGTAATTAAAAAGTTTTCAAATAATTGAATTTTTGTCAAATTTTACTAGAAATAATTTATTTTTACTATGTTTTTTGTTAAACTTTTTGAACATCAAATTTTTAATGAATTTTCATTGCAAATTTTAAAAATGATTGAATTCTCGAAAAAATATAATGAAATATCTTCGAATAAAAATTTAATAATGAAAATTAATAAAAATTAGTTTAAAAAAATTAAATTAAAATATTCTTTAAAAATGCAATTTTTACAAGTTTTTTATCATAATTTTTGTAAATTCAATTGTTTCCAACCTTTTCAATTACATACATAATTTTTAGAAAAAACACATAATTTTTTAGAATTATTAAAATTTTTGACAAATCAATCAATTTTAAAATATTGAATTAAAATTCCTCAAAAATTGATTGAAATTGATTTTTAAATAGATTTAAATAGATTTTTAAAAATGTCGAAATATATTTTTTTAAAAATAATCAATTTCTTTCGAAAAATTATATTATATAATATTTTTTAAAAAACGCATTTATTAGTATTTTTTGTTTTTATTTTTAAAATTCCCTTATTTTCAGGAAAAGTAAATTAAACTTTTAAAAAATCTACTTTTTTAGATTTTATCATTAAAATTTTTCAGAAAAATAATGTATTTCTGTATTTGTAATTCTGAAGAAGTTGAATTTAAAAAAATCACAAATTCCATAATTTTTATCAAATAAGAAAATAAAAAATATTCTCGTTTTCTTATTTTTCACATGAAATTCGAAAATAATTGTTCCTTACAAATAGAAATTTTTAATGAAAATTTTACCTAAAATGCCCCAATTGACTTTTTTGATTTTTATAGTGTGAAAAATAAGTAGTCAAATCTTTCGAAAATTCGTTTTTGAATAATTTTTTTTAAGATAATTAAATTTTTGAAATATCTATCTAATTAGAAAGTATTTAAATAATTCATTTTTCTTCAAATTTTATTGAAAATAATTCATATTTGTAATAAATTTCATTCAAATTTTTGAAAATCAAATTGTGATAAATTTTAGTTGCAAATTTTGTAAATAATTTAATTCTTGAAAAAATTTAATGAAAAATCCTCAAATAATAATTTAATAATGAAAATAAATCAATATTAGTTTAAAAAAATGTATTAAAATATTTTTTAAATAAAAGTGATTTTTGGAATTTTTTTATTATAATTTTTTTTTGGAATTCAATAATTGTTTTCAATATTTTCCATTGTATATTTTCAAAAATTTAATTATCTAAAGAAATAATTATATATTAACATAGTTTTTTCTTATACGTAATTTAATTTTTTAGAATTATTTATTAAAATTTTGTGAAAAACAATTATTTTTGAAATGTTTGTTTGTTTTGTTAAAAAAATTGTTTTTTTTTTAGTGAACATTTATAATTTTTTTTATTTTATTGGTAAATAAATAATTTGTAAATATTGTGAATCTTTTTGTGGATTTTTAAATTCAAGAAATCTTTCTTCAAAAAAATATTTTTTAAATCCTCTTTTTTTCAAAAATAAGTAGATATTATTTTTCAATTTTCCTAAAAAAACTTCTTTTTAATTTTTATCATTTTAATTAAAAAGCAGATATTTTTACCATTAAACTATGTAATGTTTAAAAATGGGACAATGGATTCTCAAGAAAATAAAAAGAGTGTTTAAAAAGTTAATTTTTTCATTTCACAAAAATATATTTGTTGTTCTTCTTTAATTTTTACATCTTTTATTTGAAAAACTCTCAGCTTTCTAATAAAAATTTTTTAAAAATGAACAAAAAGGTAGTTTTTTGTAAAAATTGATTATAATTAATCAATAATTTGATTTGTTTCTAAAAAGAGATGATAAACATATTTTTTGTTTTTGGAAAAAGATTTTTAACATTGATAAATAATCAAAAAATGCTTTAAAATTTGTTGCGAAAAAATTAAAAGTCTTTAATTTTTATGTAGTTATTAATTATTTAATTTTAATATTAATTAGTTTATTTTAATTTTAATTATTTAATATTAATTAGTTTATTTTACTTTTAATTATTCCTTTTAATTGTAACTATTATTTTTTAACAAATTATTTAAATACAAAAATGTCTGTGAACGAATAATTTTTTCGACTAGATCACTTCACGTGGAATTGCTCTTTTCATTTTAATAAACCGAGGATTACTTAAAAAAAATAATAATCGAAATAATATTGAAAAATAAATTTAAATTTTTCAGATGGATGGAAGTAATAAAAAGTGCGACACAGCAGAGTCACATCTTGGCAAACGTGAATAGAAAAGAAGACTACTGAATTGATTATTATATTTCTACAATATGTATGCCAAAATTAAATGGACACACGTGTGAATGAAATTTATCACTTTGTGTTCATATATATATAAATATTAGAATTGTGAATTTGTTTTTTTCTTGTGAAAATGATTTACGTTGTTTCTTCATTGTAATTAAAGAAACAGGTGCAAGAATGATTGAAAGAAAGTATGTGTTTCGTTAAGGAATAATTGTAATAGTAAAGAATCAAATTTGCGGCCTTATAATGAACGAATTGAAATGCAACAAGAAGAGACAATTATTGATAGTAATTGATAAAATAATTTGTGTAACATGTATTTTATAATTTAGTTATCAATCATAGTGTTATTACTTTATATATGAATGATATCGTGTACGTCATTACAGACTGATTTGTATTTGGCTGTATACCCTTATAAAAGTTCGCATAGGTTTTTTTTTTTTAGAAATTGTAAATAGATTCAAAATCAACAATTATTTAGTGATAATAATGCAAAAGTTAGTAAAACGCACTAATGGACCAATTTTTGATATGCATGGTAAGTTATGTCTTGAGAAAGACAATAATTTTGTTAGATTTTTAAAAGTTACATATTTGTGGTTTAATATGAAATTTTAATGTGACAATTATTGAATTTTGATGTTTGTTAATTTTTGGAATTTTTGGGAAATTATTAATTCTCTTTTTTCGAAATTTTATTTGTTGAGAATATATCTAACAATCAAGACTGGAAAAAAAATTAATGTAAGATTTAAAAGAGAAAAGAAAATGTATTTTTTATTCTTGAGAGGTGTTGATAAATTATTTTTTTGTAATTATTCATTTATCTTTTTTTTTTTTTAAAAAAGAAGAATTATGTTGATATTTGTGAAAAGTCTTTTTTACGTATAAATTAAGTACTTTGTTGATAAATAATTGAATGTCTAATTTCATTTTTTTGTCATTTGAAAAATTAATCTATTAACTACTATAATTTGTGAAAACAAAAATTTGTAACACATTAAATAAAGTACACAACATGAAGAAAAATGTTTTTTTTTCAACCCCGCAAATAACTATTTTTTTCGTTAAAATTAATGTTAGAAAGATTTATAAATTTTTGAATTTTAAATTTTATTTCGAAATTATTAAAAAAAATATTATATATTTTTTCTTTTGATTTAAATATTTTAGTTATTCTTTTCTTGCAATACGTACATTAGTCTAATGTAGATAAAACTTCTAGTGGTTTGAAAAAACATAATTTTATAATACTTAAATTTTTTTCGAATACTTAAAAAAAATATACCAAGATAGCAAATAACAATTTGGCATTTTTTTCGAAAGTTTAAAAATTCGTTCGATTTATAAATTTTTATCAAATATGAAATATTTCATAAATTTGAATTATATATTAAAATATATTTATATAATATTTTGTCTACATAATTATTGTTTTAATTTTTTGTTTTTAATTTTTTAAACCTTAAAAATGGAGAAATAGTTTTTTATTATTTTTCAGTAGACCTTGAAAGAATACAAGTTTTTTTTAGAATAAATATCTAAATGATAGATGAATCTTCAAGTAGTACTTTCTATGAAATTTTTCCAAGCGAGAAATAAATTTAATTTTTCACATAAAAGTTTATTAAAATCATAAGAACATAAATTTTCATTTATATTAATTTATTTCAGTAATGGTATAAATTTATTTTCGAAGATGAATTTTTCTTCAAATTAAATAAAGCAGTAAAGAAATTTTTAATCTTTATTTCTAATGCACGTCATTTTCTATCTACAATAAAATTTTGTGACTATCAATATTTCAGAAGCACAGTATTTGAAAAATATTTTTAATTTAAAAAAATGTAATTTTTTTAAATATTTAGAAATTATTCTACATTGGAAAAATATTTATTTAATTGAAATAAATATAATTAAAATGAATAATTCAAAAAAATTACTTGTCGATTATTAAATAACTATTTAATTGAAACAAATAATTTTTACTTGAATCAAATAAATTGTATTTAAACCAATAAATTAAACCAATTAACCATTTAATTGATTGAAATAAAATTTTTTTTGATTCAAGAGAATTTTTATTTTATAATAGGAAAGTAATCAGTTATTTGAATCAAATAAGTTTTTTTCAGTGTTATAAACAATTGTTAATTGTCATAATTTCAGTAATGACATAATTTTTATTGTTAAATGAATTGTAAATTAAAATTATGGAAAAATGAATTATATTTTTCAAACTAATTTTAATTTGATTATTTTTTTATTATTTATTTAATTTGATTATTATTTTTAAAGCATTCTTAAAATTTTTTTATGTAATTATAGTTTCAAAATTTTTGAATCTTCAATTAAAGGAAATATTTTTTCCGTATAAATATTTACAAAAATTACTGATTGCAACGGTTTGTTAAACACTAATGAAAATTTTTGAATAAATCATCAAAGTTTTTTAACGTGAAAAAATAATTACAATTATGCGGTCTATGCTAAAAAATTATTTTTATTGAAAATATCGTTTTAAATTATATTATTTTTAGTTATAAATATTTTTTTAAATTACAATATTATTTATAGGTAGTTATAAATATTTTTTTTGCAGTTTAATTTTTGACGTCGAAGAACTTCAACAAAATTGATTAAAAAGTAAATTAGTATTTTCAGTAAATAAACAAGTATTAATTACTTCGAAAATAAAAATTTATTTTTTTGAACATTTTTCAGTAAACCTTGAAAAAATATAAATTTTTTTAGAGTATCTAAATGATAAATAAATTTTTTTAACGGTTTTTTCTATGTAATTTTTGTGAGAAAGAAATTTAATTTTTCACATAAAATTTATTCAAATCGTAAAGAAAGAAAAAAAACTTTTATTTGATCATTAATTTATTCTAATATATTTTGGAAAAATAATTTAGTTTCAAAATAAATAAAGCAGTAAATGAAACTTTTGTGAAACTTTTAATATTTATTTCCAATGCACGTCGTTTTCTATCTATAATAAAATTTTGTTACTAAATATTTCAGAACTGCAGTATTAGAAATGTAATATTTTTAATTTAAAAAAAAGTTATAATAGAAATAATTCTAAATAAAACATTCTCAATTATTCAATATAATAATAATAATAATAATAAAATAATTTTTTTAAAAACGTAATTCTTATTATTAAATTATCCATTATATTTTTTCAACTAATTTCAATTTTAATTGAAATTATTTTTAAAGTATTCTTAAAAGTTTATGATTCAAATTTTAAAAAAATTTATTTTTGAAACTTTAATGTTTCATTAAATGAATTATCTTTAAATTAAGATTTTATTTATTTATTTAAATTTCAATAATTTAAATAATTAATTTATAAAAATTAATTATCGTAATGAATATTAAACTCATATAGTTTGAAAAATTTCCGATCAACATAAATTTATATTTTCATTTTTTCTTTTCTACAATATTATAAAAAATAAAACACAGTTATTATTTTCGTTTTCAACCTTAAAAAAGTAATGATAAAATGTTTATAACTTTTCTGCTAACATTTTTTACTTTTTTTCTGATGTATTTTACATTGTCAAACAAATTTTTTACTGCAATAAATATTGTAAATTTTTTAAAATCTTTTTCGTGACTGACTTTCGTATAAATACAGCGCGACGTTAACGATTTTTTTCACATTTTTTTAGTAATATTTTCATACATTCTCTGCAATAGTTGCTAACAAAGAAACATGAAAATCACTTTCTATTCAATATGGCTGTTTATGTGTTTTACACATTTATTTCTTTATGGTAAGTTACTTTTATATTTTGTAAAATAAAAATTTACTCTAATTTTTACTTCGAAATTTACTATTTGCAAAATAAAAATTTACTTTAAATTTTACTTTGAAATTTTCATTTTGTAAAATTAAATTTACTTTAAACTTTACTTCAAAATGTGATTTTTTGTAAAATTAAATTTTCTATTAGTTTGGTTTTTTTTACTATTTATTTTATTTTTATTATTTATACACTTTTTTTTACTAATTTACTACTTGTAAAATAAAACATTAAAATTTTACCTCAAAATTTACCTTTTGTAAAATCAAACTTTACTTCGAACTTTACTTCAAATTTTACTTTAAAATTTACTTTTTTTAAAATAAAATTTACTGTAACTAGACTTAAAAATTTACTTTTTGAAAAATAAAATTTAATTTTTACAAACTAAAAATTAACTTTAAATTTTACTTCAAACTTTACTTTTTCTAAAATATTATGAATAACAATATAAAAACATGGAAAAAATGGATAAAGTAACTTTTACTATACTCGCAAAATAAAACTTATTAAGTGGAGGGACCCATTTAAATATTTATTGTTTGTGGGTAGTCAATTTTTTGTGCCAATTTTGAGTATTTGAAATTATAATATAAATTATAATTTATTATAAAGTAATTTATAATATAAAGTAATTTATAATATAAATTACTTTGGAAAATTAAAAAACAATAATTTATTAATTCATATTCTTTTAAAAAATAAAATGATTAATAATTATTTTTCAATAATATGTAAAAATGATTTTTTCCCACACTGATTTACTAATTAGAACTATAATAATTTTTAATTAGAAGAATTTCACGACATTATTTAGAATCGAAAAAAATACTCCGATTGTATAAAAGACAATTTTTCGTATCCATATTCATCTATAAGTAAAATTTAAAATGATTTAAAGATTTTCATTATTTGATAATATTTTCCAATGCGTACATACTATATTTTATTTCTATCTTTATAAAATATAATTAAATTTGCAGATTATGCGCAAGGAGGTTTCTTTACAAAGTTAAATCCTTTAAACCTAATAAAGCATAAGAATAAAGAAGACGTAGGTATGTATGACTATATCTATATCACATTATTAATTGAGGAGAAGTGGAACATAAGCACCAGAGTGGGGATGATGAGAAAGAAAAGGAAAGATTGTAATTTATTTCTCCCTCCCATTGCCCCCACTCTGACGCTTCTCCTTCTTTTTCCATCTTGTATAAACTACAACAATCTAAAATAATATATACACTAAAATAATTTACAAATAATGAAATAAATAATAAATAAAAAATAAATAATAATTAATAAAAACTTTTTAATCATGATTTCTATTTATTACTATTTTTAATTATAAGAAGAATAATATAACATATTAATCATATGTCACAGAAGATGTAACGAAGAAAACTTATGACGATGGACAATATCGATGGAGTAAGTCTACGAAAAAATATAACGTTAAATTAGAAAAATAATTATCTTTATCTAAATATAAAATAATGCAGTCATTACACATAATATTTAAAAAACAAATAATTTTTATAGAACCTGACAAAATATACGATGATGGTCAATATAGATGGAGTAAGTTATCTTTAATAAAATAAAATATTTATTATATACGTAAATTTATATTAAAAATAAATAACGCGCTCTGAAAATAGGAACATAGCCAACAAAATTATAGGACATGTTTAAAACAGTTTTACCTTGATTAATGTTAAATATTTATTTCACTAAAATTTTTAATATCCGTCACTGAAAATCATAAGTCATTCTTTAAATGTTCAATTAGAGAAAAATAAAATATTTCAGTAATTTTGAACTGATATTCAGTGAATGAATAAAAAATAATTGAAATCGTGAGCAGTAGAGTTATACTGATTATCAGTTAAATTTTACTGATTCAAATTTAGAAAGTAAGAAAAATGCATTATTACTATCAGTCAAAAACTAAAATGATGTATTATTCTCTATACGAATCTAGAATCTAATGAAACAACAGGATCTTGGGGTGAGTTTTTAAACTTTTTCTCACTATTGGTTTAATATTAATAGTTTAAACAAAAAATTTTTATTCTGGTTTCGTTTTTCTAGGTTCCAATAATAAATCTAATGGAAAATCATGGAACACTTCATCAGGATTGAACGATACTTGGAGTAAGTTTTTTCTTCAAATTTTCTGAAAAATAGTTCAAATTTTTTAATTAATTGAGTCATAAAACAATGTATTTTTTTAGATTCCAATCAAGACCTTTATGGATCTTTATGGAATAATTCATCAGGATTAAACGGTCCATGGCGTAGGTTTTATTTATACTTTTCTTATAGATAATTTTATATTAATAACTATTAGAACTAAACTCTTGTATATGTTGCTAAAAATGTTCCAGGTTCCGGGCTACAATTTAACGGACCATCATGGAACAATTCATTAAGAGTTGGTCTACCTTGGGGTGAATAATAGTAGAATTATCATTATTAATTTAACAGGAATTGTTGAGGTACAAAGTAACTTTTTTTTCTAGGTTCGAATCAAGCATCTAATCAAACATCCTGGAATAATTCTTTAGAACTTGGTCTACCCTGGGGTGAGTAATCGCAGAATTTTTATGATAAGTTTAATAGTAAATCTTAAGGTAAATGTTAATGTCTTTGTCTAGGTTCGAATCAAGAATCAAATCGAACATCATGGAACAATTCTTTAGGACTTAGTCTACCTTGGGGTAAGTAACAGCACAATTTTTATGGTTAGTTTAACAAGAATTCTTAAGAGGAACGTTAACGTCTTTTTCTAGGTTCCAGTCAAGAATCTAATGGGTCATCGTGGAACAATTCATTAAATCTTGGCCTACCATGGGGTGAGTAATCGCTAATTCTCTTCATTAGTTTAACTCTTAAGGTAAAAACTAACGTTTTTGTCTAGGTTCGAATCAAGAATCTAATCGATCATCGTGGAGCAATCTATTAGGAGTAAATCTACCTTGGGGTGAGTAATGATAGAATTATTATCATGATTAGTTTTACACAAATTGTTGAGGTAAAAACTAACGTTTTTTCTAGGATCGAATCAAGAATCAAATCGTACATCGTGGAATAATTCATTAAAACTTGGCCTACCATGGGGTGAGTAATAGCTGAATTTTCTTGACTAGCTTAACAGAAACTCTTGAGGTAAAAACTGACGTTTTTTCTAGGTTCGAATCAAGAGTCTAATGGATCATCGTGGAGCAATCCATTAAGAGTAAATCTACCTTTGGGTGAGTAATGATAGAATTATTATCATGATTAGTTTTACACAAATTGTTGAGGTAAAAACTAACGTTTTTTCTAGGATCGAATCAAGAATCAAATCGTACATCGTGGAATAATTCATTAAAACTTGGCCTACCATGGGGTGAGTAATAGCTGAATTTTCTTGACTAGCTTAACAGAAACTCTTGAGGTAAAAACTGACGTTTTTTCTAGGTTCGAATCAAGAGTCTAATGGATCATCGTGGAGCAATCCATTAAGAGTAAATCTACCTTTGGGTGAGTAATGATAGAATTATTATCATGATTAGTTTTACACAAATTGTTGAGGTAAAAACTAACGTTTTTTCTAGGATCGAATCAAGAATCAAATCGTACATCGTGGAATAATTCATTAAAACTTGGCCTACCATGGGGTAAGTAATAGCTGAATTTTCTTGACTAGCTTAACAGAAACTCTTGAAACTCTAAAAATTGACGTTTTTTCTAGGTTCGAATCAAGAGTCTAATGGATCATCGTGGAGCAATCCATTAAGAGTAAATCTACCTTGGGGTGAGTAATGATAGAATCATCATGATTAGTTTTACGCAAATTGTTGAGGTACAAACTAACATTTTTTCTAGGTTCTAATCTAACATCATGGAATAATTCATTAAGATTTGTTCAACCTTGGGGTGAGTAATGGTAGAATTATTATGATTTGTTTTACACGAATTGTTGAGGTACAAACTGACGTTTTTTCTTGGTTGGAATCAAGAGTCTAATGATTTATTATGGAACAGTTGATTTTTACCGATCGTTCCTTGGCGTAAAAGTATTAATTCTTTTCTGATGAATATTTAACTATTAATTGATTATATATATAAAACTTTCGTTGTTTTTGTTGTGACATAAGAAAATATATTTTTTAGATTCCAGTCGAATGTATAATGTCACATCAAGAAACAGTTTAGAAGGACTAAGTGTTCCTCGGCGTAAGTTAAATGCAAAAAAAGCATCATTAAGATCATTAAGATCTTGCAGACGTCTCATTTTTCGATTTCACATCTTAATGATAAACTACTGTATTTTTCTAGATTCCAATCAACAATCTAATGTAACGCCATCGGATACTTCACTAAGGTTTGGTTTGGATGAAAAAAATAATTTAGGAGCAGGCAACGGTTCAAACGAATGGAATTCTTGGAGTGAGTTTTGAAATTTTCTTACAATATTTTATTTAATTTTCTTGAAGTCAAATATTCATGTATTTCTGCTGATCTTTGCGTCTCTACAAAGTAAAGTACTACTGTCTACTACGAATTAAATTTTTATGATTTCGTGATCATTATATTATATTCTCTCAGTAACATTAAATATTTGTTTATATGTTCTAAAGTAACATGTTTCTCTAGATTCGAACTCTAAATTTTATAATGCTTTAAACTTTTAAACATATTTCTTGATGAAATCTAAAAAGTTTCGTAGGATAAGTGAATAATTGTTATTAGTTGAATTTTAAAATTATGATTCCTCTTAGATTCGAATCCAAGTTCCAATGGCATATCAAACAATGTAACATATCTCCACAGGGTACCTTCTGGTAAATTTTAAACACATTTTTCCAATATTTAATTGAAGGTTTTCCACTCATCTACTAATACCTATTATTTATTATCATTATTATTTTACGATTTGCTACTATTAAGATACTTTTTTTGATTTGTACCACTAAAAGCTACATTTTTCTTTCTTTTTTTAAGAATTTGCGACACTTTAAAGCGGCTAATTGTTGAAATAAAAAAATTAATTTTTTATCTTGGTCCTCCTTTCTTCCTGGTTTACATGAGTGACATTGTCATTTCATTTGTTTTCCTGGTAGGAATTTACGATTATATTTTATTTATTCCTTCAGGTCGGAGTAGGTATCTGAGAGGTCGAAATACTACAAGTTGGATTACTGAATCGCTTCCCTTGCCTTCTGGTAAAATTTCAATATTTTTATGATAATTCAATTATTAATAGTGTTGCATTCGATGATCCACAAGTTCTAAATGTTCAAAAGAACGGAATTTTTACTATTATTGAAATAAAATTTGAAGAAGAAATAAATAATTTCGTTCATGTTTAGATTTTAAAACTATAAAATAAACTTATTGGATATTCTCATACTCTTTTCTAGAATCTAAAATGAAAAGTGAAATAACATGGATTAATAGAACACACCAGAAACCTTTAGGTAAATTTAATAATTCTTATGTTGATATAATACAGTATTAATGTTAATAAAAAATTAATTTATAACTAAATAAAAAAATACAAATACAAATTTTATGCTCAAGCAAAAAGCATAAATAAAAAATATTGTGTCTTGTATTATTAGAGCATATATTTTATTTTTCCTAGATATATTAAGTTTTTTGAAAATCTAAATCATTTTAATGAAATGCATAATTTTTTCTAGATTTACCGAAAGTGGAGGAAATAAGTATTTACCGTCCACCACGCCCTAGGATAGTATTACCATTTGGTAAATTTTGACCATTTTTAAATTAATCAAAATTATATTGTTGAATTATTCATTTATCTGCTTTTTCAGATTCAGATAATTCGAATCAGTCATGGGGAAGTGGAGTCTATTGGAGAAAGGACTTACCTTGGGGTAAATTTTAACATTTTTTTCAAACTACTATTAATTTAACACTATTGATATATTCTAGTAGTTTATGCTATTAATAACAAATCATGAATTACATTTTACTTCGCAGGTTTAAAACAGCAATCACTTATAACCCTTCTTTCAAATGCAAATTCCATACCCGAAATGATGAATATACTTCAAACATATGCCAAGAAAGATAATATTAGAATTGGCGAACCCAATAATGAAAATTGTACGAGAATTTGTGTCAGTAATCCACGTGTAAGAAGACTAGTTATTGAGACAAACCAAAAGATATTTAAAGGTTTTAAGAAATCAAAGAACCTGAGAGGAATTCTTATATCATATTTCAATGATACCCACAACATTAATAATTCTTCATATTCTCTAAATAATCATCTTATGGAAAAAATATATACGGTGTATCCAAATTTGTCAATTAATCAGAAATTATATTTGCAAAGAAACATTCAACGTCTGCTCTTAGAGTATAATTTTGATTTTGGAAATAAAAATTATGAGATACTGCAGTTGCAAATTGTGACGTTTATTCAAAGGTACTTTGAAAATAACATCTTCGATGACAATAAGGAGTCACTTAGCGGTGCTGGGGAAATTAATTATTCATTGTTTGAGAGTAAATCGATAGAAATGTTGAGGAGAATTATTGATTCGCAAGGAAGGATTTTAATGAATGAAGATGAATTAAAAAGTTATGTTCGAATGGTATTGTTTAAAAGTGGTATGAAATGGCCGAAATATATTAATCAAAATTATCTTCTTGAATCTGTGTATAATATAATAATAACTCATAAGGGAGAGAATATTGTAAATCTCTATGAATTGCAGGGTCAAATTATTAATTTTGTTTCTCGATTAAATGAAGAGAAGGAAATTTCGCTTCAAGTAAAACAACCACAAATAGAAGTGCGTCTTCCTGGAATAGAAACAACAAAGTCGGATTTTTCGGATGATGGTCAGAATTATACTCCAAGGACATGGTCGACAGTATCCTCTAGTAGTGAACCTGATATTACATCAGAAGAAGGTGGACAAACGAGTCCGTCACCTGGTGCATCTATCACTCAACCTTCAGTAACGCCAGAATTAACTAGTCCTGAAATTGTTAGCTCTGAAGCCACCACTCCCGAAGAAGTCCATAGCAGTACAATTTGGCAAATGAGTTCATCATCTAGTGTACCTAGCAGTGAATCTTCAATAACTCCAAAATTAACTAGTCCTAAAGTTGTTTCTTCTGAACCTACAACTCCCGAAGAAGTCCGTAGAACAACAACTAGGGAAATGAGTTCATCATCTAGTGCACCTAGCGCTGAACCATCAGTAACTGAAAAATTAACTAGTCCTGAAGTTATTACTTCTGAACCTACAACTCCCGAAGAATTCCGTAGCAGCACATTTGAACAAAGGAGTTCAACATCAGTTTCATCTAACACTGAACCTTTAATAACTCCAGAATTAACTAGTCCTGAAATTGTTACTTCTGAAGCCACCACTCTCGAAGAATTCCGTAGCAGTACAATTGGGCGAACGAGTTCAACATCAGTTTCATCTAACACTGAACCTTTAATAACTCCAGAATTAACTAGTCCTGAAATTGTTACTTCTGAAGCCACCACTCCCGAAGAATTCCGTAGCAGCACATTTGAACAAAGGAGTTCAACATCAGTTTCATCTAACACTGAACCTTTAATAACTCCAGAATTAACTAGTCCTGAAATTGTTACTTCTGAAGCCACCACTCCCGAAGAATTCCGTAGCAGTACAATTGGGCGAACGAGTTCAACATCAGTTTCATCTAACACTGAACCTTTAATAACTCCAGAATTAACTAGTCCTGAAATTGTTACTTCTGAAGCCACCACTCCCGAAGAATTCCGTAGCAGTACAATTGGGCAAACGAGTTCAACATCAGTTTCATCTAACACTGAACCTTTAATAACTCCAGAATTTACTAGTCCTGAAATTGTTACTTCTGAAGCCACCACTCCCGAAGAATTCCGTAGCAGTACAATTGGGCAAACTAGTTCATCACCTGGTGCACCTGATATTACATCAGAAGAAGGTGGACAAACGAGTCCGTCACCTAGTGCATCTAACATTCAACCTTTAGTAACGCCAGAATTAACTAGTCCTGAAATTGTTAGCTCTGAAGCCACCACTCCCGAAGAAGTCCATAGCAGTACAATCTGGCAAATGAGTTCACCATCTAGTGTACCTAGCAGTGAATCTTCAATAACTTCAGAATTAACTAGTCCTAAAGTTGTTTCTTCTGAACCAACAACTCCCGAAGAAGACCGTAGCAGCACATTTGGACAAACTAGTTCATCATCTGCTGCACTTAATACCGAACCTTCAGTAACTCAAAAATCAACTAGTCCTGAAATTGTAACTTTTGAAGCCACCACCACCGAAAAAGTCCATAGCAGTATAATTCGACAAACGAGTTCATCACCAGGCGTACGATCCACTGCACCAATTCGAGAATGGACAGGCCATAGAAAATTAACAACAGCTTCACCTCTCACTTCATCAGTTTCATCTTTGTCACAGCATGATTATGAACAGATAATAGGTAATGACACAAAGATCAACGAAAGATTAACCGATCTTGAAGAAAAGCCCCAATCAATATACACTGAAACAAAACTACAAGGAAACGAAAAGGAGAATCTCATCTCCCACGATGAAATTTCCCTTAAAACCGAATCACCAATAATGGCAACACCAGTCTCGACAATTCTCCTCTCTCCAAATGTCTCCATACAATCAGTTTCTGTCGAAAAGAACGGCATTGAATTACCATGGGAAAATTTGACAATCAATCTCGAGAGAATTCTTCAATCACAACAAATTACCAAACAGAATTATCTATCTAAAATTACAATCATCACAAAAACAATCACCAATCTTTTCCCATCGCTTAAAATACTATTCCCCGCCAGTGAATTCGAATTAATCATCAAGGACAACATTGGAATGTCAATAAGTGAAGGCTACTCGACCGATATCAAGAAACTACTAAATTTCATCATCATGGACATCAAGAATAAATACAAACTCCAATCGACAGTACAACTAGATGGTAAAATAGTCAGTAACAAATACACCGAACCTGTAATAGAAATCAGTTGGACTGAAGTACAAAAGAATTTGAATAAAACATTTGCCACACTTCATCAGTTCTCCCAAGTTGATGAAACTAAACTATCCCAAAATTTGGTAAACATAATGTTTGAATTTGCTCCCACCATTGACAGTCACGTGAGTTATTCATCATTTCAAAATAAAATATTATTCTACTTGAGTGAATTGAAAAAGCAAGGTTATACTGATTTCACCGATCAGAACGTACAACAGAAAATTGTCGGCTATATGCAAGGACTCATTAAACTCTATGCAGAAAGTATGAAGTACTTGGTCGTGTTCAATATCACTCAATTTGAGAACATTGACGATATAGCGACCATTGAGAAGCAAATCAGTAAAGAAGTAATAAGTTTGATTTTCGACATTGGTCCCGAAAATATCAGAGAAAACAGCGATCTACTAAAAGAAGATATCATCGGTATTCTCGATAATTATGAAATACAATGTGTTATTGAAGTATACGATTCTTCAGTGAAAACATATTCGGATTTAATCTGCCGAGCTGAGAGTCGTAACAGTGTGATAATACCCTACGTTCCTCCTCCATGGGATATAATATTGAGTTTCCGTTGCTCTGATTCATGCAACTCTGCTAGTACACAAAAAGATGCTGCCTTGTTACAGAGTAAAATTTATGATCTTGTTTCGCATTTCCTTGCCTACAATGATATAAAATCTAATTTTGAATCATTGAAAGCTGAAATATTGAAATTGACGGCAAATTCTGGTTATGACTTTAATGTTATTGTTAGAAGTAAATTGGATGGAAAGAGAAAAGTTATTCTACCATTCCCTAGAGCTGTAAGAACTGCGGCAAAATATTATAGACTTAATAGGGAAATTAGAACTAATGCTGTGGCTTCGTATGCATTCAATACAACGATCACTAATATTCTTGATAATAAATTGTTCAATATGGGACAAATTAAGACTGGTATTAAAGCAATTCTTGAGGAACATATTACAAATGAAAAAGTTGATATTGAAGCAATTAAGAAGGATATAAGTGGTGCTATTTCTACAGCCACCGCTGATATGGAAGTTAATGTTACTATTAAAATGAAAGGCAAATTATATCCCTTTACTATTAAACACCGAGGAAGTGATCTAAACAAGGTGAAATAAATTTTTTTTATATCATATAATTTTTATTCATGTTTGCTAAAAACGAAGGTTTAAAAGATCAGGGATGCCACCACAAATGAGGGAAATTCAGGGAATTCAGGGAAAAGTCAGGGATTTTTATTAAAAGTACTGGAAAAAATTAAAATTTTAAAATTTATAAGAAAATCTCAATTTTTGCATCTTTTTGTATTTGCCTCATAAACTATGAAATTACCACAAATTCTAAAAAAAATCTTTTTTTCAATTTCGGCGACAATAATTTATTTTAAATAACTTAATTCTATTGAAGAACTGCCATAAAGTTATTATTTATAAATTATTTAATTGAAGTATTTTTTTTTTGAAAAATATTAATTTCAATTCTGTTGAAATTAGTTCCAATTTAAAAGATTTTAACGCAATTCTTTTGAAAGAATTCAACTATCTTAATAAATATTAAAATTATTTCCAGAAATTCAATTATTTTGAAAATTTTAAAAAAGAATTCTCAACATTTCAATTATTTTTATAAATTTAGTAAAATTCTTTTCCGAAATTCAATTATATTTGAGGAAATTTAATAAAATTCATTGCAAAATCCAATTATTTTCATAAATAACAATATTCATTACAAGAATTCAATTATTTTTATAATTAAGAAAATTCTTCGCTAAAATTTAATTATTTTCAAAAAATCTAAAAAAAATTGTCTTCATCATTTCAATTATCTTTATAAATAATAAAATTCTTCTCCGAAATTCGATTATATTCAGGAATTTTAATAAAATTCATTGCGAAATTCAATTATTTTCATAAATAACAATATTCATCAAAAGAGTTCAATTATTTTCAAAATTAAGAAAATTCTTCGAAGAAATTCGATTATTTTCAAAAATCTAAAAAAATTGTCTTTATAAACGAATATCGATATTCTTTGACAAAATTCAATTATTTTCAGGAATATTAATAAAATTCATAGCGAAATTCAATTATTTTCAAAAATCTAAAAAAAATTGTCTTTATAAACGAATATCGATATTCTTCGACAAAATTAAATTATTTTCAGGAATATTAATAAAATTCATAGCGAAATTCAATTATTTTTATAAATAATAGTATTTATCACAAGAATTCAATTATTTTCAAAAATTTTAATAAAATTCACGGTGAAATTTCAATTATTTTCAAAAATTTTTCTTCATTCAATGATTTTAAATATTCTACTATTTTAATAAAATTTCGCAAAAGAATTCAATTATTAAAAAAAAATTTTTGATAAAATTCTACACAAACATTCAATTATTTTCCAAAAAAATGAAAATTTCACAGGAATTCAATTATTTAAAATAAAATATGCATAATTTCTTCGAAAAAATCAAATTTTTTAAAATTTGGCATTAAATTCTTTGCATTAATTCCATTATTTTTCATAAATTTTAAAATATTCCTTTCAGGGATTTAATTATTTTTATAAATAGTAAAATTCATTCGGAGGAAGTCAATTATTTTCACAAATAACAATATATTCAACACAAGAATTCAATTATTTTCAAAAGTAATAAAATCTAAACATTTTTAAAAATTTTAATTAAACTCATTGCAAAATTTCAATTATTTTAAAAATTTTTTCTTAATTCAATAATTTGTATATATCTATTATTTTCATAAAATTTCCCCAAAAAAATTCAATTATTTAAAAACAATTTTGCCAAAAAAAACGAATATTCAATTATTTTCTAAAATAATGGATTTTTCACATTAATTCAATTATTAAAAATAGAATTCGTAAAAATTTTTTTTGAAAGCAATTGTTTGAAACTTTTTTATATAATTCTTCTCAATAATTCAATTATTTTTATAATAAATAATAAAACTCATTGAAAAATTTTAATTATTTTTAATGCAATTTTAATCAAAATTTTCGAAAATGTAATTATTCTTAATAATGTTATAAAAATTCGTCGAAAGAATTTAATTATTTAAAAAATTTTTGATAAATTTCTTTATAAGAGTTCAATTTCAAGAAACATTCAATTATTCATGTTTGTATATTTAAATAATTATATTCTCATAGAATTTTCTAAAAAAATTTATTTAAAAATTAATTTCAGTTAAAGTTTTAAATAATAATTGAATTTTAGAGAAGTTACCAATTATTTGCAATTTTTAGAAATAATTGAATTTTGTGAAGGTTTTAAATTAAAATCTTTTGAAAATCTGTATTCTTATAATATAAAATAATGATTTTATCACTTTACATTTTTAATTATTATAAAACATAAAGAAATCGATAACTCCGAGTCGAAGACTCGGAGTGATCGATTTCTTCATGTTTTATTATTTAATATTCTTATAAATTGTTGAATTTAAAAAATTATTGAATTTGAATGTTTTGAAGAATTTTAATTCCTATGGAAAAATAACAAATAAATATTTATTTAAAAAAAAGTTATTAATGTTTTGGAATAATTTTCCAATTAAAGAAATTCATAAATAAATGTAGTAACATTTTTTTTGAGTATCTAATTATTATTTTTAGAGTGAATCAGAATATTCATTAGGGTCAGGGAAAAAGTGAAATTTTTTTCTGGAAATCAAAGAAAAGTCAGGGAAAAACAAAATTTAATTTTTGTGTCAACCCTAAGAATTTTCAACGACTTGAAAAATTATTTTGTTTTTTGTTGTCCATTTTGTTTTGTTATTGAGAACATATTTTGAGGCAGAAAGGAAGTCTTAAAAAAATAAGACTTTCTTGACTCAAAAAAAATTTTTATTGACCATCAAAAAGTAGTTAAAATAATTAAGAATGTATACCTAGTGATGTAATCAGATTTTTTGTAGATCTTTTTGTAATTTAACTACTTTTTTACTTCCAAGTTTTTTTTTGGTTTTTCAATTCAAAATTTTTAACTACATACAATTATAGTAAAATTAGCTAGGTATCCAAGTATTAGATTTTAAATAAAAATAATAATTAGTTTAACTACTTTTAGTTTTATTTCTCAAAAGTTTTTAATAAATTTAGTTTTCTAAATTTATTAAGAAATAAAATAAAAATTAACAATATTTGTTTCTAATCCAAACAGAGAAGGACGAAGTAACGGAGCTGTTCAATAACATCGAAAATCAAAAATAAATTTTTTTGAAATTCAGAGAAAATATTTTATTCGAACCGTAAATGCGTGATTAAAATAATTACTGCTTTGTACTTTTTGACATTTTTTTTTTTTTTTTTTTGCTAATTATTTTATAACTTGAAAAGTTCCTTTCTTCCAGTTATTAATTATTTTCCTATTCTCTATTTTTTAAATTCTTAATTATTTATTAAATAATTATGTAAAAAAATATAATAATAATTTACTAAATAAAAAAAATTATTGCAATGATTTTAATCAAATTAACATTACGAGTGAATTTAGTATAATTTAGATAAGAAAATTTTGTCCTAAATTTTTTACTCGAATCTGCAAAAAAAAAAATTTTCAATTCGAAATTTTATATTTAATTTCTCTTTAATGTATAAAGAAATTGAAATATAATTCGAAAAATCATTGCACATATTTGTCGTCGAATTTGTTGATTTTATAATTACTGTATACTATCATAAATTTTTTGATAAAATTAAAATATTTATGTATTTTATCGCACTTGTATTACTTGAATAAAAGGCACCTTTAAAAGAATTTAAATATTGCTGCTTTTAATCAAATGTAATTAAATCCACTTTTTTTTTGCATTGCATATTAAAAATAGTGTAAAGAGCATGATCTAATGTATGCTCAGCTGCGAGATTAAAGTTCAATTCTCCTATTTTTGGACGCAAAGAATAATTAGTGCAATAAATAGGAAATAACATTGTATTAAAAAAATCATTTTAAAAAATATATTCAGACAATTTTTTAAATTAAAAAATATATTTTAAAAAATATATTTAAAAAGATTAAAAAATATTTTTTTTTTTTATTTGAACCATCAATATTTAAAAAATTAAAACAATTAAAAAATATATTTAAAAGTAGGTATTTTAAGTATATTTAAAAAAATTAAAAAATGTATTTAAAAAAATTTAAAAATATATTAAAAAAACTAAGAAGATGTATATTAAAAAATTTTTGTCAAGTTCTTTAATAAATTATTATGTAAGGCAAATAATTTTTTTTCTCAATTCTATTATTATCAATTACAATAGTTGTCAACAAAAAAGCATAAACTATTGTTATCGTTATTAAATTATTAATAATGAGTTTTGTATATTTTTACGTAAAAATATTTGTACTTAAAAATATCGAATGTACAAAATTTTTGTTTACAAAATTATTTCAGGTCTGAAAGAAATTATGACTGGTTGTTTAAACTATTTACCATAATAATAATTATATACAAAAATATATTTACAAAATTGCAATACCTCATCAAAATTTGTAAAATGGAAATTGTTTACGTTTTTCTTTCTTTATTATTTAAAAATTTTGTAATATTTTCTTTTTGAAATAATTTTTTTTGCATTTAAAGTAAAACATGTTTTACATGTTTTACGCAATAATTTTTTATTATTCGCAAATATATCTAGACATTGAAAGTAGCAGACGTAATTTTAAAGAGATTGATTAATAATAACTAAGTTTTAGAAATTGCGAACAACGAAGGAAAAATATATTAATAATTCATTAACAGGTAGTGCGAAATTATATCTTTTAGTATCTTATTAAATTTGTTCCAAATTCAATAACATTTTAGTGGGGGTTTCGTTATTTAAAGATAAAATAATTCTGACTTTGACACAGTAAAAAAAGACATTTTTCATCATGAGAGCTTTTACAGTATTATGTCTTGTCGCCTTTTTGTGGTCTTCTTCTTTTGGTAATTAATAATTATTATTGTTAATATTTTAACTATTAATTAAATATATAATTATTAATTTTTTTATTTACACTAATTTCGTAGCTCAGTTTTTTTGTACGATGAAGCAAAATTAGTTTTTTAATTTTACTTTTAATATGAATAATAGAAGAAGATGAAGAATCTGTTATAAAATTAAGAGCATTTCTTTTTCGGTTCAGAGTCGAAATTTTATTTTGTCAAACAATTTTTGATGGTGTTCATTATTCATTATTCATTATTTATTTTTATTATTATTATTATTTAAAATAATGATTTATCTATAGGACAAGAAGATGGAAGTTCTTCAAGTTCTTCAAGTTCTTCTAGTTCGTCCAGTTCCACTTCATCAGGGGGAAAGACTAAAACAGTAACTGAAACTCATACCACTGGAACTGGAAGTTCTGATGCTCAAGCTGGTGCAAATTCAGGGACAAGTGCTTACGTACCAAGTATAAAAACTTACTTAACTTTTCTCTAAAACATTAAAATAACTTTTATTCCAAATAATTAAAGAATCTGTTAGGAATTATTTAGAAGTGTTTGAATTACAATACAAGTGTACTTGAATTATTGCAAATTCGCTAAAAATTGGATTTGAATCTACTAAAACTCAAATAATCTACTTACCTAAATAATCTACTATTTACATACTTGAAAAATTAACAACTTACTGAGAATTATTAATCATACTTTTAATATTCTCGAAAAGGAACTAATTCATGGAGTCAACCACCACCTAACGTAGGCCATGGTCATTATCAATTACCTGATGGAGGATTCACCACTTACATTCCAGGTTGTGCGACGCCTGCTAAATGCTATCCACAACAACCTCACCCAGTTCAACAATCTGGTAAATTTTTATTTTTAATCGAAATAAGAAATTAATCGAGGTACTAAAGTAATCTATGAGAAGCATACGGAGGAAAAAGTTTGCGGTTTGAACTAATTATCCCAATTTCTGTTGTATGGTTATCAATCATTGTTAGCTAATACAGATCATTAGTACAATACTGAAAGTATCAAATTCCAACGGATGTTTTAATCAAAAATGTGGATCAAACCATTGATTGCTCCTAATCTTTTATTCTAATTTGATCCTAATTTTTGATCTGTTTGCTACTTTCAAGAAAACTGAATTAATAACCATATGGTACAGTTACTTTTTTTTGCTGTAAAGAATAATTATTAGCTGAAATAGCTAAAGATTAGCCATCCATATAACAATCTCTTTTTTCTCCATTTAAATTTAGAAAAGTTTTCTCACAGTTCTCAAAGTTTTTCTATGGATAATAAATTGAGACAAGAAACATATCAAAATGTTTCATCGGATATCAAATTAAGAATGCTCATCAGGTATTTTAATTTAATAGTTATTAAATTAATTTAATAACTATTAAATTAAAATATCTGATGAGCATTAAACAACAACTTTTCCATTTTAGTTAAGAGGTAAAATTAAAAATTTGATACATAATTCTTTTTTCGCCTTTTAGTAGGAGTACAAGAAGGATCTTCAAGTATTTCAAAGTCTTCGAGTGTCGTTGGGTCAAATGGACAAACTAAAACATCTACCGAAACAGATGTAAAGGGAGGGGGACAAGCAGGTTCTAATGCTCATGCTAAAGAAGGTGCTACTGTTCGAGTAAACGGTCAACGTCCCCAAACTGGACCACGTCCAGTGTATCAACATCCAGTACCCCAACATCCCCAAAATGCACCTCAACCAGTGTATCAACATCCATTACCCCAACATCCCCAAAATGTACCTCGTCCAGTGTATCAACATCCAGTACCCCAACATCCTCAAAATGCACCTTATCCAGTGTATCAACATCCAGTAGGTAATGGAGGTGGTGTCTCTTATCAGGTTCCAACTCAAGGATATTCTCATTATGTCCCAATTTGTCCGTCTGGAAATTGCATTCCACAACAAGCTTATCCAGTACAACAATCTGGTAAATATTCCTTTGGTTCAAAATAAGAAGTAAACCAAAAAAATAACTTCTAAAATAAATGAAAGTTAGCTACTTGAAATGAAAGTTTGGCTACTTAATTAAGACCAAAATCTTTGGTAGCATATATAAGAGTATCAAATTGCCAGGAATAGCATTTGGAAAATGCTGTTATTTTTTTTTGTTTTTTAGTAGGAGTACAAGAAGGATCTTCAAGCATTTCAAAGTCTTCGAGTGTCGTTGGGTCAAACGGACAAACTAAAACATCTACCGAAACAGATGTAACTGGAGGGGGACAAGCAGGTTCTAATGCTCATGCTAAAGAAGGTGCTCCTGTCCAAGTAAATGGTCAATTTTTCCAAAATGGACCTCAACAAGTGTATCAACATCCAGTACAAAATGTAGGTGGCTATTTTCAGCTTTCAACTGGAGAATATGTCCAATATGTCCCAACTTGTCCGTCTGGAAATTGCTATCAACAACCAGCTTATCCGGTACCACAATCTGGTAAATATTCCTTTTGGACTAAAATAAGAAGGAAACTAAAATAAAAATAAAAAAATATGGTCTAAAATAAATGAAACCAAGCTGTTTGGCCACTTCATTACTATTGTATGGATAATCGCAGTTATTGTTAGTTAATACAGCTCTTTGGTAGCGGAAAAGTATCGAATTGCTACGAATAGTTGCGATTGCTACGAAATGCTATTCCTATTATTATTTTTTTTCGCCTTTTAGTAGGAGTACAAGAAGGATCTTCAAGTAGTTCACAGTCTTCGAGTGTTGTTGGGTCAGATGGACAAACTAAAACATCTACCAACACAGATGTAACTGGAGGGGGAGAAGCAGTTTCTAATGCTCATGCTGAAGGACCTCGTCCAGTGAATAATGGAGGTGGCTATTATCAGATTCCAGCTAGAGGTTTTGTCAATTATGTTCCAAATTGTCCGACTCAAAATTGCTATCAACAACAAGCTTATCCAGTACAATATGGTGAATTTCCATTTTTAATTTTTATTATTAATATGATTTTGGCTAGATTATCATTACTATTATTCTCAGTGGGCAAGAAATTGTGTGTTCGTTCCAATAAAGTTTTTAAAACCTTTTCTAGAATGTTTCATGTCAGTCAAAAATTGTTCTCGAACATTTAAACATTATTTGAATGCATCCATGTTCTTTAAATGTTTTGGAACATTATTTGGCAGACATGAAACGTTTTCTAGAAAGGTTTTAAGATCATTTTCATAACATTTTTGAAACGAACATTTTCTTTTATTATTATTTTGTTTCTATTACTTTTATTATAATTATATTGCAGTAAAATACTTCTGCACGAAAAGAAAGCTGCAACTTAAAATTTTGTTAAGTTTCTCTAGAGTAGCGAAAGTCTTAAATAAAAATTTCGGCTAATTTAGTAAAATTTGCAGCTGTTCCAAGTAAAACTTTTTTTCCGTGTGTAAAAGTATTAAACAATTATTTTCCTACAGGACAAAGATTCGTTGTTCCAGGTCAACCTCAATACTACGCTCAAGCAGGCAGCATACCTTTGTAAGAATTATACTAAAGTTAACAATAAAGTTATTAGTTTTTTTTTAAATAATAAATTAAATTTCCAGATAAATTTAAAACAGACTGAAATAAAATTGAAGAAAAATTGTTCCAATATTGAAAAAGAAATAAAATTCAAATAAAAAGTGAAATAAAAGTATGAAGTAAAGTTAGTTTATAAGTTAAATTTATCATATAAAGTTAAAAAAAAATAAATTTGAAATAGAAATTAAAAAATGAAATAGAAAGTAAAGTTAATTGAAATAGTAGAGTTACTTATGAATTAATATTATTATGTTTTTGTGATTTGATAGCTTGAGTTCTCGACTTCATGACGATGGAAGGGCAAGCCTTCACTCGCATATGAGTTCTGCGGATGCAAAAGGTAGTTTCAGTTCCAGTTCTTCTGTGAGCGATGGTCAGACTAGTGAATTGAAAACAACAGTGGGACTTATTCACTAGAGAAACTTTAACTCATTTATTTATGTATTTTAATAATATTTTAATATTTATAATACATTATTAATATATATAGTAATATAACAGCGTAATATATATATGTGTTACATATAATATTTATTATGAATGTAAAAAACACTGAAATTAATAAAATTTAATTATAATAAAATTTTCATCTTTTATTACGTATACCTATTTTTTCTTCCTTTGTCATTGGCTCAATTATTTATAGAAGAAAATAAATCCAAACCACGCTGATTGTGAGAATAAAAAGATATATTTGACTAAAAGTCTACTAAACTTCTTTATTTGTTTCAAATACATTTTATTTGGTTCAAACAGATTTTATTTGTTTCTAACGCATTATATTTGTTTCTAACACATTTTATTTGGTTCAAACAAATTTTTTTTTTTGTGTCAAATGGAATTTTTATTCAAGGGTATTTAAACCATTATGACGTCACAGTTTGTGCAAAGCGTGTGTTCTAAAACTGTGAGGATATAATGGTTCAAATGCCCTTAAAGCAAATAAATAATTTGAGAAATTCTAAGAAATATATGATTCTCAGATAAATATATATACTTTGATTTAACTCAAATAAATTATATTTGGTTCAAATAAAATTCTTCTATATGTATATAAATTACAATGTACCTAATATATGCGAAATATTTTTAAAAGTTTTTTATTTAATAAATAATAATAATAATAACAATAATAATACAAACAATAATTTAGTTTAATATAATTTGAATTTTAAAAAATCATACTCACAGAATCTTTATTTTTAATCCCAATTGTATGCACACAAATTTTTCAGATTCAAATAAAATATTTTCTTTCCCGTATTTCGAAAATGTTTTCATCGTCAATTGATATTTCCTACCAAATATTGAGATTAAGTGAGATTGAATTGAATGATTGCGTCTGAAAATGCTATATTTGCAATTCTAATTGCGCGGTGCATTCAAAATGAGATATTTTTATTTTCAAAAATGTTAATTTTTTTTTTGTTTCTTATTATTATTATCATCATCCTTGATTAACTGAAGTACACATGATAAATGTCAAATATGTTGTTAATTTTCCTGAACAAATTTTTTTTGTACAATACTTTTTGTTTTAATCAATATAAACAACATGTCATTCTCTTTTATAAAAAAAAATATTATTGAAAAATGTTATTTAAATTATTATTTTTAATCACAATGGGAAAAACTAATTATTTAATGAGTTTTTTTTAACTAATTTTAATTAGTAACAAAATTCTACTGTTTCTAAATTAGTAAAATTTGACTGCATAAATAGTATAAAGAAGTAATTAATACATAGTTTAGACGATAGATATTTTTAATTTTATTTTAATTGTATGCATCTGATGGAATGTGAGAAATTTAGATTTTTTATAATGATTTTTTTTATTTTCAAAAAATAAACTATTTTTATTTTAGATCATTAACATTTTGCTGTTCAAATCTAAACGTGTCTACTAATTCATATTTGTAAAAATTTCTACTAATTTTTATAAATCATCTTTTACTAATAATTAGTTTTGAAAAACATTTAAAAATGATTACTTCTACTACCACACAAAATAATCAAATTTTACTAAAAAGTTAATTAGTCTATCATCAATTTACATATTTAAATAAATCATTAAATAAAATTATTAAAAATTCTTAATATTTTTAATTAGTTAATGTCATAGCCAATATATCGAATCGAAATTCAAAGTCAAATGTTAATATCAAAGTCAAAATGGAATCGAAAGTCAAAGTCAAAGTTACAGACAAAAAGTCAATGTCAAAGTGAAAATGAAATGAATAAAAGTTAATAAAAAAAAATAAAAAAATAAAATAAAAAAATTTGATAAAAGTTAATGTCAAAGTCATAATTGAATCGACAGTCAATCTCGATTACAGTCTTCCATTTTAATTAAGATATGATAATTATTGACAATGTAGAAAATAAATTTTACTTTCAGCTCACTTTTGACCTCGCTTCTGACTAAATTTAAGCTTAGGACTAAGATTTTAAGTCTTAAAATTGACTTAATCTACTTTTAAATTTATAGTATGCTTTAATTTCAATCATTTTGGTTTTATAAGATTCAAACGATTTCAGACTTTGTTTTTCTATGCAACAATTGAACTTGAAAATTTTACAATACATTTTAAAATTTCAGAAGACGTAAAAAGTTGGAATAAACTAATTTACAGTTCGGATGATAGTGCTTATTTTATTATATAAATAACATTTTATTCAATAAAATATCTCTTTCTTCAATATACTATGAAAAATTTAATGAGTCAATGACAACCAAAAGTTATGAGGAAAAATTTTCAATTTAAACATTTATTTGAAAATTTAGATGAAACGAAAGACATGAAAAAGTAAGCGGTGTTTTAAAAAAAATGAATCACTTTTAGGTAACAAAGGTCAATCGCTTCAATTAATATTGTTGCATTGACGTTTTTGCGAATTGTGTAAGCAGGTGGTTTGTTTTATTGTCGAAATTGAAAATAATGATTATCCTGATTTTTTGAGCGCGCAGACACATGCGTTTTATTAAAAAATTATGAATTATTAATTTGGTTTATTTTATCATTATGAAATTACGAAAATTATTTTTAAAAAATCCAATCTTCTTTAAAGTTCTCTTTTTAACATAAAAATTAATTTAAGTGGGAAAATTGAGGTATAAAAGATGTGGCAAAATTTCTAGAAAGCACAGAACAACAAAAATGAACAGATTTAGAGTACTTTGCTTTTCGGCAATTTTGCTGACGGCTCTTATAGTTGGTAAGAGAATCATTATTATTATTCTAATATTTTTCTTCTTCCTCTTCTTCTTCTATTCTTTTTCTTCTTTTTGCTAATATTATTATTAATATTTTGTTCTTTTTATTATTTTTTATTTCTATTATAATTTTTATTATTTCGATTTGCTGGAAGTAATTTTAATCAAATCTAATATTAATTTTTGAGTGTTTCTAAAAATATGAAAATGAGACTGAAGTCGTAAATTTTGAGCTGGAGAATATTCTTTTAAACATCAGCATAGAAGAGCTGAACATATCAGCACCAAGTCAAATAAAAATTTAAAAATTATCTTGACTTAGTGGAGGTCCTGGTCAGACATCATCGACTGCGAAATGATTAAGAATACTTGGGAGGGAATAATAATTAAATTTTCACATCAAATTCTACGAATGGGGACGCATTTGATATAAAAATTTTTTCTTTCTCTTGTTACAGGTGACGCCGCTCACATCAGAGAAAAGAGAACTCTCCACCACAAAAAGAAGCATGGATCGGTGAATATTTCCTCAGGTGGCAGTGGATTGGGTCAAACTGATGTCAACATTAATTCCCAATTAGGCGGAAGTGGTGCTGTCAACGCCAATCAGAATACTGCAGCCTCGGCTGGTCTGGGTGTCAGCGGTGGAATTTTCGGATCTTCTGGCGGTCTCTTTGGTGCCGCAAAGGACATTCTTGACGCCAACAAAAATGCCATACAAGGTGTCGTCGATGCCAACAAAAATCACCACGCAGACTTTAACGTCAATCACGGTGTCAACGTACAACATGGCATCAATTCAGGTGTTCAAGTACAGAATAAAGATGATGCCTACTTGGGACATGGAATCAACTTGGGTTTCGGTGGTCTGACTTCCGGTCAAAGCGGAGCTAACATCGACATCCAAAAGGGCGCCGGTAGTTCTTTCCATGGACAAACCGGTGGTAACGTACAAAAAGGTGCCGGAAGTTCTTTTAATGGACAAAGTGGTCTGAATGTGAACATCCAAAAAGGCGTTGGCAGTTCTTCCAGTGGCCAAACCGGTGGAAGTGTTAATGTACAAAAAGGAGTTGGCAGTGGTGCAAATGTCAACGTACAAAAAGGTGTTGGCAGTTCCGTAAATGTTGATCACAACATTGGAGCTAAGGGACAAGTTAGCATTGATGCAGGCGCTGCGATTGGAGGAATAGCAAATGGAATATTCGGAATTGCTAATGGAATTCTCGACGCTAAGAAGGATTTGATTAACAAACTTGCAGATGCCACCAAGGGACATGCTGGAGTTCATGTTGGAATTAACGTCGAACATGGAAGCTCAGCCGGAGTTCAGAGTGGAGCCAATGTAGGACATGGAACAAGTGGAGGAGTTCAAGTACAACACGGTCAGAATGTACAAACTGGAAGTGGATTGAACTTTGGATTCGGAGGTAAACAACAACATGGTGCTCAAGTTGGAACCAATGTAGAACATGGAGCAGGTACTGGAGTTCAAGTACAACACGGTCAAAATGTACAAACCGGAAGTGGATTCAACTTTGGCTTCGGAGGCAAACAACAACATGGTGGTCAAGTTGGAGCTAATGTACAACATGGAACAGGTGCTGGAGTCCAAGTTGGACAAGGAAGTCAAAGTGATTTTAAATTTGGATTAGGAGGCAATCAACAGTCAGGTGGTCAACAGGGCTCTGGTTTTAAATTAGGATTCGGAGGTAAATATGAAGGAGGAATTAATCATGGTTCTAGTTTTGGATTTGGTGGCAACCAACATCAAGGTTCTCAAGGTGGTGTTCAAGCTGGAGGAGAACATGGATCTTCATTCGGACTAGGATTAGGAAGTAATCATCAAGTGAACTCTCAAGTAGGAGCCGGCTCTCAAGGTCAGGTGCAAACTGGATCCGGCAGTGGATTCCAGTTTGGATTCGGTGGCAATCAACAGGGAGGTGGTCAACATGAATCTAATGGTGGATTTCAATTTGGATTTGGAAAGAAACACACCGTTGGTTCTAATCAAGCTGGTGCCTCTAAAGAAGGTGGATTCCAATTAGGACTAGGATTTTAATTTTCAATGCTTTCTGAATTTGTAGAATTTTTTTATTTTTGCAAAAAATGAATGTACTTGTAAAAATGTTGATGCTGAATGTTTTCTACTTTTTATTTTTAGTAATGTAAAATTATGATCGAAGGAATAAAATAAATATTTCTACATATATTCTACTATTCTATTTCTAAATATTCTACTGTGTCCTGTATTAATTTTTTATAAAGTCGTTTCAAAAATTTTACAATTTCATTGCGTGAGAAAGTATTAATTTATCTTTTGAACATTAGAAACAATTTGATTTATATTAATTATTTTTTATGATATTACATATTACGTAACCAAAGTTAAAGACTTACAATTTAATACTCTTTACAATAGTTTGATACTTTTTCTATAAAGAATATAATTTTTTATCAATTTTATACTTTTGCTTCGGTACCAATTTAACACTTTTTGTAACAGTTTGATACTTTTGGTATCAATTTTATTATTTAATTAAAAAAATAAAATTATCCTTGAAGGTCTCAAATTAATACGAATTTTGGTATCAATTTGGTACATTTCAGTATCAATTTTATACTTTCACTATCCGTTTAATATACTTTTCGTATTATTTTAATACTGTTGGTATCAATTTTATATTTTTGGTATTAACTTGACAAGATTGGTATTAATTTGATACTTATTGTATCAGTTTAATACTTTTATTTAACAACTTAGTCATTTTGTAACAATTGGATAATTTTGGTATCAGTTTGGTATTTTTGGTTACAGTTTGTTTCTTCAGGTACCAATTTAATACTTTTGGTAACAATTTAATATTTATAGTAACAGTTTTTTTTAAAAAAAGTTCATTTTAAAACCAATTTAATACGTTTCGTAATACTTTAATACATTAGGTACCAATGCAATACTTTTTCTACCAATTTCATTCCTTTGGTATGAATTTGATACTTTTCGTACTAATTTAATAAATTTTGTACCAATGTAATACTTTCGGTATCAATTTGCTAGTTATAATACCAATTTCATACTTTTAGTACCAATTCAATACTTTTTGTAATAGTTTGATATTTTTTTTTTATAAAAGATAATTTTTATACCAATTTAATACTTTTCGTACTACTTTAATACTTTTGGTGCCAATTTAATACTTTTTCTAAAAACTCGAAACTTTTGGTACTAATCTAATAAGTTTTATACCAATTAAATAATTTTGATATCAATTTGCCACTTTTAGTATACCAAATTTAATAATTTTTGTAATAGTTTGATATTTTGTTATTAACAAAAATAACTGTTGTTCCAATTTAATAATTTTTGTACAACATATACTTTAATACTTTTGGTACCAATTTAATACATTTTCTAATAATTCGATACTTTTGGTACTAATTTAATAAATTTTGAATCAATTTAATACTTTTGGTATCAATTTAATAGTTTTTGCATCAGTTTAATACTTTTTTTTATCAATTTAATAATTATGTATCAATTAAATATTTTTAGTATCAATAAGATATTTCTGATAACAATTTTAGTTTTTTGGTACCAATTCAATACCTATTCCTATTCATATTTTTGGTATCATTTTAAAAAGTTTAGTATCAATTTAATACTTTTTGTATTATTTTAATACTTTTGCGTCAATCTGAGTCCTTTTGGTAACAGTTTATTACTTTTGGTACCAATTTAATATTTTTTTCAACAATTTTATATTTTTTCTTTATAAAGAAAAATAATTTATGCAAATATTTAATACTTTTAATATTAATTTTGACACTTTCTCTTTTTGAAAATGAATTTAAAATGGCTTTGAAAAAATATTTCTTATTCACTACTATAATTACACCGCAAGAAATAAATTTTACTTTCATTATGATTTGATGTCTTAAAATTGACTTAATTTAGCTTTAATCTTAAAAATTGGTTATACTTTTCAATTATTTTGGTTTTAAGCTGAAAAAGATTTCAAATTTGAAGCTAATAGAAAATTTGCAGCAACACTGTAAAAACAAAGTTTTAATACAGTTCTTCCAAGGGTTCGCAACATTTTTGATTTGTTTTTTGTCTCAATTTGATATTCTTAGAAAAACTGTGTAGTCATTTAGTGTTTAAAATTAAAAATTTGGTTATTGTTGTTCATATTTCGTTCGAGGAGTTTTGTTTTAATTTTCGATTTTTACAGACATAGAAATTTTCTCTATAAGCAAAAAATAAAAATTACAGTCATCATATTTTCATCAAACATAAATTTTTCCAACCAAAATTTTTAGAAATGTTAATAAAAATAACCGTAGCATTAATAATAATAGAAACTAACAAATACCAAATGCTTTATTTTCAAAACATTTTTTGGACAAATTCTCAATTCTGTTGCATTTTAATATTTATAAAACATTGAAATTTGTATAATAAACATGCCCTACTTTATGAATTCTAAAAAAATTTTCCTTTCCTCCTATTATTGAAAAATTATACCTCCATATATATATTTACGCAAATTTAACATCAAGCAATGACGCATGTTCCTGAATTATTTTCAAAAAGAACAGACCCATATAATTTTTTTTGCAAAGAAATGAAACATATACGTATAACAAGTGCCAAAAACTAAAAAATTTATTGTTTACTATACAATCTTCAGTATCTCTTGAAAATTTAAATGCGAATACTTTTTTAATAATAATCAATGTAATAATTTATTGATTTCAAAAATGATTTCTTAATTTCGTGACATATTTTCAAAAAAAGATATTTACGACGCAAGGTCATGAAATCAAAATCATAACGCCTATTTGTTTATATTAATTCCATACTATTGCATATATATGATTTAAATAATAAATCTTTTCATTTTTCTCAAAAATTTCAGTTTATATAAATGCGCGGCATAAATGATAATTTTTTTTTATTTGTATAATCAAGTGTTTTAATTATTATTGCTTTCAATCAGAATTTGTACATAAATGCGTATATGCACTTTAAACAGAATTGAATTACTAATTAGATTTATTCTTATTTGTCAAAATGACGAAAATCGTATTTACATGGAATTTATATTCGATGAGTGATCCACTAGGGGAAAATCAATATATAAAAGAAGGGATCTAATTTTTTTAGTTGATAATATTTTAAAAATGAACAAACTTGGAGTATTTTGTTTTTCTGCAATTCTTCTCACCGGAATTGTTACCGGTAAGCGTGACACTTTATAACGAAAAACGTAAAAACTTAATAAAAAAAAATATTAATTTTTCCCTTTCGTAATTAAAAGATTTTATATAATTAAAACTATCAACTAGAAGCTATCCCGAGTACCAAAAACATTTTTTTATTTTATATTATAAAAATCACTAAAATCCATCTCGATTTTTTTCTATATGCTTAGAGTATGTTATTTGGTACCAATCTGATACTTTTGGTATCAATCTGATACTTTTGGTACCAATCTGATATTTGTGGTACCAATCTGATACTTTTGGTATCAATCTGATACTTTTGGTACCAATCTGATATTTGTGGTACCAATCTGATATTTGTGGTACCAATCTGCTATTTGTGGTACCAATCTGATATTTGTCGTACCAATCTGCTATTTGTGGTACCAATCTGATATTTGTGGTACCAATCTGCTATTTGTGGTACCAATCTGATACTTTTGGTACCAATCTGATACTTTTGGTATCAATCTGATACTTTTGGTACCAATCTGATATTTGTGGTACCAATCTGATACTTTTGGTATCAATCTGATACTTTTGGTACCAATCTGATATTTGTGGTACCAATCTGATATTTGTGGTACCAATCTGATATTTGTAGTACCAATCTGATATTTGTGGTACCAATCTGCTATTTGTGGTACCAATCTGCTATTTGTGGTACCAATCTGATACTTTTGGTACCAATCTGATACTTTTGGTATCAATCTGATACTTTTGGTACCAATCTGATATTTGTGGTACCAATCTGATACTTTTGGTATCAATCTGATACTTTTGGTACCAATCTTATATTTGTGGTACCAATCTGATATTTGTGGTACCAATCTGATATTTGTAGTACCAATCTGATATTTGTCGTACCAATCTGCTATTTGTGGTACCAATCTGATATTTGTGGTACCAATCTGCTATTTGTGGTACCAATCTGATACTTTTGGTACCAATCTGATACTTTTGGTATCAATCTGATACTTTTGGTACCAATCTGATATTTTTGGTACCAAAATGAAATTAGTAAAATGAATTTTACTAATTTTGCAATGACTTTTGCATTTTAAACAATTAATTATTCCAGATTTGTAACATTTCTAAATCAACAAAAAAAAAATTTCGGCTTATTTATTTTTTAAGTATTTTTTACTTGCCAATGTAAGTTGTTTTAGCCAAAATTTTTTTTTTAGAAATGAGGTTCAAAACGACCCAAATATTTTTAACAAAGTTGGTTTTTTTCTTTTGCAGGTAATAATGAGGCGTTTAGGCTAGGCAGAACCTATCCCTCGAATTTCAGATTATATCCAGCGATGCCAAACACAATGCACAATTTTGGTTCCAGTAGTGCGTCGAAATCTTCGAGTAGTGTTTTTAATGGTGTTCCTCAGACCATCACTAACACTCAAGTGTCTGGAAACGCTGCAGCGAGTGCCAGTGCCAATGCTCAAGTAAATGATGGCTTTGGTTTCAATCAGGGTTTCCCACTAACCGATAAACCATTTGCTGATGTCAATTTTGGAACTAAGGTGGACGAAGAGAATAAAAACAGTTGTCAAAATAAGGAACAAGAAGAAAGTGGTTTCGAGAAGAATAACAAAAGTCAACGAAAATCATTTTCAATGGAGCAAGGAGGTATGCTGGAAATTCCCACATTTTCTTTTCCTTTATACAGTATTTAATATTCACTTTTAATATTTACATTTAAATTAACGGTGGTTAACTTGAAAGTATCAAATTCCAACAAATTGATACCAAAAATATGGACCAAATAAGAAATAAAATTGTTCCAAATTTTTGGCATCAATTTGATATTTTCAAGAAAACTGTATCTGTATTTTTGGAAAATTTTTGAAAATTTAAATTTCATGATACTTTTGGTATTTTATTTCAGGATTTGGACAAAATTGCAACTGCGTCTGTAAAGGTATGTTTTTTTTGTTATAATTTAATGGTAAAAATGAATTAATATATGTATTACTTTGTAGTAATAATTTTCTATTATTTATTGTATCTAATTTGGGAGAAATTATTCAATTTTTTTAGAAATATTTGTCGCGAACAAATTGAATGGGAAATTATCGAAATAGATTAAAAATAATTTTTCTTATTTCATTTCAAAGATTATTAATTTCGGTATTTTTTTTCAAGGACCTTAATTTTTGTCGAATACTGTTTGTTAATTGTAATAATTTGTAATTATTTGGACCCAAGACCACAATTAACAAACAGTAATCGACAAAAATTATTAATAGAAAAATATCAAATTTTTTTCAAAGATATCAAATTGATAAGTATTTTGCTATCAATTTGATACTTTTGGTATAACAATTTAATACTTTTGACATCAATTTCACACTTTTGATACTAATTTAAAAAATTGTGTTCCAATTTAATACTTTTGTCATGAATTTAATACTTATGGTACTAATATAATAAACACTATACCAATTTAATAATTTTTGTATCAATTCGATAATTTGAGTACCAATTTGATACTTTTTCTGACAGTTTGATTACCAATTTAATACTTTTGATTTAAATTTGATACTTTTCATACCGATTTAAAAAATTTGGTACGAATTTAATACTTTCTTTATAAATTTGATACTTTTTCCATCAGTTTGCGACTTTTGGTATTAATTTGACAAGTTTGGTATCAGAGTAATATTTTTTGTAGGTACTAATTTAATACCTTTTGTACCATTTTCATTCAGTTGGTAACCATTTGTACCATTTGCACCATTTTAACACTTATGGTATCAATTTGATTCCTTGGTACCAATACAATACTCATTAATAATTTTAGTATCAATTTGATACTTTTAGTTTCCAATACAATAGAATTTGATAATTTTGGTATTAATTTAAAACTTTATGTAACAATTTGATACTTTTGGTACCAATTTAATAAATTTTGTAGCAACTAAATATTTATGGTAACAGTTTGATACATTTTTTATATAATAAATGATTATATTGGTACCAATTTAATAATTTTGGAATTAATTTGATACTTTTGGTAACAAATTTATTAATTTTGGTATCAATTTGATACTTTTGTACCAATTTGATATATTTTGTAACAACTTAATGCTTTTGGCATCAATTTGATAATTTTGGTATTAATTCAATACAATTTCATAGTTTTGGTATCAATTTGGCAAATTTAGTATCAATCTCACACTTTTGGTATCAATCTGAGATATTAGTACCGATCTGATACTTTTTGGATAAATTTGATTCTTTTTCTGTCAATCTGATCCTTTTGGTAAACATTTAATCAATTTTATACCAATTTCGTAGGTTTTTGGTTTAAAAAAATTAATTTTGTACAAGTTTAATACTTTTGGTACCAATCTGATATTTTTGGTATCAATCTGATACTTTTCGTACCAATCTGCTATTTGTGGTACCAATCTGATACTTTTGGTATCAATCTGATATTTTTGGTACTAATCTGATACTCTTGGTACCAATCTGATCTTTTTGGTACCAATCTGATACTTTTGGTGGAAATCAGCGATCCTTTTTGTGTCAATCTGATACTATTGATAAATATTTAATAAATTTTGTTCCAATTTAATAGTTTTTCTTTTAATTTCATATTTTTTTATCAAAACAATAATTTTGTAACAGTTTAATACTTTTGGTATCAGTTCGGTATTTTGGGTACCAATTTAATACTTTTTTAAGAATCTGATTGTTAATGTACCATTTAAATTCTTTTTTCTAACAGTTTGATAACTTTTTTATCAATTTGATAACTTTATTATGAATATGACAAATTTGGTATCAATTAATAAATTGTTACATTTGAAACTAAAAAGCAGTAAATTTCAGTGAAAATTCTTTTAAAACAACTTACATTTTTTAATAAATTAACTGAAAGAAGAGATATCGATTTTTGCCTTTTTTTTAAAAAAGAACTTAATTAACTTAACTTAAAAAAGTATCTTAATTATTTTTGCTACATATTTAATAATGACAAATTTTTAATAATTGTAAATAAATATACATAAATCTTAATAATCTTAATGATTATATAGTAATATAAATTAATAATAATTATAAATATATTAAATTATCTCAACAAATAACAAAATAATTTAAAAATTTTATTGTTAATAACTATATCAAGTTTCAATATAATTAATTCTACAGGAATTTTTTCAAAATGTATCGGGGGATTTCCGATATTTCGTGTATAGAAACACTTTCAGAATAATGTCCCAAAAACTTTTTTTTACAGTGAACTTGAACACAATATTTTGATAAATATACTCTATAATAGATAACTTCGAAATTTTTTTTAACAAGAGAATTTATTATTATTTTGAGAAATGAGGAGCTTATTGCGTAATTTTAGTTATACTTGACCTCACAATTCGTTTTACGCATATATTTACAAGACACATATATTTCTATGGTAATCAGAACTAATTTGACTATTGCGTAATCATTTTACTCTTTTATTTTTGTGTGAAAGAAATTTTTCATTTCTACATATAAAAGTGTTCGTACACTTCCATAATTTTAATTTGTCCACAATTTATTAAAAAGATCTTTATTAATTTACCAAGACTAATTAGTTCTGCCCAATCTAACTAACTAAAAGAGTAATTAAAATAAATGCTTGTAATTTAAACACAAAGAACAAGTCTTTGAAAAAAAATTTTTTTTTTAATTTTTAAAATTTTTAAATTACAAAATTTTTTTTTTAAATCATAATAAATGAATTTTTGTTGAAAACAGGAATCAAGTTTTTTGATGATACTGATACTGACAGCCAAAGCACTAATGCTGACTTCAAAGGAGGAATTAAGTAAGAGTGAGGAGAATTATTATTGTTATTAATGATTTTTATGATTAATTGAGGAAACTGAATAATTTTTTTTCTCTCTTTTTTGACATTTAAGACAATTGCGGATATGATTTTTATACATTGAAGATTTTCAAGAACTGATATATTATTTTTTCTCAAAACAGAAAACAATGAGAATAATAATATTTATTTTTGTAGTATTGATACTCGTTTTGGAACTGATGTATTTTACAAGAGTGGTACTTTCCCAAAAGGACCTTCAAGTGGTGTTTCCAGTAGCAGTTCTGCCCAATCTTTTCCCGATGGTTCTGGTTCCTTTGAAGTTTCAGCCAGTAAAATTCCAGCCTAATTGAAAATTTGACCTTTCCATGGTAAAAGAGCTTGACTATAATAAAAATAAGTAAATTATACTTTACTTTTTTTTTGTGTAAATTTCTATTGCGTTTCAAATATAACCGGAGAAAAACAAAGTATTTATTTCGACTATATATTTCCGATATTAAAAATTCGTTTTTTTTTTTTTTTTAATAAAAATAATTTCTTTGTTTTCAGTTTTCTCGCAGTTTGATTTCTCGTGTATGTATATTACATGTGTCTGAGAATAAATGAAAGAGATTTTAAAATGGGAAGCTTATTTTCTTGTGTAAGATATAATAAATGTAAATTTAAGGAAAAAAAATAAATTAAAGGATATTGTATAATATTGTATTTTTATTTGTCCCTTATAAATATATTTTTTTCCCGATATAATGTATGTGGTTTATAATCCTTGAAAAAATATTATTTTTCTTACTATTAAAAATAATTATAAAAGAAAAATTTATCTCTGTCAATCTGACAGAAATTTATGCAGAATATTTTTGTAACGGAAATGCTTTACAAAAGATGTATAATAATAATGGTCTTTATATTTAGAAAAACGGTGAAATCAGCGAAAATTGTTGACCTACGCATTTTATTGTTGTTAAAACTAATTACACTATCGTTTATTATTCCACTGCGTTCAAAAATTTTTTATGAAATTGTTTTTTCAAATTCTTTTTCACCCTATTTTGTTAAAAAAATAAAGGCTTTTTTTAAAAAAGAAATGTTATTTTATATTATTTATTAATATATTTATTTATTTATATATTTATTTATTATTTATATATTTTATTTACAAGTAGATATTTGAATTTTCGTAAATATGTCATGGAAAATATTGAAAACAAATAAATTTGAAAAAATTATAACCAAAATTTAAAAGAATTTCTTTTTTTGAAAAAATATTTTAGTACAATTTTTTTAAGCTAATTTTTATTAACTTTCATGATTAAAATTTTATTTTGACGATTTTTAATTAGAATATCTTTCAAGAATTCAATTATTTTCAAAATTTATAATTAAAATTCATGATTTGATTTTCAAAAATTCTATAAGGAAGTATAAAAAAAATTATTTTCAATTAAATTTTGACAAAAATTCAATTGTTTAAAAACTTTTTAATTATACAATATTTAAAAATATTAAGTAATTATCTTAAAAAAATTATTCAAAAATAACTTTTCGAAAGATTTGACTACAGTTGTTTTTCGTACTATAAAAATTGAAATAAGTTGCATTTTATACCAAAAAAGTGGTATTTTATTCCAATATTTGGAGAAAAAGTCGAATTTTTTTAAAAGTAAGTCGAAAAAATTTGACTTTTTTGAAAATAGTTGAAAAAAGTCCAAAAAGTCATATGGAGCATTCCAGGTGAAATTTTCATTAAAAATTTCTATTTGTAAAGAAAATTTTTTTCGACTTTCATGTGAAAAATAAGAAAACACGTATTTTTTTATTTTTTTATTGAATACAAATAATGGAAATTGTGACTTTTTTAAATTCAACTTTATCAAAAGCCGATCCCTTTTGAAACATGTTTTTTATTCTTTAATACTTCTAAAAAAATAAAATAAATAATACCACTAAGAATTTATCAAATTTTTGAAAATTTTAATTAAAAATTATTAATGATTGTTTGCTCCAAATATTTAATAATTCAAAAAAATTTAATTTTATAAAAACTATGGTAATTATTTGTTGTATTCATATTTGAATTTTGGTAAATATGTGTAATTGAATAAATGAAAAACAATTGAATTTAAGAAAATCATAACTGAAAAATTCGAGGCTTTGAAGCTAATTTTTATTAATTTTCATTATTAAAGTTTTATTTAAAGATTTTTCTTTAAAAATTTTCGAGTATTCAATTATATTTTCGAAATCACCAAAATTTAATTTTCACAAATTTTAATTAAAAATACATAAAAGAATGAATTATTTAGAATAAAATTTGACCCAAAATTCAGTTATTTAATAACTTTTTAATTAGGTACATTTTCAAAAAAAAATTGCAATATCTATAAGAAATTATTCAATAATAAATTTTCGAATGATTTAACTATTTTTCACACCATAAAAAATTAAAAATTAAAATAAGTTGCATTTTATACCAAAAAAGTGGAATTTCATTACAATATTTGAAGAAGAAGTAAAAAAAAGTCCAATCTTTTGAAATTAAATCGAAAAAATTCGACTTTTTTGAAAATAGTTGGAAAAAATGCAAAAATTAAAATGGGGCATTCCAGGTGAAATTTTTATTAAAAATTTATTTTTGTTCGGAATAATTTTTTTCGAATTTTATATGAAAAATAAGAAAACACGTATTTTTTTATTTTTTTATTGAATAAAAATTATGTAAGTTGTGATTTTTTTAAATTCAACTTCTTCTGAAACCGAAAAATTTTGAAAGACATTTTTCTCTAAAATACTTCTAAGAGAAAAAAAAGATTAGTATATAAAATATATTCAACTTTTCTTCGAATTTTTTATATATTCAATAAAAAATAACGTATCTGCAACGAAAGTATAAATAAATTGATATTTAAAATTTTGGTTTTAGTTTATCTTATAAGCAATTTTTTTATGTTTTTTATTTCGATTAAATAAAATGCATTTTTATTACTGCGTGTTATTAAATTAAACGTACAATTTACATTAAGTAATGTTTTTAATTAAGTGAACGTATACTCTTCATTTAACTCAAATTATGATTAGAGTCATTAAATTAATTTGTAATTAAATTTTTAGTTAAAAACAAAAATTTTCCTTATGTGTAGAACGTTTCAAATAAATAAATATTTTTTTATTCTAAAATTTTCAAAATTTTTCACACTAAAATTAAAATTGTAGACTAAATTCAACATTTATATAGAAACGAATTAATTTTCTACATTAACAGAAAAATAGTTACTATGGTAATAAAATACAAATTTTACCGAAATAGAAAAAAAGTATATAGTTTATTTCAACGTTCAAATCTTTAGGAACACTTTGAATTAGATATAATTTTACTTTTTCTTAATCTTATAGTGGAATATTTGAATGAAGTAAATTGCTTTCAAAATAATGTTAAGTACAATAATTTGCATTTTTGTAATGAAATCATTAAGTAAAACTTAAATTTAGTTTAGAAAAAAAAAGAATTAGATGTTTTATTTTTCGTTAATCTTGTATCAGATTTTTTTTATTTTCAACAGTAAAATAAAATTTCTATTTTTGTAATAAAAATAAACGAATTGAAAATTAAATTTTATTAAATGAAACAATTAGATTTAATTAATTTTTTTGTACTAGATTTAATTTACTAAAAAATTAATTTAATTTACTTTAATTTACTATTTTTTTGAATTTTTTTTTTACTAGATTTTTTTTTTATCTTTGTACTAGATTTTTGAATGAAAATAAATGAATTAAAAATTAAATTTGGTTCAAAAGAAAATAAATATAATTTGGTTTTGTTAATCTTGCTCTAGATTTTTTGAATGAAGTAAATATTTTCAAATGCAAAATACAATTTTTATTTTTTTATAGGAAGGAATAAAATAAATTAATTAAAAATTAAATTTCGTTCAAAAAATATGATTTGTTTTATATACTTATTTATTTATTTAGCAAATAGACTAGACAATATTAATATTGTATTTGATTATTTGAATAAAATATGAATTGCCTTCGAATGTAAAATACAATTTTTATTTTTGTCGTAAAATAAATAAGTTAAAAATTAAGTTTAGTTCAACAAAAAAAATAGATGATTTATTTAATATTAATCTTGCACTGGATTATTTTTTTGTTGTTTTTGTTTTCAAATGCAAAATAAAATTTCTATTTTCGTAAACAAGGGAATTTCTATTTCCAATGAATGCTTTTCGGAAAATCCGCGAGTAATGTTATGCTATCAAAATTTGACTATATAGGAAGCACTCTGAATATTAATTAACTATACAGTTAGTTTTCAATTCTTTTTTTTTCGTATATATGATTTACTACTTCCCCTTTATAGATGTTGGGGTTATCCCAAGAAGTTCCATAGAATATTACAGCAGCCTTGGTTTAATTTTATTTTTCATCTTGGGAACATCCAAATGCCGTCATTTCAATGGAAGGAAGGGGTCATCGGTGGGAGTTTCTACTATTTAAGATTCACTTTACTCTAAGATCGCCACAGTCAAAGATGACGAAGCGTCAAGTTTTCTTCGGACTTTTAGTCCTTTTGGCTGTTACAGTTTACGCACAAGGTAAATAAACAAAATTACTTTTTATTTACATGTGCTTTTCTTTTTGCAAATTTTGAAAACATTTCTTTTCGTTCTCGCTCAGGGTTAATTTATTTTTTATTTGAAAAATTATTTTGAAAAACTAATAATAAATAATAATAATAATAATAAAATAAAAAAATAAAAATAAAATAATGAAAACTAATAAATTTAATTAAAATAAGTCTAATTAAAAAATATCTAATTAAATTAAACACGGAATTTCGTGGACATTAAATTAAAATCATAATTAATAATTGAAATTATAGCAAAAATTGTAATGAAAAATTGCAAACTGTGATAAAAGAATAATTAATTGTTAATTAATACATTACACAAATTCATAAAATAAATTAATACATAATACATAATAAAATCATAATTAATAATTGAAATTATTTAATTAAAAATGTAAACTGTGATCAAAAAATAATTAATTGTTAATTAATACAATACAAATTCATATTAGTAAACTACTTTTGTCAAAGAAGATAAAAAAAGAAAAAAACTATTTTTAATGATGAATGAATTTTTAAATACAGTAATAAATCATTAGCGAACAATTAATTACAAATGAATATGCAAATTTCAATTTTAGTATTTACAATTTAAAATTTTGATACAAATCACGATTTATTCCTAAAGGAAGAACATAAATTACATTACCAGTTTTTAAATTTTGCAAAAACATACAATTCTATCGGAATTTTTTCAGAATATTTCGCTAATACTTTCAACAAATTTTTTCGAAAAAAATATACTCTCATAAATAATAAATAATAATTTGTTAACAAAAATCACAAAATAAATAATAATAATAAACTTTCATAAATAATAATGTATTAATAATATGTTACAATATTTCGATAAAATTTTTAATAAATTTAAAAAAGCGGACAATAAATAACATTAAAAGAGAAATTTTTTTAAATGAATAAAAATATATTAACAACAATTGATATAATATTTCACTAATATTTTCAATACATTTCGAAAAATATAATATATATTTTTACCAATAAATTAAATATTTAAATTAAAAATTAAATTAAATTAAATTAAATTAAACCATAATAAATAATAGTATTTATTGAAACTATCTCCCGGCAAATTTTTAATAATAATATTAAAAGAGAAAATTATTTAAATAAATAAATATTAACAATTCATACGATATTTCACCAATTTTTTTTTAATAAATTTTAAAATATAATATTTGTCAACAATTAAATATTTAACAACTAAATAACAATTTTTTTTTAATATTTCTTTAATTTTAATATTGTTTATAAATTATTTATAAACTAAAATTCATTTATTTACGTGTTCATAGATTAATTCCACTATTGGAGTAAAAGAATAACACATTGTGTAATAAAAGATAATTAAAAACATGTAAATAATAACAACAAAAACTCAATAAAAGGAAATTAAATGACCCATTTTTATTTATCAACAAACTATAACAAAGTAAAAAAAAAAACTTGACCTTTTTCGTAATTTTCATTTTATCATGATAATTTCAAACGTTGGCCAATCTCTCTATATTCTCTTTTTTTTCTCTCTCATCTCATCTCCTCTCAATGGTTCTAATTGACCTTGTCTTTGGGTTTTCCCAGTCTTCAAAAAAGCCGTTTTGCGCGTGTGTCAGATAACTCTTCTTTTTTTCAAAAATAGTCTCTCTCGTTTCGTTATTTCAGGTTCAAGAAGTTAAATAAATCTCATCCTTTTATTTTTAACGCAGTTATTGATGAGCTTGGATTAATTAATATCATTTACTTGCATTGATTAAAAAAAAAAAACAGTTTCGACCACATGCCGATAATATATAACTTACGAGATAACGAATGTGGTGTAATATTGTATATTTATCAACAAAAATTTTTAATCAACTTTTTATTTATCTTCTAATATAACTCTGCGCGAGTTTCAATAATTTAATGGTTGTAAAGATCTGACACAGAAATAAATTACATAATTGCAATAATTAAAAAATTAAAATGCAGTTTTAGATTCCAAAAACAGTTTTGCTCTCCTTAATTGCGGTATAATTAAAAATTATGAGAATAGAGGAACTATATTAGGATATATACGTTGAACCGTAAATTTATAATTTTACTTTTTTTTCTATCCAATACCGTGACACTGAAAGATAGCATTTTTTACTTTACAAAATAATTTTTTATTCTCATTTTCGTTATTACTATTTTCATTTTTATTGTTATTTTAGGCCTCGGATATTATGACTTTTTTCGACTATTTTCAAAAAATGTGACTTTTTTCGACTTATTTTAAAAAATTACGACTTTTTCGACTTTTTTCCAAATATTGCAATAATTTTTAGTATAAAATGGAACTTATTTCGATTTTTATATATGTACCTAGTGTAAAAAATAACTAATAGACAAATCTTCAAAAATTATTTTTTAAATAATTTTTCTAATAAAAAAAAAATTTTTTTCTATAACAAAATTTAAAAAAAAATACAATTAAAAAGAGTTTTAATAATAGAAATAATGTAAAATTTAATTAAAAATTAATTTTTTTTTAAAATTGCAAATTTTGAAAATAATTGATTTTTCAAAAATTTTAATGAAAAAATCTTCAAGTGTAAATTTAAAAATGGTATAATTAATGAAAATTAGCCTCTAAAAATTATATTGAAATATTTTTGAAAAAAATAATTCTTAGAATTTTGACACTCTAATTTTTTAAAATACAATTATTTTAAATATTTTCAAATACAAATTTCAAAAAATTCTAATACATAGTTATCAAAAAATTAGTTTTTTAAAATTAAACAAAAATTCTTTTCAGAAATTCAATTGTTTTCGAAAAATTACATTGCAATATTTTTTTAAAAAAAACTTCTTCTTGTGATTTTTTTATCTTAATTTTTTTAAGATTCAATTAACTTCGAGGAAAGTAAATTAAAATTTTTTTAAATTTACTTTTTTAGATTTATTAAAATTGTAGAGAAATCACGTTTATATTAATAAATTTAAATTCTTCAAAAATTCAATTATTTATTTAATAGAATTTACCAAATTTCAATTATTGTATGTAATTGGACAACTATTATCTCTCATAAATTATTTTTAAAATATTATTTAAAAAAAAAATTAATTTGAAGAATTTCTTTATTATAATTTTTATATTATTTTTTTATTATAATTATTAAAATTAATTAATAATTAAAAAAACATGGACAATTACAATTATTTTAAGAAACTGAATTTTTGTATTTAAAATTTTAAATAATTTAATTCTCTTAGAATTTTTGGAAAATTATTCAAAATAATAATTATAATAATTATTATTAAAATAATAATTATTAAAAATAATTGATTTCGAGAAAAAGTTGGAATAAAAATTATAGAAAATAAATAGAATTTTAAGAGAATTACAGGCGCAATTTTTATAACTTCATAAATTTCAGAAGTTTTTAAATAGAAATTTTTAAAATTTTTGTTATAACACTAAATTAAATAAACGAATTTTTCGACTTTTTTTCTATTTTAAATCGATTAAAGCGATTTTTTTTGCGCCTTCAAGTCGATCCGAGGCCTGTTATTATTTTTTTTATTATTTATTTATAATTATAATTTATTTATTATTTATTGTTATAATTTTTATTTATTTCTTTATGACGCGCTCCGAAGAAAGTTACCTAAAGAAGCAAATCATTTTAAGGTTATTTTTATGTTATTTTTACCTTAATTTTCTGGTTTTTTTTAATTCTTTAAAACTAAAATCAATGATTATTAATTATTTTAGCTTTAATGATGACTTGGCAATCAGTATTTTAAATTGAGAGTTGTTCCTCTTTTTGTAATTTCGTTCCAAAAATTACAAACATAACCTCAAATTTCTTGCTTCAATAATAATTGGACGTTTATTTATTTTAATATAAATATTTGGACGTTTATTTATCTTAATATAAATATATTTGCACGTTTATTTATTTTAATATTGCAAAGCAACGTTTTGATACATTTTTTGTCTCAATATTTGCCAACCTTAGAAAAAGTGTAAACAAAATATAAATAAATTATTATTCTCATTTAAAAATCGTAATTAGTTGGTTTTTGTTTTAATTTTTAAATGATGAAACATCAATGATTTTGATTTTTATTATAAATTTTTTTTTAGTATAAAATCATAAGTGTAACGCGTACGCTGAATGTAAACTATATGTGAGTCATTAAAAAACTTTTTTTTTTCTATAAAGAATACATTGCATTAATGAAATTTAAATATAGTTCTTAATAAGCTTCACATTGATTTTCGTAAATAATTAACTTGACATTGAAAGCGTGTACCTTTTCTTTCATCTTTTCTGCTGAGTCAGATAATATAGAGACAGATTTAAAAGTTGTATTGGCTCTCGCGTAACCTTCCTAAGAATAGTGTACAAAGCATATATCTCTCTTTGATGATGTCAATTATATTGTAGACATATTATACACATATTGTTTGTGTGTTAAATTTTCATAATATGACATGATTTTCTACCGGTTTTAAATCTATTACTTCTAAAAAGCAATAAAAAAAATCAATAAAAAAAAATATTGATATGGTCGTAACTGTTTTTTGCTCGGCTGGTTTTAATATATATATATGTGTCTAGAGGGGCATCGGGGGAAAAGGGATATTTTTTGTATTTGTCAGTTATCCGGGATTTAGAATTTATAAAATAATTTGGTTTTTAACTTTAAAGTTCCGATGCGCTTTTCTCCCTAAATTTTTTGCAGTGTAAACAGATTTTGAAAGTATTTAATGACATTCAGAGTTAGGAGTAAATTTTCTTGAATTAAAAATCACTAAGTTTCTTCACGGAGAAAAATATAAAGTATAACTTTTACTACTTTTATAATAAAACATTTCTGGTAATTTTTACTACTTTCGGAGTAAATTTTGCTACGTTCGAATTAAATTTCACTAATTTTTACAAATATTTTCTTTGAACGTAGTAAAATTTACTTCGAACGTAGCAAAATTTACTTCGAAAGTAGTAAAAGTTACCAGAAATGTTTTTATACTATAAAAGTAGTAAGAGTTACTTTTTATTTTTCTCTATGTTCATATATAGCCCAGATGGTCAATAAAGTGACCATTATTGCCCATGGACAATAATAATATAACCCAGCGGTCAATAGAGTTCCTGTGAACGGTCAAATTTCCTATTATTGCCCTAGGCTAATAATGGGTACTTTATTGTCCTGGGAGCGGTCAAAGTGCCCATTATTGACCTAGGGTAATAATGGATACTTTATTGACCGCTGAGTTATAAGGGGGACCGTAATATGCGCCTTTAAAGATATAGGTAAAGTGACCCGAGTTGGATAAAGCAACTGAGTTGCATACAAATAATGATGAAACTGAAAAAAATAATAATTTTCAATTTCAGGTGAAAGGAATAAGCGATATGCTTACAGCAGCAGTAGTAGCAGTAGTTCAAGTTCAAGTTCAAGTTCAGGTTCAGGCGGCGGTACTCAAACATTGACAAATTCACATGCAACCGGAGGAGCGAGCGCTGATGCCAAGGCTGGAGCAACCGCTGATGGCCATGGTCATGGAGGTAAAAATAATTTAATTGTTATGGAAAAAAAATTTAATTTTAAAGGAGAACAAAAAAATAATAATAATGAAAATATTTATCAAGGGCATGGAGGTGGGTTTGGAGGAGGTGGTGGAGGACTGGGAGGTCAAGGTGGGGGATTAGTTGGTCATGGTGGAGTGTTGGGTGGAGGTGGTTACACGGGAGGTTTGGGAGGAGGTGGTCATGGAGGAGGACTCGGTGGTAGCCATGCTGGTGGCGGATCTTATGGTGGTTTCGATGGCGGAGCAGGAGGTGGGCATGGTGGAGGAGGAGGAGGAGGAGGACTTGGTGGTAGCCATGCTGGTGGCGGATCTTATGGTGGTTTCGATGGTGGAGCAGGAAGTGGGCATGGTGGAGGAGGAGGAGGAGGACTTGGTGGTAGTCACGCTGGTGGTGGTTCCTATGGTTACAATCAGGGTGGTTCCCTAGGGGGCAGTCATGCCGGATCAGGTGGTTACGGTGGTAAAGGAGGTGGTCTTGGTGGTAGTCACGCTGGAAGTGGTAAGAATAACTTTTTGTTTTAATAATTTCACTAACTATTCATTAATAATACAATGTTAAGAATACACTAATTATTAATAATTGCATTAACTATTTTTTATCTTTCTTACACGTTAACCGTTTTCTTTGTTTTCTTTATTAATTATTTCTTAATCATTAGTTGTTTTTGTTCTTTAATAATTAATTTCTTATTTGTTAACCTTTTTGTTTCTTTACTTTATTAATTATTTTTTAAATTAACAGGTTTCTTTCTTTTCTGTATTAATTATTTATTTCTTATTCATTAACTTTGATTAACTTTCATTAATCTTATTAACTGCTTTCCTATAATTATTATTTATACCTATTTTACTAATTAACTAACTCTATAGAACGAACTTTTAATTGTTCACCAAAGTTTTTATCTTTTATGTTTGCAAACCAATTATTGATAATTTTTGACACTTTTTTAACCTCGTACAACTATTTAGTTACTATTTTTAAAAAGAATCACACTTATTGAGTTTAAAAAATCCACTAAATGTACTGTTTCCTTAAACAAGATTTTAAATAATTATTAATTTAGATTCTTTCGATATGGATACTTCATCTTTTATTAAATATACAACAAATTTGAGAAAAATCAAATAAATTTCATACAGTAAATTTTTTCTAATCTCCTATAAGTATTAGAGAAAATCGTCTTTCAAAAGTCCTCGGCTCCTGAAGATAGTTGAATTTAAAATAATCATAACTTCCATAATTTTTATCGAATAGCAAAATAAAAAAATACGTGTTTTCTTATTTTTCACATGAAATTCGAAAAAAATTGTTTCTTACAAATAGAAATTGTTAATGAAACTTTCACCTGGAATGCTCCACAAGACTTTTTGCACTTTTTATAACTATTTTAAAAAAAAATCCAATTTTTTCGATTTATTTTCAAAAAATTCGACTTTTTTGACTAAATAACTGAATTTTGGCAAATTTTATTGTAAATATTTCATTAAAATTTTTGAAAATCAAAGTTTGATAATTTTTCATTGTAAATTTTAAAAATAATTGAATTCTCGAAATATTTTAAAGAAAAATCTTAAAATAAAAATTTAATAATGATAAATTTATAAAAATTAGCTTCGAAAATATGTATTAAAATATTTAAAAAAAAAGTAATTTCTTGAAATTTTACATTATGATTTTCTTAAATTAAATTGTTATCAATACATTCAATAACATATTTACGAAAATTCAAATATCTGTACAAAAAATAATTATCAAAATTTATTTTTTTAGAATAATTATTAAATTTTTGGAGAAAAGAATCATTTTTGAAAGTAATTAAAATCTTAAAAAAATTGAATAGAAATTTTATTAGTTTTATTGATTTAATTTATCTTATCTCCTAATAGTATTAAAGAAAAGCGACTTTCAAAAGTCATCTGCTTCTGAAGAAGTTGAATTTAAAAAAATCACAACTTTCATAATTTTCATTCAATAACAAAATAAAAAAATACGTGTTACTTTATGTTTCATATGAAATTCGAAAAAAATTGTTCCTTACAAATAGAAATTTTGAATGAAAATTTCATCAGGAATGATTCATATTTGTTATAAAATTTAACTTTTCAATTTTTAAAGTGTGAAAAATAACTACAGTTAAATCTGTCGAAAATTTTTTTTTTTTGAATAATTTTTTTAAGATAATTAAATTTTTGAATACCTATATAGAATTAGTTTTTAAATAATTGAATTCTGTGTCAAATTTTTTTGGAATTAATAAAATGTATTACGCTTCACTAACTTAATTATGTTCAACAGTAAATTATAGAAATGATTTATTAAATAAAATATTTGTTCTTTAAAGGTGGATACGGAGGAAACGGTGGTTTCGGAGGAGGACATGGAGGATTAGGAGGTAGTCACGCTGGTGGTAGTGGTGGTTTCGGAGGAGGCTATGGAGGTGGACATGCAGGTCAAGGTGGAGGTCAATACGGCGGATACGGAGGTTACGGAGGATTTGGTAATTGACAACTTATATGCTATATATACTCAAACTTTCAGTAGTATTATTAATTATTATTATTCACCTAATTATCCTTATTATCATTACTATCCCCTCTGGGCAAAAAACTATATATGTTTGTTCAAAAAATATTTCCAAAACTTTTTTAGAATATATCATGTCCGCCAAATAATGTTCTACAGAACATTATTTGAACATTCGTGTTCTTAAAATGTTCTAGAACATTATTTGAATATTTGTCGTCTTAAAATGCTCTAGAACATTATTTGAAAATCCATTTTCGACAAATGTTTTAGAACATTATTTGGCTGACATGAAACGTTCTAGGAACATTTTTAAAACGTTTTTGGAACGATCATGATTTTTTGCCCAGTGGGTCATTATTATCGTTAAATACCATTATTATCATTACTATCATTATCATTATTCGTCATTAAATATGAAAATAGTTATTCGTCATTATTCATCATTATGAAATAAACTGAAAGTACTTTCATGAAAGCTCGCTCCTTTCATCAACAACCATCTATCGAATTTATTTTCAGGTCCCTTACCTGGACAACCAGGATATCAACTTGATCCCGGATTCGCACCAGGAACATTTAATTATCCAGGTTAAGTAAAACATTTCTTCATTCGCTTCATTATTTCTTCATGCATTGTAAAAAAAATTCTCAATAGATACTCCAACTAGCATATCTGAAAGTACTTTCAAAATTTGCCAATTTGACCAAATTCGTCTCTTCAATTTTTAAAAATGTCTCATTTCTTTTTTTAGGAAACAGACCCCTACCTGGACAACCAGGATACCAAGTTGACCCCGGATTTTACCCTGGAAATTTGAATAACGGTTACAATAACTTTGGAGGTGGTGCAGGAGGTGGTGGTGGTGGCGGTGGAGCTTCTGCAAATTCCAAGGCTGATGCATCTGCCGGAAGTAATGCTGGTGGTCATGGTGGAGTAGGAGGTGGTCATACTGGAGCACTCGGAGGAGGTCATGGTGGATCACTTGGAGGAGGTTATGGCGGTAACTACGGAGGTGCTAATGGTGGTGGTGATCACTACGGAGGTGGTCATGGTGGCAACCTTGGAGGTGGTTATGGTGGATCTCTTGGTGGTCCTCTTGGAGGTGGTCTTGGTGGTTCAGGAGGTTCCGGTTCTTCCAATGCCCAGGCTAGTTCCAGCGCCAGTTCCAATGCTAATTCTAACGGAATTAAGTGAGTTTGTTAAATTTCTTTCCATATTTAACAATCGAATTTTGATATAAACTATATTTTTTCTGTAGAATATTTGTTATTAATATTTATGTTAGTAATATTTATGTCATTAATATTTCTCCGAAGAAAGGTACGTAAGAAGCAAATTATTTTAGGTTTAGCGGTAAATAAAGTGCCCATTATTGCCCTAGGGCAATAATGGTCACTTTATTGACCGCTCGCAGATCAATAAAGTACTCATTATTACCCTGGGCAATAATGGTCACTTTATTGACCAGCTGGGCTATATAAAAGTCCCTAAGAAGATTTTCATTAAAAATTTTTGTTTTTTTAACAAAATAAAATAAAAATAAATCAATAAAACAAAATATAACACACAAAAAATATTTCAGCATCTTCTCTCGATTCGGCGAAGGTGAAGGGGGCGCGAAGGAAGTGGCTAAAACCGGAAATGTCGAAGGAGGAAAAGGTGTCTTCAGCAGCAGTTCCGTGAGTGTTGGTCCTGATGGAAAAGGAACATACAGTGTCCAAGCGGGCAAAATCCCGTAAATTATAAATCAAAACATTTCTCCTTTTTTTTACAATTTTATATTAAATCTTATTTATAATAATTATTAAATATTTGCGAATAATTTGATACATGCATTTTTTTTTTTTTTTTTGCAAACCTGTAAAATAATATTTTTTTTCTTATTTATAAGAATTGTATACTCAAAAGCAGAACGTCAATGTGTATACCTAATAAAATAAATTGAACAATGAAAACCATGAATTCAAATTGAAAACAATTTACAATGTGAAAAAATGAAAATTCTAAGTTTGTATATATATAAGAATTTACATTATAAGTACCATTATTGTGATAATATTAGCGCCAATAAATGAAAAAAAAAATTATTCTCAAAACTTGTTTTTCTTTTTTTTCGTTTACGAATCAATTATATTTATCTTGTGGAATAATTAAAGATTTTCTAAGGATATCAAATTGAGGCAAAAAACGTATCAAAATTGTTGCATCGCAAAAATTTTGATACGTTTTTTGTCTCAATTTGATATCCTTAGGAAAACTTTAAAATAAGTATCAAAAAACGTATATATTGTAGTATCGCAAAAATTTTGATACTTCTTTTAGCTTAATTTGATATCCATAGAAAAACTTTAAAATAAAGTATCAAAAAACGTATCAAAATTGTTGTATCGCAAAAATTTTGATACTTTTTTTGTCTCAATTTGATATCCTTAAAAAAAACTGTGAAAATAATTCTATATAATGAAAAGATTAAGTAAAAAGGGTAAAAAGAGTAAAAAGGCAGAAAGGAAGTATAATGATAATTCCAAATTGCAAATAATAATTTAATATTATTTTATAATATAAAATATTTTATTATCAATTCATAATAAATATTTAAAAAATTAAAAAATAATTAAAAATACAAAATCAATACAATTCAAGATAAAAACATCAGTTGAGAGTTTGCAGGAAGGGGAAACTGGAAATAATTACAATATCTCTTTTTCTTTATAAAATTATTATATAAAATTATTATATAGGGAGCGGGGGGTAATTTCCAAGAAATTCGCGCCTGCTATCAACAAGGTCAAGAAAAAACATTTTTTTTTTTTTGCTATAAGTTATAAGTTTATTCTTCACACACATTTTTTGATATACATATACAAACATTCTCGCACTCTTGTATATAGACAATACATGTTAAATACACATACTTAAGGATTCAAACTTGAAGATTTAAACTGTTGTTTATATGAATATTAATACTTTTACGGTATTTACTTGCGCACAACGATACCAAGGACCCAACATTTCTGAACATATAAAATTGCGGTTCTGCTTGCATTCATTATGAATATTATCGGAATTTCCAAAAAATCCAGTCATGAATTTATAAAAAGAAGTTGAACTTTAAATATTGATTTATGACGCAAATAAAAAAAATGAAGATTTAAATTTGCAAAAGAGAAATTTTTTTCGGATAAAATATTAACAAAAATTTTAATTAACAACAAATTTTTGTACTCCTTAATTTATTTATTTACTTGTTGATATTATTTATTAACTGTTTAATATATTTAATTTGCTCTTTAATATATATATTTATTTACGCATCGATATTATTTATTTACTGTATATTTAATTTGTTCTTTAATATATTTATTTACTCATCGATATTATTTATTTACTGTTTAATATATTTAATTGACCCTTTAATATATTGATTTACATATTTAGATTTTTGGGATTTACAGAAAAATTTCAAAATTTTCAACGCAAAATGTTTTAAAATCGTTTTTAAAGCTGTTTGGAGTAATTTTGCACTTTGTGTTAAAAATCTTAACTTTAACAGTGTTTATAATTAATTTATATTTTTCACAAAAAAAAATAATAAAAAAATAAAAAAATACGTCACATGAAATTTAAAAAGATTGGTCCTAACAAATAAAAGTGTTTAATGAAAATTTCACCTTGAATGACCCATATGACTTTTTGCATTTTTTCCAACAATTTTCAAAAAAAGTCGAATAATACAATTTTTTGTTGCTAATTTTTATTAATTTTCATTATTAATAATTTGTATTGGAAGATTTTTCTTTAAAATTTTACGAGAATTCAATTATTTTCAAAATTTGCAATGAAAAATCATCAAAATTTGTTTTTCAAAAATTTTAATAAAATACCTCGTAAAATACATAAAAGAATTAATTATTTACAATAAAATGTGACAAAAATTCAATTATTTCATAACTTTTCCATTATATATTTAAAAAAAAATTTAAATATATTTAAAAAATTATTCAAAAATAAATTTTCGAAAGATTTGACTACTGTTATTGTTTAAATTAAAAAATTGAAATAAGATGCATTTTATACCAAAAAAGTGGTATATTTTATTGCAATATTTCAAGAAAAAGTCGCAAAAGTTGCATTTTTTGAAAATAAGTCTAAAAAATTTGACGTTTTTGAAAATTGTTGGAAAAAGTCCAAAAAATCATGTGGGACATTCCAGGTGAAATTTTCATTAAAAATTTCTTTTTGTTAGGAACAATTTTTTTCGAATTTCATGTGAAAAATAAGGAAACACGTATTTTTTAAATTTTTTATTGAATGAAAATTATGGAAGTTATGATTTTTTAAATTCAACTTCTTTAGAAGCCGAAAACTTTTGCAAGACACTTTTCTTTAATACTCCTAGAAAATACGATAAATTAATCCACTAATACCAATAAGAATCTATTGAATTTTTTAAAGATTTAAATTAAAAATTTCAAAAATGATTGTTTGCTCCAAAAATTTAATAATTCTAAAAAATTAAATTTTATAAAAACTATGTTAATTATTTTTGTATGGATATTTGAATTTTCGTAAGTATGTAATTAATTATATTGAAAACAATTGAATTTAAGAAAATCATAATAATATAATTCGAGGAATTCTTTTTTTAAAAAAGATTTTAATAAGTACAATTTGTCGAACCTTTTTTTTAATTTTCATTATTAAATTTTTATTTGAGGATTCTTCCTAGGGGCTGTCCATGAATTACGTAACACGTTTTTAGTGAAATTTTGAACCCCCCCCCTCCCCCTATGTAACAGGTTGTAACAAAATCGTTTTACCCCCCCCCCCTCTATCATTGTTACGTAATTTTTAAAAATATTTTTTTTAACTAACGTTTTTCGAAACAAATTTGTTTATTACTGTTATTTTTAGTATTTATATCGTACAATAGCAATACAAAATTAAATTAAATATAAAAAACATTTAGAGGAATAATTTTATTAATATTTATATTTTTTTTTACTTATATTGAAGTGGCGGCAAGGGACAGCTTTTGAAAAATTTATCGATTATAAAGAGATTAAGTTCCTTATAAATATTACGTAACAATGATGATTGACCCCCCCCCCTCCCATGTAACATATGATAACATTTTCTCGAACCCCCCCCCCCCTAAATGTGTTACGTAATTTATGGACGGCCCCCTAGAATTTTTTGAGAATTCAATTATTTTCAAAATTTGAAATAAAAAATCGTCAAAATTAGATTTTCAAAAATTTTAAGAAATATTTACAATAAAATTTGCGAAAAATTCAGTTATTTCATAACTTTTTCATTATATTATGTCGTTTAAAAAAATTTTATTATTTTTAAAAAATTATTCAAAAATAAATTTTTGAAACATTTGACTATAGTTATTTTTCACACTATAAAAATTAAAATAAGTTGCATTTTATACCAAAAAGTGGTATTTTATTGCAATATTTGAAAAAAAAGTCAAAAAAAGTCGAATTTTTGGAAAATGAATCGAAAAAATTGGATTTTTTTTTAAATAGTTGAAAAAAGTGCAAAAAGTCTTGTGGAGAATTCCATGTGAAATTTTCATTAAAAAATTTCTAATTGTAAGGAACCATTTTTTTTTAATTTCATGTGAAAAATATATTTTAATGTATAATTTTTTGAAGTTAAGTTTAATTAATTTTCATTATTAGATTTTTATTTAAAGATTTTTTGTTATAAATTTTTGCGAGAATTAAATGATTTTCAAAATTTTCCAATGAAAATTCCCTAAAATTTGATTTTTAAAATGTAATACATAAACAATATTATGAATTATTTTCCATAAAATTTGACAAAAATTCATTTATTTAAAAATACATTTTAATTCTAAAAATTTTTAATATTTAATTTACGTTAAAAAAATTTATAAAAAATAATTTTTCGAAAGTTGACTATATAGTTATTTTTTACACAGATAAAAATCGAAATAAGTTGCATTTAATTCTTAAAAATTGATATTTTCTTGCAAATATTTAAATAATTGTCAAAAATTATGTGGAGCATTCCAGGTGAAATTTTCATTAGAAATTTATTTTTGTTTGAGACAATTTTTCTTAAAAAATTGTTTATTTTTCTTGTGTGAAAAATAAGAAAACACATATTTTTTTATTTTGTTTTTGGATGAAAATTATGATTTTTTTAAAATTCAATTTCTTCATAAGCCGAGGACTTTTGAAAGACGTTTTTCTCTAATCGATAAAAAAAAATGTCCTCTTTGAAATTTATTCGTTTTTTCTTGTTATTTCTTTATTTATTATATATACTTTAAAATATACTTAGTAAGATTGTTTAATATTATTTTTTAAAATATTTACTCAAATTATTTTTTAAGTATTAGTATATATATGTAACTTAATAAGAAATTGTAGTAGTGATATGAAATTGTTCCGTTTCAATTAAAAATTGAGTAATATGACAAATTACGATAATAAATAAATAATAATTAAATAAATTCTGAATAATTCTTATTAATGGATAAAATTAGAGTAAATAAAGTAGGGGAAAAAAATAGATTAATTGTATAGATAATGAATTTTTATTTCTATTTTAAAATTAAAATTACGCGTTTCGATGTATTTGGCAATAAAATATTAAAGTACTTAAATATTTATTATTTAATACTTAAATATTTAGTGTAGAAAATACTATTTATAATAAATTAAACGTAAAATGAGATAAAAAATGTTCTTTGTCTTCTAATTTTCGACAGTTGTCGATTTTGCCTCAGCCGTTGTTGATTTTGCCTCGGCAGTTGTAGTTGTATTTGTACTATCGTCACTGTCGTCACCTAAACGACTGCCCAAATAGAAATGAGAATATGGTTGAATGTAACCCGAATTGCTGTTGCTATTTGAATATGAGTTGGCTCGACCATTTCCAGAGGCTGAGGAAGCCGCTGCAGCTGATGCACTCGTGTGTGGAATTCCATTGACGAAGGAGACTCCAACAGCTGAACCTGCACTTGCAGCGCTTGCGCCATTGCCATTATTAGCAACTGAATTAGCAATTGAATTTGCCAGACTACTCGAGTAACCATTATTGTAGTAAGGATTGCCATTGAACGTTGCTTGCGAATTGGCATTGGCATTGGCATTGGCATTGGAATTTCCGTATCCGTTTCCATAGGAATTCGCATTGGCATTGGCATTTGAATTGGCATTTCCGTATCCGTTTCCATATCCATTGCCATAGCTGTTGGCCTTTGCAGCCGCATTTGCATTGTTGTATCCGTTTCCATAGGAATTTGCGTTTGCATTCGCATTCGCGTTCGCATTTCCATGGTTGTAATGCGAAGGGCTAAATAAAAATATAAATTTTTTATTCAATTTTTACCATTTACTGATAAAACCAAATATTTAATTAAGGTTCACAGATTTTCTGCATACTGTGTTCGATTAAAATAAAAATCAAGTATCTGATTCGATGCTTATTTATATGGTTCAATTTTTAATAATAAAACAATGAATTATTTCTTCTTAAATTTCATAAAAATACAATAATTTAAAAATATTTGAATTCAACATATTTCAAAAATTTAATATTCCAAAAAATTATTCAAAAATAAATATTATAGAAAGATGTGACTATGGATATTTTTCACACGACAAAAATCGAAACAGTTACATTTTATATAAAAAAAAGTGGTATTACATTGTAGAAAACAAAATTGATTTTAATAAAATTATGATAAAAATATTCGAGTACAATTTCTTTTTCAAAAAATATTTAAATATAATTTTTTAAAACTAAATTTTTATAAATTTTTATTATAAAATTTTTATATAAAGATTTTTTCTTAATTTTTTGAGAATTCTATTATTTTCGAATTTTACAATTACAAATCATTAAAATTTTATTTCCAAAATTTTTTAATCATAATTAAAATTGAAATAAGTTGCATTTTTATACCAAAAAAAGTGTTGCAATATTTGAAAAAAGAAGTCAAAAAAAGTCGAATTTTTTTAACATAAATCGAAAAAATTGTATTTTTTTGAAAATAGTTGTAAAAAGTGCAAAAAGTCTTGTGGAGCATTCCAGGTGAAAGATTCATTAAAAATTTCTTTTTGTTTGCAACAATTTTTTTTCGAATTTCATGTGAAAAATAAGAAAACACGTATTTTTTTATTTTGTTATTCGATAAAAATTATGGAAGTTATGATTATTTTAAATTCAACTATCTTCAGGAGCCGAGGACTTTTGAAACACGTTTTTCTCTGATACTTTTGGAAAATACGATAAATTAATCCACTAATACCAATAAAAATCTATTGAATTTTTTTAAGATTTTAATTAAAAATTTCAAAAATAATTGTTTGCTCCAAAAATTTAATAATTCTAAAAAATTAAATTTTATAAAAACTATAGAATTATTTTTTGTATGTGGATATTTAAATTTTCGTAAATAAGTAATTGAATAAATGGAAAACAATTTATTTTAAGAAAATCATAACAAAAAAATTCGAGAAACTACTTTTTTACAAATTATGTTAATACAATTTTCTGATGTTAATTTTTATTAATTTTCATTACTAAATTTTTATTTGAAGATTTTTCATTAAAAATTTTTCGAGAATTTAATTATTTTCAAAATTTGCAAATTAAAATATTCATCAAAATATGATTATATAACGAAAAAATTCGATAACAAAGATATTTTAAAAATATTTTAATACAATTTTTTGTACCTTATTTTGATTAATTTTCATTATTGAATTTTTATTTGAAGATTTATCTTTAAAATTTTTCGAGAATTTAATTTTTCAAAATTTGAAACAAAAAACAATTAAAATTTGATTTTTCAAAATTTTAATTAAAAATACACATAAAAGAATGAATTATTTACAATAAAATTTGACCAAAATTCAGTTATTTCATAACTTTTTAAATGTATTTTTAAAAAAATTAAAGTATCTTTAAAAAAATATTGAAAAATAGGTAAATTTCCGAAAGATTTAGGTAAGTTTTTCTTTAAATTTTATCAAAAATTGAATTTTTTTCAAAATTTGCAATTAAAAATCATCAAAATTTGATTTTTAGAAATTTTAATGTAACACACGAAAAAAATGAATTATTTACAATAAAATTTTCGAAAAATTCAGTTATTTTATTTAACAAGAAATCAAAACTGTCTCTTTCAGAAGAATCACTTGTATTCACTAAATAAAAAAAAAATAAATTACAAAGTTTCTAAATGAAAAAGTTTAAGTTTTGAATGGAGTACAGATTTTTTTTTAAGTTTTTAATGTTTATTGTCATTCTGACTTTTCGAAATAATTTTAGCAACTCTGTATTTTATGGAAAAACTAAAAATATTTAATTTTAAACTTTAAAGAATGACATAACTCTGCTGTTCCAAGTAAAAACCTTGCTTTAAAATAAAATAAATAAAATAAATAAAAATAAGTAAATAAAGTAAGAAAAAATGAGAAAAAATATTTAAAAAAACCATCAAGATTAAAATTTTTTAAATATTGAAAATATTTATTTACCGGTAGTTGTTACTATATTGTCCCACCGATCGTGATGCTAAGTCATCAGGAAAGACAAAATCGTTGCCATTGGCTGTAACTAGTAAAAAATAATAAAATTATTACCATTTCCTTTCTGTTATTGTTATATTGTATAATAATACATGAAATGTAAATACTTTTAAAATATTATTAATTTACAGTTTAACACACAAGAAAATTAATTTATAAAAATGAAAAGAAATCTAATTTTTTACTCATATGCAGTATTCATAAATTTATATTTTATAACAACAAAATAATAAATTAGGTTCGAAAAAAATAGTCAAAAAATAGATAAAATTATCAAAAAATATTACTCACCAATGGCTATAATTAAAATCAAACCAAGAATTAACTTCTCCATTTTGCACAATAAAAATAACTGTAGACTATTCGCGTCTTTTAGCAACAGACAAAACTCGTTTTCTCAGCAAAGTTTATATGAAAAACAATTTATCGTACGTCACTCAATGATTGATGTTGAATCTTGATTAAAAAAGATTCACTCAGAAAATAATCAATTCTCAACTATTATTATTCTCTTTTTTTTCGAATTTTTAATTTAGAAATTTTCCTGTCTTACACACCTTAATTTCAATAGTAAAATGTATGTTTCTAAATTGAATAAAAAATACAAATATGATGTTAAAAAAATATATAAAATATATAAAATAGAAACAAAATTTTTGTTCTCTCTTAAAATGGGAACTTCTGTGGTTGAATTTTGACTGATGTTTGAGAAAGAAGGTCCTCCACCTTTATATCTCCAAACAGAAACGCACGTGCTTTGGGACTTTTGTTTTGTGGGAATTTCTCAATGAACATCTCGAGAGATTTTCTGACTAATTTATAATATGAAGCTATACCTCGCGTAAAGACAGTGTGTCGCAACTATCAATTTTATTCTTAGAACTACCATTATAGTGGAACATGTTGTTAAAAATCAAATTAATTTAGACTTCTTTCAAATTGATGAATTTATTATTTTTTTGGGTTTTTCAAGCCTTGACTCATCATTGACCGTTTGTCCCACTCTTATTTTCTTTTCTTTATTGTATCTCATTATTTATTATCATCTCGCACTGCTCCTGAACCTACAGCAATATATTGCTTTAGTATTTTTAAATTGCAGCAAATATTTCGGAAATGATTTTAATACACACGTGAAATTTTACACTTTTTTGTTTACTTTTTCACAACGATTTTATTTCTTTTGTTTACATCATTTGCTTTGTTTGTTTTGTTTCAATAATTAGGATTTTGTTATTATAATACAATTTTTAATACCACACGTGAAATTTTACACTTTTTTGTTTACTTTTTCACAACGATTTTATTTCTTTTGTTTACATCATTTGCTTTGTTTGTTTTGTTTCAATAATTAGGATTTTGTTATTATAATACAAATTTTTTTTGCATTTTTGGAAATTCTTTGTTTTTACTTTCTCCAAAAATGCAAAAGAAATTAAAGTAAAAAACAAAGAATTGAAATTCTTTGTTTTTTACTTTTTCCAAAAATGCAAAAAAAAAAATTGTATTTAACAAAAATTTGAACTTTCATAACCGAAAATTTAAATATCAATTTATTTATAACTTCCATTGCTGAAACGTTATTTTTTATTGAATATACAGAAAGTTTAAGAAAAATTGAATAAATTTCAAAAAGGACATTTTCTATATTATCTCCTATAAGTATTAGAGAAAAACGTCTTTTAAAAGTCTTCGGCTCCTGAAGAAGTTGAATTTAAAAAAATCACAACTTCCATAATTTTTATCCAATAACAAAATTAAAAAATACTTGTTTTCTTATTTTTCACACGAAATTCGAAAATAAATTTCCCAAACAAAGAGAAATTTTTTATGGAAATTTCACATGGAATGCCCTCTTCATGACTTTTTGGACTTTTTACAACTATTTTAAAAATATTCGAATTTTTTTGCCCTACTTTCAAAAAAATTCTATTTTTCTCCAAATGTTTGGCATAAAATTCCACTTTTTTTTGCTAAAAAATGCAACTTATTTCAATTTTTATAGTGGGAAAAATATCTATAGTTAAATCTTTCGAAAACTTATTTTTGAATAATTCAATTTTGTCTTAAATTTTGTCAAATTTTATTAAAAATAATTCTATTTTTTAAGTGTTTCATTTAAATTTTTGAAAATCAAATTTTGATGATTTTTAATTGGAAATTTTTAAAAAAATAAAAATTAGGCTTCTAAAGATTTTGAATTTAAAAAAATTACAACTTCCATATTTTGCATTCAATAGCAAAACAGAAAAATACGTGATTTCTTCTTTTTTACACAAAATTCGAAAATAAATTTTCCAAAAAAAAGAAATTGTTATGTAAAATTCACATGGAATGCTCCCCACATGATTTTTCCAATTATTTTAAAAATAGTTAAATTTTTTGGCCTTACTTTAAAAAAATTCGAATTTTTTTTCCAAATATTAAAATAAAATACCACTTTTTTGGTATAAAATGCAACTTATTTCAATTTTTATAGTGGGAAAAATATTTATAGTTAAATCTTTGGAAAACTTATTTTTGAATAATTTTTTAAGGATATTTCAATTTTTATAAAAAATTAAACAAAAAAAAAATTAACAAATTTTGATGATTTTTCATTGCAAATTTTGAAAATAATTATTGAATTCTTGAAAAATTTTAAAGATAAATCTTCAAATAAAAATCTAATAATGAAAATTAATCAAAATGAGCTACTAAAAATTGTACCAATTAAAATATTTTTTAAATATTTTTTTCTCGAAATTTTGCGTTATGATTTTCTCAAATTTTGTCAAATTTTATTGCAAATAATTCATTTTTTATGTATTTCATTAAAATTTATGAAAATCATATTTTGAGGAATATTTTAATTTGTAAATTTTAAAGATAATTGAATTCTCGAAAAATTTTATTTCAATTTTTATAGTGTGAAAAATAACTGTAGGTAGTCAAATCTTTCGAAAAGTTATTTTTGAATAATTACTTAATATTTTAAAAAATAATAATTTAAAATTTTTCAAAAAATTGAATTTTTGTCAAAAAATTTAATTGAAAATAATTTAATTTTTTATATACTTACTTACTTCATTAAAAGTTTTGAAAATTAAGTGATGAATTTTAATTTTAAATTTTGAAAATTTTTGAATTCTCGAAAAATTCTAATTAAAAATTTTCAAAATAAAAATTTAATAATGAAAATTTATAAAAATTAATAAAAATTAGCCTCAAAGAATAGTATTAATATATTTTTTAAAAAAGTAATTCTTCAATTTTTTCGTTTTCGTCAATATTGTTTTCAATATATTCAATTACATATTATTTACGAAAATTCGAATATTTATACTAAAAATAATATCCATAGTTTTTATAAAAAATTTAATTTTTTTAAATTGCTAAATTTTTGGAGTAATTATTTTTGAAAATTTTAATTCAAAATTATTCAAATTATTTAAATTATTCAAATTACTCAAATTACCTACTCAAATTATTTAAATTATTAAAATTAGGCAAATTTTATTAGAAATAATTCATTTTTTTATTCGCACTATTTTAGTGATTTTTTATAATAAAAAATCTGAATCGTAATTAATTAATTATCTTTTAATTAGTCGTAATTGGAATTATTTATGTTGGATATTTCTTAAAGCTTTTCTTCCTGTACATAATAAACAGTTTTTGGAAAAATTTAATTATAACTTAAAATTTTAATTTATTATAATATTTTAAAAAACATAATAATAATAATAATAATAATGCGCTATTGAAAAAGATTTCTTTATTTACTTTACTGTGATAATAATATAAGTACACATCCTTGACGGATTAGAAACCAGTTTCTCTAACACTTCAATTCCTGAGGGCCGGGGAATTTCCAAAAAATAGAACCTCAACCTTGAGTGGATATTAAAAGAATCATAGAAGCACAAATTTACATATATGCCCAATAAAATCATTGACACTTTGTTAGATACAGGTAATTAAATTTTTTTATCAATCAATTTAATATACAATATTATAATTTATTGAAATAATATTTTATTTTCTACAGAAAAAAACTAAGTTTATTCAGAGTCATCGTCTTCGAAAAAAATCAAATCCACCTACAAAGACAAAAATTTTGTTTAATTAAATAATATAATTCTTTAAAAATTGTAATAATTTAACATAACTTTAATTATAATTTTAGTGAATTTTTAAAAATATTGAAATCATTAATAATTTATAAGTTTATAATTTTATTATTTATTTTTGTAAATAATAAATTCACAAAAAAAAAAAAATTTTGGAAAAAGTTTGATTTATTTTTATATTTTTTTAATATTTTTTTTTTATTTTATTTTATAATTAATAATTTTTTAAGAACTGACCATTTCCAATAGGACTTCTTATGTTGAAATCAGCATCATTGCGGCCATTGTACCGACCATAGTCATTATAATCATTATAGCCATAATTCCCCTCATAGTATCCTTCTCTATTGTTGTAACCACCCCTTCCCCTTCCCATGCCTCTTCCTAAATAAAAATTTATTTTGATAAATAATATCATTTTACAAAATATCAATATTTAATAATTATTTATTTAATAATATTAATTTCTAAAATATTTATACTATTGAAAACAGAAAAAAAATTTTTGAAAAAAAATTTTGATTGAAGCAACCAAATGAATGCATTGCTATTATTTATACAGCAAACTTTTGTTTGGTTCAACTAAAAATTTACTTCTAATGACCAAATTATTTCTTAGAAAGAATAAATAATAATAAATAAATTTAATAAATATTCGGTTTATTGTAAATAATTGCTTACAAATATTTGCTTTAACAATAAACTTTATTTCAAATAATAAAAAAAATATTTCTACAAAAAAAAATAAAGTTTCAATAAAAAAAATTTGTGTTTTTAACAAAAAAAAAACAGTATGATGAAAAAAAATTGAAAAAATTTTATTTTAATTGTTGTATGTAATAAAATAAATAATTGTTGATATTTCTTACCATATTGTGCATCGCTGAGATTGATAAACACAAAAACTAATAGTAAAGCGTAAAAAAATATTCCTTTCATGTTCTCCATGATATGTCTGTCAATATAAAAACGACAACTGCAAATTTAGTAAATGTCGAAGTGTCTTTTTATACAGCTTTCAGTCTATAATTATATTAATATAATTGACCAATTGTTTCATTATTCAGAATGCAGAAATCAAAAATCATACTCTTTTAATGAGAGAAACTATAGATTTCAAGCACATGTTTTTTCTTAGAATAATATTTCGAATAATAAAGAGCCTGACAAAAGTTATGAAGAAAAATTTGAAAAACATTATTGGACGAAAAATATCTTTAAGGGCATTTGAACCATTGTGACGTCACAGTTAGTGCAAAGCATTTATTTTAAAGCTGTGACGTCATAATGGTTCAAATACCCTTAAAAGTTTATGTAACTTTAATTTTATTAATTTTATTAATTTTATTAATTTTATTATTCTAAAACATAAAGATAGCGATCACGCCGAGTCGAAATAATTGATTTTAATTACGATTCAGATCTTTTAAATAAATTTTTATTCGAAGATTTTTCATCAAAATTTTTCGAGAATTGAATTATATTCTCGAAATTTGCAATTAAAAATCATCATAATTATTTAATTTACAAAAATTTTTAAAGTAAATAAAAAAATTAACTATTTTTAATAAAATTTGAAAAAAAAATAATTATTTAAAAACTTTTTAATTATATATTTAAAAAATTTAATTATCTTAGAAAAATTATTGAAAAATAAATTTTTTAAACAATAGATTATAATTATTTTTCACATTGTAAAAATTAAAATAAGTGGCATTTTATATACCAAAAAAAAAGTGGTATTTTATAACAATATTTGAAAGAAAAGATAAAAAAGTCGCATTTTTTTAAAAATAAATCGAAAAAATTCGATATTTTCGAAAACAATTGAATTTAAGAAAATCATATGATGAAAAAATTCGAGTAATATTGCTTTTTTAAAAAATATTTAAATAAAATTTTTTAAAGCTAATTTTTATAAATTTTTATCATGAAATTTTTATTTAAAGATTTTCTTAAAAAAGATTTTGAGAATTCTATTATTTTCGAAATTTACAATAATTGCAAATCATTAAAAATTGATTTCCAAAAACTTTAATGAAAAACATTATTAAAATTGAAATAAGTTGCATTTTATAACAAAAAAAAGTGGTATTTTATTGCAATATTTGAAAAAGTAGTCAAAAAAATCGAATTTTTTTGAAAATAGGGTAACTGCACCAATTGCCGAGGGTGCTCCAATTGTCGAGGATAATAATTTTCTTTTTTAGTTAAATAGTATAATATATAATATTTAAGAACAAAAAAAATTTCTAAATAATCTTTGTATTTTCAACTGTATATTTATATATACAAATTTCGTAGCGATTCTACTAAAATAATTATTTAATTAATATTATAATTCACTGCTGTGAAATTTACACGAATCTCCATTTTCTTAATACTTCTGGTTGATTAAAACAGATTTTTAGAAATGCAAATTAAACGTATTTATAATGACTTTTTGTGTACAAAATTATTATTATAATTTTGTACACGAACTAAATTAATTTTGTATGCATGTTGTTTTGTTAAAAAAAATATTTAATATTTTTTAAAAGCAAATCATCGGTATTTGGTTTCTTTTTTTTGACAGTTCCATTTTTCGAGGTAATAACTCGAAAATTGGTGTAGTCACTTTTTTCGCTGATGCACCATTTATCGATGGTTAAGTGTTTATTTACTAAACGTCAAACATAAATGCCAAACATTTATACCTAAATTGAAAAAATTGGGTTTTTTTGAAAATAGTTAAAAAAAAGTGTAATAAGTCTTGTGAAGCATTCCAGGTGAAAGTATCATTACAAATTTCTTTTTGTTTGCAACAATTTTTTTCGAATTTCATATGAAAAATAAGAAAACACGTATTTTTTTATTTTGTTATTGAACGAAAATTATGGAAGTTATGATTTCTTTAAATTCAACTTCTTCAGCAGCCGATGACTTTTGAAAGACGTTCTTCTCTAATACTTCTAAAATTTCATAAAAACTATGATAATTATTTTTTCTACCTATAGAGATTGTAATTTTCGTACTGAATTTTTTCGTATTGAATATACTGAATATACTGAAAACAATTGAATTTAAGAAAATCATAACAAAAAAATTCGAGAAATTACTTTTTTACAAATTATGTTAATACAATTTTTTGCAGCTAATTTTTATTAATTTTCATTATTAAATTTTTGTTTGAAGATTGTTCTTTAAAATTTTTCGAGTATTCAATTATTTTCAAAATTTGCAATAAAAAATCATGAAAATTTGATTTTCGAAAATTTTAACAATATACATAAAATCATTATAGTTTTATAATCATTATAGTTGTCCAAGTGATAAAATCATTAAGTCATGATTTTATCTCTGAGTCATCTTTAACTTATATTTAATTAATTTATTCAGTTTAATTAATTGGGTTGCACAATTAAAAAAAAACATTTAAATTAAAAAATTATTATTCAGCAATTTTTACACACTTTTTAATACTTAATTGTTATTATTATAATTTTGTGCTTAGTGCTAATACTCCGTTCAGCAAAAATTTGCAGAAATGTTTTCATTCGATATTTCCTGATTTTCAATACCATCCACCTGAAATGGTAAATTTTTTATTAAATAAAACAAAAGTAATTATTCATAAAAATAATAATAATATTATCTAAATAATTTTCCTACAGGTTTCGAACTTTCAAATGATGAACAAAATATTTTGCATTAAAAATATTTTCAAGAATTACAATAAAAAAATTAAAAACTTAAACTTAAACTTAAAATAAAATATTTTAAAACATAAACAAAATTTACCTTAAACAAAATATTTTGCATTAAAAATATTTTTAAAAATTTTACAATAAAAAAATTAAAAACTTAAACTTAATATTTTAGAAACTTTTATTCAAAGAAGAAAATTTTTTGATATTTTTAACAATTAATTTTGCGCAAATTTTAATTTTTACTCTTGATTATGAAATAAAGTAGTTTCAATAGAAAAAAACCATATAATTTGAAAAAGAAAAAATTAATTAAAAAAATTAAGTTCAAAAGTAGCACTTTCAGAAAAATCACTCATATTTTTTATTTGGAAATCATTGAATTAAAATTATTAATTCTTAATTAATTAAAAATCATTGAGTTAAAATTATTAATATTAATTAAAAATCGTCGAGATAAAATTCTTAATTAATTAAAAAGCATTGAGTGAAAATTCCTAATTAAATAAAAATCATTGAGTGAAAATTCTTAATTAATTAAAAATCATCGAGTGAAAATTATTAATTATTTTTAAATCATTGAGTTAAAATTATTAATATTAATTAAAAAGAATTGAGATTTTCACTCAATGATTTTCAATTAATTAAGAATTTTAAAATTCTTAATTAACCCCTTCGCAGTCTAGTTGAAAATCGCTTGTGGTCCAAAAACGGTCCGAAAAAAAAGTTTACAAAAAAATATGATTTAATCATATATAAGGTTTTTGGGGTCGCTGAATTCGAATTTGAGGTTAATTTTTGAAAATTCAAAATGGCGGATCCAATATGGCGACCAAATATGGTGGATAATTTTAAAATTAAAGCGTTTTAAGGGAAATTCATTTCTCGGGGGTTTTCGAGGTCGCTGAATCCAAATCTGAAGTCAGATTTAAAAAATTCAAAATGGCGGACCCAAAATGTCGACTTCAAAAAAAAATTTTTTTTCAGATTCCCTTAAAACTCGTTACTCGGGGGTTTTCGGGGTCTCTAATTACAAATATGATGTCAGATTTTCAAAATTCAAAATGGCGGATCCAATATGGCGGATAATTTCAAGATTGATGCGAAAAAAATATGAAGTTACCTCAAAAACCCCTGAGTAAACATTTTAGACAAATTTGTCAACATTCAAAAAATTTGATCGACATATTGAATCCAAAATTTAGCATTTAGAAAAACGAACATCAAATTCGAATTCAGCGACCCCAAAAAACCCCGGGAACGGAATTTCGATCAAAACGCATAAATTTTGAAATTATCCGCCATATTGGATCCAACATTTTGAATTTTGTAAAACGAACATCAAATTCAAATTCAGCGACCCCAAAAACCCCCGAGAAACGAATTTTAATCGAATCGCATCAATCTTGAAATTATCCGCCATATTGGATCCGCCATTTTGAATTTTAAAAATCTGACATCATATTTGTAATCAGAGACCCCGAAAACCCCCCAAGTAACGAGTTTAAAGCGAATTTGAAATTTTTTTATTTTTCGAAGTCAACATTTTGGGTCCGCCATTTTGAATTTTTTAAATCTGACTTCAGATTCGGATTCAGCGACCCCAAAAACAGTAGTATGTACTTCGCTACTAAAATCAAATCATGTTTAGTATTTTTTTTTTGAGATGGCCATATATGGCCACAGACGCAAAGGTGGCACGACTTTTCGTGGCCATATATGGGCCATGGACTGTTAAGGGGTTAATTAAAAATCATTGAGTGGAAATTATTATAATTAGTTAAAAATCATTGAGTTAAAATTCTTAATTAATTAAAAATCATTGAGTTAAAATTAAGAAATAATTAAAAAACAGAAATACGTACGTCCTCCATAGCCACCATATCCACCACCGCGTCTTCCGCCATAACCACCGTAACCACCATATCCACCATAACCACCACCACGTCTTCCACCGTATCCGCCTCTACCACCATATCCGCCTCGACCACCATATCCTCCATAACCACCATAACCTATTTAGAAAAACAATTTTCGTTAACAATAATATAACAAAAAATAAAAAAAATAAAATAAAAAATAGTGTCCAATGAAATGAAAATGAAAAATAAAAAAAAAATTGTTTTGATGCCATATAAAAAATAAATTATAATAAAAAAATTACCCTGCGCTAGGCTATAGCTGACGAGAGCAGCAAAAATGACAAAAAGAAGATAAAGGAATTTCATGATTTCACTTGGTGAATCTACTGCGGACAACTGTTTGCTAAAGTAAATCAAACTCCTTTTTATATGCACCTCTTTGCATAGATCTTTTAAAATAATTATATTGCAGGAAATAATAATTACCTTGAAACTGTCAGGGGAAGAACTTAAGAATTACAATTAATCATCGTCGTTGAAAATTCCAGTATTAAAATTAAAAGTAGGTAAAAATCATTTTTTCTCAGAAAATTTATATTCAAAGTTTATTTCTTTCCTTAATTTTCGAATCTATTAATTGAAAAGAAAATTGGTATATATTATTAATTCTTCTTTAAAATTTCTCTTCTATTTTATGTATTAAATAATAAAATTATTACGACAATAAATTTAATAAAATTCTGAGGAAAAGAAGTGAAATATTTTTCAAATTTGCTAATAAAGCGCGTATTTTCCGAAACTGTTTTCACTTTCTATTAAATATTGAGTTTGCATAAATTTTGCTCAATGGAAACTCGCAAATATATTATGTTAGTCACAATTCTTGGAATAATTCATTCAGAAAAGTCATTCCTAAATATTGTTTTTATACGTGAAGATGTATGCAGATATATAATTAAACTTTTATTATCTATTACTTGGAATCACAATACATTGTGTACGTCTTAATTATTTTTTTTTCAATTAATGGATAAACGGAAAAAAATTCTTAATTATTATTTATTACCAAAAAAAAAATACTTTTTTTCTTTTCTCTATCAAAAACTTCCGTTTCTATTGTTGATTTTCGGGTTTTTCTACACAAAAAATGTCGGTTTTAGACGAGTTTTAAAACATAATTTTTTCGGTTTCTGTTTTCGGTCACAAATAATTTTTATTCGGCTTTAGTTTTTTTATATTCGGTTTTTTACGAATTTTTGTTAACAATTTCGGTTTTCCACTTCGGTTATTAATTTATTGCCATCTCTGTTTTTAATTAACACAATTTTCTTTCTTTTTAAAATTTATTGAAAAGTACAATAAATATTTCATTACAAAAATATAAGTTCAAAAAATATATATATTTAACATTAAATATAGTTTTCTTATTAATTATAGTTCTAATTAATGATAATTTTAATTAATAATAAGTTTAATTAATAATAATTTTAATTAATAATAATTTTATTTAATAAGAACTTTTAATTAATAATAATTTTATTTAATAAGAACTTTTAATTAATAATAATTTTATTTAATAATAATTTTAATTAATAATAATTATTATCTATAATTATATATTTGATATCTATTCATTACCTAAATATTCTTATTATTAAAATGTATTATTTTTATAGAAAAGTATTTGACAAAGAATTTCGTTATAACATTTTTCTTAAAGCTTTAAACGTTCAAGTGTGAAAGACATTTTTTTCGATATAAATATTTTCGAAAATTATTATATCAGAATTGAAAACAGAAAAATAATGTAAATTAGGCATTTTTTTTTATTTGAACCAAAAAATACAGCCAAAGGCATTTGCTTCTTTAAAATTTCTTTTTTAATTAAAAATATAATTTTTTGGGGAAAATACAATGAATAGGAAATAAAAATAAAATAAATAAAATATAGAATAAAAATATAAAATAGAAGTACTATAAAAATGTTGTCGTTCAAAATTTGAACGTTCAAATCTTTAGAAAAATGTAATAACAGGTGATTCTATATGTACAAGTATCACTTTTAGAATGATAAATAAATTATTATATTAATTACGAGAAAAATATATTTATGTAAGTTGAATAAAATTAAAATGTAAATATCATATATTGTAAAACTAATGAAAGTTTTATAAATAATTAAGAGTAGGTAGCTAAATTTATCATTATATGAAAATAATTTCACAAAATTGATATTATTCTATCATCGTTTCTTCGAATTAAACTGAATAATTTCCGGCCAGTAACCTGAAATCATATTTTAAATATACATAAATATTTGAAATCGGGAAATTATTATACTTCACATGTTTAGGGGAGCGTGGGGTAATGGGAGCTTGGGGGTAATGGGAGCTTTTAAATTTCACGTACTTAAAAGCCTTCAAATTCGCTGCAATGTCTAGAAAATCTTCTACAACCTTTGTTTATATCATTCCAAAACAATAACGATTACATTCTTGACAAATTTTTAGTAAAGACAAGGGAAAATGTATTTTTTGCGTTTTCGTTGTAAAATGACAAATATTTCTAAACATCACCATAAGTAGTTAAAATCGTATTATTTAGTTCTGTTTTTTCATTATATTATAGGTGAATATGTGTAGATATGTATACTTGTATAAAAATTGAAATAATAATAAAATTTGTTTATGTTTTAATTTTTTTATTCAAATTTTGGCCTGTAAGAATTCTGTGGGGTAATGGGAGAATTAGTGTCAGACCAAAGAATTTTCGTTACTATGTTGCGTCTTCCGTTATTTCTTTTAAAATTGTAAAAGGTATCACCTTATGAAAAAACTTTTAATTAAAAAATAATTTTTGGTGGAAAAAATAAAAAATTTAATTTTTTTTCAAAAATTTTTTATTCAATTATAATTTAGGAAAAAATTTATTCTAAGTCTAAAGTTTTGGCTTCATTGTAAGTATTAACACTTTTATCTATTAGAAAACAAAAAATATTCCTAAAATATAGAAATTTTTTAAATTTCAAGTGAAAGCTCCCATTACCCCACAAATTGGGTGATTGCAAAAAATGTATTTTTTTTTGAAAATTTTTTTTTTCCAATTTACTTTCTCTTTTTAAGTTTCTAATTAAACATAGTTAAAGATAAATAACGAAATAAGTAGGAAATGACGAAAATAATGTATTATTATAAATATAAGTTGGTTTTTTTAATAATTTTCCTTAAGGGGCTCCAATTCCCCCACGCTCCCCTAATATTTAAGAGCATGTGGAAAAAACGTTTTCTCTCTTCTGCCCTTAATAATTAAAAGTTCTTAAATATTTTATAAAATAATATTATTATAAAAACTCACTGTCAACTTGAGGTGGTTGATTTGGATAAATAGGAGGATTCATTGGCCACGAGAAGTCTCCCATGGTTTGATCATAATCTTGAGTATCTTAAATAGTAAATTATTAATTTTTATGGTCACTGTTCACATATTTTTACAATATTTGATTTTAATATTTTTCTCGATATTTTTCATAAGTGGAAATTTTAATATTGAAAGAAAACTTTATTTCATTTAAATAATTGAACAAAAGAAGTAAAAATAATTTGACAAAAATATGTGTATTTAGTTCGAATAACCAATTAGTTGTCTTAGCCAAAAAAATAAAGATAAATAATAAGTAAATAATAAAAAATCAAATAATAAATAATAACCAATTGGTAGGGGGTCACTTTTACCAATTTATTTGTTCCAATCTGTTTGTTCCAAAAATAATTCTACCAATGACCAATTTTTCCAAAACTTTTTTTTGGTAAAAATATTTTTGGTAAACATTTTTTTTGGTAAAAATATTTTTGGTAAACATTTTTTTTGGTAAAAATATTTTTGGTAAACATTTTTTTTGGTAAAAATATTTTTGGTAAACATTTTTTTTGGTAAAAATATTTTTGGTTAACATTTTTTTTTTGGTAAAATTAGTTTGAAAAATATTAATTTGTTGGAAAGAATAAAATTGTAAAAAGAAAACATTGGAACTGGTGGAATTGGTAAAAGTGACCCCAATTAGTTTATCAAATAAATATTTACTTGATTTAAATAATTTTTATTTAGATCAATTAAATGGTATTTGCTCTAAATACTGAAATTATTGATTTAAATATGTAATTTTTTATTTAAATACCTAAAAATTATTTGATTCAAGTATAAATATTTACTTGATAATAGTCAAGTAATCGGGTACTTTTGATTTGAATAAAAATCATTTGCTTCAAATAAAATCATTAGACTTAAATAACATTATTTTATTCAAATAAATAGATAATTTAGATCTAGTAATTTACTATTTGAATCAACACTGAAAAAAAGATTTATTTGATTCAAATAACCGATTAATTGACTATTATCAATTAAATATTTAAGTGAATCAAATAATATTTATTGGAATCAATTAAATGGTATTTGAACCAATATAATTTCAGTTTTTGAAGCAAATATGAATTGAACCATTTAATTGACTCCAATAAATATTATTTGATTCAATTAAATATTTAACTGATAATAGTCAATTAATCGGTTATTTGAATCAAATAAATCTTTTTTTCGGTGAAATAACTTATTTTTTATCATGGAAAAAATTAAGGTGCGCACATGCTGTATCTATCAAAAAATATTTGTTAAATTAATAAATAAAGGCCTAAGCCTTTATTTATTAGTTTAACAAATTTTTTGACCATCATCATTAACTATTTTTTAAAAATTAATATATATTTATGTCAACATTTTATTTTACCTTGTGGTAGTTGATCATAATCCGGTAACTGCCTTGGAATATTAAATGGAGCAAAAGTTGCAATCGATGGAAAACCATTGAATGGCTCATATCTCTGTTGATCATTATTATTCCCTAGTGGATCAGTATTTCCCGAAGAAAACCCATCACGTGGCATTCGATTTTGGGAATTTCCATCATTCCCACCATTAAAAAGTCCCGAAAAGAAGGGATTTCCCTGTCCAATTTTTCTGTCACTTCCGGGATAGAAGGGAATATTGGAAGGAGCTTCTCCTGGTGGACTATTATTATTGTTATTATTATTATTATTAGGAAAGTCTGTATTTTCAGGTGACGAACGTGGTGGTAAGGGTGGTGGTGGATTATTTCCTTTTCCAAATAGTCCGGAAAAGAAAGGATTTCCAGGAGGTGGTCCATTTCCATAAGGATTTTCAGATGGTGGAGCGGCATTTGAATTCTTAGGATCATCTGAAAAATTTCAATCAAAATTATATTTGTGACATTCTAAATATTTATTCCAAATAGCACAAAATTTAAGTTCAATGTTGTGTATGCTTGTTGAAATATAGTCAATAAAGTGGCAATAATGGTCACTTTATTGGACACTCGCAGGTCAATAAAGTACCCATTATTACCCTAGGGTAATAGGGGACACATCGTATTTAAATTATGCATTGTTAATAAATAAATATTTACCTTCGGAATCGAGACTATTTGGTGGTCTTTCGGGAAATCCTGGCGACATTGGACCTGCAAAATAAAATTCGTAATTATTTTGGGCAGTCAATATTGCAGTCAAATGGTGTGCTATTTGAAAAATAAAAACTTCAATCTAATTAATTTAATTTTAAGAAACTAATCATTAATTAATTGTAATTAATAAATAAAGAATAATTAATAATACCTTGATTGGGCATTTTTCCTCCAAAAGCACCCTTAAGGAACGGATTGTTTGGATTGAAGGGAAAAGCCTGTGGTTGTTCACTGTTATCAGGTTGTGGATTTTCGCTCTGGGGATTTGGATTCTCTGGTTGAGAAGGATTCATATCCTCGGGAATATTGTTGCGAGTATCGAAAGGTGAGTTACTTTTTGGAGGAAATGATTCAGGATTCTTGTCTTTATCATCATCGAATGCTGAAGGAGTTCGTAAACCCTTGTCATCTGGAAACACGATATCAGGTTTTTGGTCTTCATTCAAAGGATCTTTTGACTTCTGGGGTTTATCGGGACTTTCTGGCTGATCTTGCTTTTCTTCTTTTGGCTGATCATCTTCAGGTTTATCTTCTTTGGGTTCTTTAGGTTTACCTTCCTTAGGTTCTTTAGGCTTTTCACCTTTTGGCTCATCATCTTTAGGTTTATCTTCTTTCGGTTCTTTAGGTTTATCTCCTTTAGGCTCAGCATCTTTAGGTTTATCTTCTTTAGGTTCTTTAGGTGTATCTTCTTTAGGTCCTTTAGGCTCACCATCTTTAGGTTTATCATCTTTCGGTTCTTTAGGTTTATCTCCTTTAGGTTTATCATCTTTAGGCTTATCGTCTTTAGGTTCATCTTCTTTCGGTTGTTTAGGTTTATCTTCTTTAGGTTTATCATCTTTAGGTTTATCTTCATTAGGTCCTTTAGGCTTTTCTCCTTTTGGCTCATCATCTGTAGATCCTTTAGGCTTTTCTTTCTTAGATTCATCTTCTTTCGGTTCTAAAGGTTTATCTTCTTTGGGTTGCTTAGGTTTATCTTCCTTAGGTCCTTTAGGCTCATCATCTTTTGGTTTATCATCTTTAGGTTTATCTTCTTTAGGCTCATCATCTTTAGGTTCATCATCTTTGGGCTCTTTAGGTCCTTTAGGCTTATCATCTTTAGGTTCATCTTCTTTGGGTTCTTTAGGCTTGTCATCTTTAGGTTTATCTTCTTTAGGCTCATTATCTTTAGGTTTATCTTCTTTAGGCCCTTTAGGCTCATCATCTTTGGGTTCTTTGGGTTTACCTTCTTTAGGTCCTTTTGGCTTATCATCTTTAGGTTTATCTTCTTTAGGTCCTTTAGGCTCATCATCTTTAGGTTCATCTTCTTTGGGCTCTTTAGGTCTTTTAGGCTCATTATCTTTAGGTCCATCTTCTTTGGGTTCTTTAGGTGTATCTTCTTTAGGTCCATCTTCTTTGGGTTCTTCAGGTGTATCTTCTTTAGGTCCTTTAGGCTTTTCTTCTTTAGACTTATCATCTTTAGGTTTATCTTCTTTAGGCCTTTTAGGCTCATCATCTTTAGGTTCATCTTCTTTGGGCTCTTTAGGTCCTTTTGGCTTATCATCTTTAGGTTTATCTTCTTTAGGTCCTTTAGGCTCATCATCTTTAGGTTCATCTTCTTTGGGTTCTTTAGGTGTATCTTCTTTAGGTCCTTTAGGCTTTTCTTCTTTAGGCTTATCATCTTTAGGTTTATCTTCTTTAGGCCCTTTAGGCTTATCATCTTTAGTTTCATCTGCTTTGGGTTCTTTAGGTTTATCTTCTTTAGGTCCTTTAGGCTCATCTTCTTTGGGTTCTTCAGGTGTATCTTCTTTAGCTCCATTTGGCTTTTCTTCTTTAGGCTCATCATCTTTAGGTTTATCTTCTTTAGGTCCTTTAGGCTTGCTGTCCTCCTTCTGAGGTTTATCGTTCTTTTTATCTTCAACTTTAGGTTTATCAGTTTTCTGCTCTGGTTTGTCGTCTGGTGTCTGAGGTTCATCTTCTTTGTCATCGGGTTTTGATTTATCGGGGTTCTCAGGTTTATCCTTTTCTTCTTCAGGCTTATCATCAGGCTGGTCATTGTCGGGCATCTTGGGTTTTTTTTCCTTCTCATTTGGTTTGGATCCATCGGGTTTTTGAGGTTTATCATCTTTAGGTTTGGATTCATCAGGCTCCTGTGGTTGCTCCTTATCTTCATCTTCGTCCTTTGGTTTATCATCCGTGTCCTCAGGTGCATCACTGCCAGGCTCTTGCGGCTGATTCTTCATATTCTTTGGTTCTTTAGGTTTTTGAGGTTTTTTATTCATATCCTCAGGTTTGGATTTATCAGGTTGCTGTGGCTGATCTTCCTCATCATCTTTTTTATCAGGCTTCTGGGGTTTGTCCTTTTTATCATCAGGTTCGGATTCACTTGGTTTCTGTGGTTTATCATCATCTGCAGACTTTTGATCCTTAGGCTTCTGAGGTATATCATCCTTATCTTTAGGTTTCGGATCATCAGGTTTCTTTGGATGATCATCTTTGTCTTCCATTTTAGGTTTATCATCTTCTTGATCGGGCTTCTCTTCTTCTGGAACTTCGTCTTCTTTATCATCAGGCTTGGATTCTTCAGGCTCGTCAGTGTTAGATTTTGGTGGTTTATTTTTTTTATCATCAGGTTTTTGAGGCTTGTCCTTGTCATCATCTTTAGGCTTATCTTTATCATCCTTATCGTCAGGTTTTGGACCATCAGGCTTCTTTGGCTGATCCTTTTTATCTTCCTTTTTAGGCTCATCACTTTTTTCATCAGGTTTCTCTTTGTCAGGAACTTCTTCTTCTTTATCAGGTTTGGATTCTTCAGGCTTATCAGTGTTAGATTTCGGTGGTTTATTGGTTTTATCATCAGGTTTTTGAGGTTTGTCCTTGCCAGCATCAGGTTTTGAATCGTCAGGCATCGGTGGCTGATCCTCATCGACATCTTTCTGTTTAGGTTTGTCTTTTTTTCCTTCAGGCTTTTCTCCATCAGGCATCTCAGGCTCGTCCATTTTGTCATCTGGTTTGGAATCATCTGGCTTGTGGGGTTTCTCCTTTTTATCCTCTGGTTTGGAGTCATCAGGCTTTTCTGGCTCATCCTTCTTTTTATCATCTTTTGGAGTTTTACCTTTCTCTGGCATTTGAGGCTCATCCTTTTTATCATCAGGCTTGGACTTCTCTGGTTTTTTGGGTTTATCATTCATATCTGCAGGTTTTGGATCTTTTGGATTTTGGGGTTGATCTTTTTCTTTATCTTCCATTTCGGGTTTATCCTTTTCATCATCTGGTTTGTCCTCATCGGGCTTTTGTGGTTCCTCCATTTTATCATCTGGTTGGGAATCATCTGGCTTCTGAGGTTTGTCATTTTTATCTTTAGGCTTAGAATCATCTGGCTTCTGAGGTTTTTTATTTTTATCTTCAGGCTTAGAATCATCTGGCTTCTGAGGTTTATCATTTTCATCTTCAGGTTTGGAATCATCTGGCTTCTGTGGTTTTTCATCTTTAGGTTTAGAATCTTTAGGTTCTTGTGGCTCATCTCCTTTTTTATCATCTTTCGGTGGTTTCTCCTTCTCTGGCATTTTTGGTTTGGGATCATCAGTCATTGGTGGTTTGTCTTTGTCTTCATCATCCATTTTGTCATCTGGTTTGGAATCATCAGGTTTCTGTGGCTTTTCAGTATCCTGTTTGGGTTTATCATTTTTTTCCTTTGGCTTTTCACTGTCAGGCATCTGAGGATCTTTGGTTTTGTCGTCTGGTTTTGAATCATTGGGTCCTTGAGGTTTACCTTCCTTATTTTTAGGTTTGGAATCACCTGGCTTTTGTGGTTGGTCTTTCTTCTTATCCTCTTTATTAGGTTCGTCATCTTTTTCCTCTGGCTTATCACTATCAGGCTTATTCGCTTTATCATCTGCTGGTTCCTCTGGTTTATTATCTTCGTCTTCATCTTTTGGACCATCAGGTTTCTTAGGCTGATTCTTCTTATCTTCCTTTTTAGGTTTATCACCTTTTTGTTCGGGCTTCTCTTCATCGGGCTCTTGAGGTTCATCTTCTTTGTCATCATCTTTAGAATCACTAGGTTCCTCCGGTTTATCATCTTCATCTTTTGGACCATCTGGCTTCTTAGGCTGATTCTTCTTATCTTCCTTTTTAGGTTTATCACCTTTTTGTTCGGGCTTCTCTTCATCGGGCTCTTGAGGTTCATCTTCTTTGCCATCATCTTTAGAATCACTAGGTTCCTCCGGTTTATCATCTTCATCTTTTGGACCATCTGGCTTCTTAGGCTGATTCTTCTTATCTTCTTTTTTAGGTTTATCACCTTTTTGTTCGGGCTTCTCTTCATCGGGCACTTGAGGTTCATCTTCTTTGTCATCATCTTTAGAATCACTAGGTTCCTCTGGTTTATCATCTTCAGATTTTGGACCCTTTTTAGGTTGGTCCTTATCTTTCATTTTAGGCTCACCCTTTTCATCCTTAGGTTGTTCTTCTTTAGGTTGTTCTTCCTTAGGTTTTTCTTTCTTAGGTTTTTCTCCTTTAGGTTTATCACTTTCATCATCAGGATTTTTGTCATCTGGTTCTTGTGGATGATCCTCCTCCTCTGGTTTATTATTCTTCCCTTTTCGCTTGTCATTATCAGACTTTGGTGGCTTTTCCTGTTTATCATCTACTTTAGGTTTCTCCTTCTCCTGCGGACTATCTTCTTCTTCTGGTTCATCCTCTTTGTGATCTTGCTCAGGAGTATCTGGTTTCTCTGGTTCATCATCATCCTTTTGTTTTGGTTCCTTTGGTTTTTGGGGTCTAGTTTTGTTTTTCGGTTTTGTATCATTCGGTTTCTGTGGCTGATCTTCCCCTTTGTCATCTTCCTTGGGTTTTTCACTGTCTTCGTCTTCATTGTCATCATCCTTTGGTTTTCCCCGTTTATCACTAGGCTTTCCTGCTCCAGATTTTTGCGGTCGATCTGGGTTTGTATTTTTCTTCATTGGTTCGTTTTCCTCATCTGGTTTATCTTCATCAGGAGTAGATGTATCATCCTCCTTGTCATCCGGTTTTCCTGGTTCATCCTCATCATCATTTTTCTCTTTTGGTTCCTTGGGTTTTTGGGGTCGATCATTCTTTCCTGGTTGATTTTTAGGTTTGTTCCTGTCACTCCTGGGTTGATTTTGAGTCTGTGGCTTATTTTTCCTATCATTTGGCTTTTCACTGTTCGGCTTTGGTGGTTTATTGTCCATGCCCTCTGGTACTGATTCATCCGGCTCTTGGGGATTCTCATCGGTATCTTCAGTATTATCTGGTGCTTCACCATCATCATTATTATCATTATCATCATCTTCGTTAGGTTCACCTTCCTCTTTAGGTTTTTGATCACCTAACCTCGGTTTAATGTCCTTTGGTTCTTGACTATCAGCATTTTCCTTGGGTTTCGTTTTCGGTTTTCTATCCTTATTTCCCCTATTATTATTATTATTATTATTTTTATTCTTTTTTTCCTGTGGATTTTCGTTATATTCTCCAGTATTGAAATCAGGATTTGGATGATATTGTCCGTCATCAAAATTAGAATTCGGATGGTCTTGACCATCATCAAATTTATTTGCTGAATGGTCCTGTCCGTCATCAAATTTATCAGCTGCATGATCCTGTCCATCATCAAATTTATCAGCCGAATGGTCCTGTCCATCATCAAATTTATCAGACGCATGGTCCTGTCCGTCATCAAATTTATCAGCCGAATGGTCCTGTCCATCATCAAATTTATCAGACGCATGGTCCTGTCCGTCATCAAACTTATCAGACGCATGGTCCTGTCCGTCATCAAAATCGGGATTCGGATGATATTGTCCATCGTCTCCTTCATTATTTTCAGGGTAATCACCATTGTCACCATCGTCGTTATCATTGTAGTCACTATTGTCACTTGGTTTTTTATTACCATCACTGTTATCACTTTTTTTATCACCACTATTATTATTATTTTTCAACGGCTTTCCTGAAACTCGAGGAGGGTCTTTGATATTTGGAGCTTTTCCATCGGCCCAAACAAGACAACCTTCGAAGGGTTGTGGATTATTATTATTTTGCTTTCCTGCTCCTGGAAATGACGATCTCCTTTGACTCGTTTTCACATTTTTTCCATTTTCAGAATCCGAATCACCTGAACTTGCTGGAAAAGAAAATTAATTATAATAATAAATTCCGATAATTAAAATTGTATCCGAAAATAGTAAAAAAGTTCATAGTATTAAAAATTAACATTAAAAATTGAAATTAAAAATAAAAATTAAAAATTATTACTACAATGACAGAAAATTTATTCCGGAAACAAAAGAATGATGAAATAAAAAAAAATATTCGAAATTAATTAAAAAAGAATAATACCTGGACGAGCGTAAGCGGAAAAAACTAAAACCAATAGAATGAAGGCCAGATAGGGCCCGATAATTCGGCCCATCTCTTATTTATTATTTTAATATTTTTTTATCACTGATGTGTGTATGTCTATTTTATATTTCGAAAAAAAAGGATCTTATTTGATTGAAATTTCTTTAATAATGCGTAATCGTTTCTAAACTGTAAGGCTTATATCGTAATTCCCCCACTGATGAAATCCGGGAAGAAGATAGCGATTGTTTCATCGTCGTCAGGTAAAGGATCTTTAAATGATAATCCTGGAAAATTGGAATAAATTTATTTAAAAAGAAAATCTCTAACTCTAGACCAATGACTTCAGCACTTACCAATAGTTTGTCAGTTTTCTCGTAATCACAATTTACACTATTAGTGTGAGTACGCAAGTTTGAAAGATTTACTGTCGGGTTCAATCAGAAATAAATTTTGTAATAAATTATTATACAATGCAAAAGTCATTGAAAGGAAATAATCATGATCGCAGATTCATAATATTTATTCATTCACTCAATGCTCATCTTTATTATTATTGTCAATTATCATTATTATTAATTGATATTATTAATGTATTTATCTACTTCTGTAAATAAATAAATAATAATTAATAACTAATTCTAAACTAATAAATAATTATTATTAACTAATTCTAAAATAATAAATAATAACTAGTTCTAAAATAATAATTAATAACTAATTCTAAGCTAATAAATAATAACTAATTCTAAATTAATAATTAATAAATAATTCTAAACTAATAACTAATTCTAAACTAATAATTAATAACTTATTCTAAACTAATATATATTAATAACTAATTCTATCAAAAATTCTAATAATAATAAAAATAATAAAAATAATAAATTTTATTAATACTTTTATTAGGATTAATTTTTATGAAGTTTAGGAAAAAAGATTAAAAGTTTAATTGTTTCATCGATAATTATAATTTGAAAACATTTTTTTACTGGAAATTAAAAATAATTTCTCTTTTCTTGCTTTAATTTGTCTTTTCGAGAAATGTTGCAAAATAGGAAAAACTATTGTTAATGAATTAAATGTTGATGACTAAATTTTATATAAGATTGTGAATATTATACGATCCACAATTTTTGAACGTTCAAATGAGCAAAATATTTTTTAGTAAAAGTATTTTTAAAAATTACTGATCGAGGTAAAGATTAAAAATTTTAATTTTACATTTAGAAACTATAATTAAATTTTTTTGATAGTGACGCAAAGTTATTGTAAAAAATTTAATTTCTATAAGAAATAAATAAATTTTCAAGTTTTGAACGTTCAAAGCAACGACGATATATTTTTACTTCTTTTAATTTTTATTTTTTATGTAAAAATTATTTTGTGTATTAAAAAAATTAATTTTTAACTAAAAAAATATTTAATTAATTTTTAATTATTTTTTCATTTCAGCTTCGTAATTTTTAAAAATATTTAATGAAAAAATAAATTTCGTTCATTTGAATTTTCAAAAATTGAAAATTTGAGGAAAAAAATTTTTTTTACTAGTAACATATTTATTAGAAACATTTTCATAAATTACTGATCAAAATAAAAATTGTAAACTTAAATCTTACATTTAGAAACTGTACAATTAATTTTTGTTGTAGTGAAAAAAAATTATTGTAATAAATTTTGAAGATGAAAGAAATATTTTTGTATTTGTAATATTTTTTAATTAAAATATTTTTCATAAATATTACTGATTACAATAAAAATTAAAAACTTAAATTTTGTAGAAACTGTTAGAAGAAGAAATTAACTAATTATATGAAATTAAATTTAATTAATGGAGTAATTAATTAATTAATTTTATTAATTAAAATAAAAATTAATTTTTTTTTTTGACAGTGACAACAAATTATTTCAATTAATTTTGAAATAAAAAATTTCTCTGATTCAAACGAGCGGAACTTTAGGATCAAAGAATAATGGAATTATTATTTTGTATAATTATTGTTATTTTCGCATATTAAGTAAAACAAGATTAAAATCAATGCTGTGGGGTTAAATCGATAGAAAATTGCGCGTCGTTTCGAAGAGTTAATCGGGAAAATGATTCATCAGGTGGTGTAATTTTCAGAACGTGACCTTTACACCAATATTTCTTAACAATTATATTACGACTTTTCCGACGACTACTATATACGACAACTGAGAGACGAAGACGACGAAGACGAATAAAAGTCTGATAAGATCGTTGCAGGCGGACGTTTGCGTTGATGAGGCTTTCAGAGAAGTTTTAGCTTGTCTGGCACCTATTCTGATCCTAACAATAAGATACATGGACAATTACAGTGCATTTCGCATTAATAGCTTTCAATTTAATTTATTCAAGCAGGTATCCGCCTACTATTATATTGGCAATTAAAATTTCCAGCACGTAATTCAAAAAATATATTTATATTAGTCATTCTGAAAAAATAAAACACGCACGAGTCTGATGTTGATGATGATCAATCCTTTAAGAAGAACAACAAAATTTCTCGCAAATAATGAACTACAAGAGCATTTTTTGATTATTTTTTTTTTAGGAAAAAAAATTTAATTTTACTTTTTAAATATTTTCTAATAATATTTTTTAAATATTAATAAATAGTGAAATTTAACGATCACTCCGAGTCAAGGAAATTAAAATAAAATTTATTAAATATTAATACTACCTATTTAATTTTTTAATTTTTTTTTTTTTTTTTGCTTAATTTATTTTGAAATTTTTTTTAATTTGTCAAAAACTTTTTTTAAAAATAAAAATTTGAGGAAAGTTAATGATTAATATTATTTTATTGCAGAGATATTTTTAACTTTTTGCGATTATTATTAAATGGTTTGTGATAAGGGAATGCATTATGTTATCTATTTTATTGAGTATAAAAATTACTTTATGCAAATGTCAAGGAATTTTCAAGTTACATTAATAGCAGAAGTAAATACTTGTGTTTTGTCTATGGATTTCGTCGCATCAAACCAAAAGGAAAGTATATCTTCAATTTTTATTTATTCACTTTTTGAAATTTATATTTGTTTTTTAATTATAAATTTATTTTCTTATTGTTATTTTACTATTTTTTTACTTTCTTTTTTTTATTTTTTTGTTATTTTATTGCTTTATTATTTTTAATATTATTTAGTTAACATTTATTATTATTTTACCATTCTTTTACGTTTTTAAAGTACTTTTTTAATATTTTATTATTTTTATTACTATTTAATTAACATTTATTAATATTTTACTACTTTTTTACTTTTTTAAAAAATTTTTTGTTATTTTTTTGTTTTATTATTTTTATTACTAGGTATTTAATTAACATTTATTAATATTTTACTACTTTTTTACTTTTTTTTTATTTTTTTGTTTTATTTTATTGTTTTATTATTTTTATTATTATTTAGTTAACATTTATTATTATTTTACTATTCTTTTACGTTTTTAAAATATTTTTTTAATATTTTATTATTCTTATTACTATTTAATTAACATTTGTTAATTTTTATTTATTAAATTCCAGTAGTTTTATTAATAGCAATAAGGAAAATTTTATTAAACTTTAATTACAGTTCAATTAAAAAATTTATTAATTTGTTAATTAAAGTAAATAATTTATAAATATTTGAATACATAATTGCTTTCAATTCAGTAAGTAAGTAAGTAAATTTAAGTAAGTAAACATTGTTTATCCAATTTTTATAATTTTTACACTATTTATTATATTAATATTTTATTATATTACAATTTATTTATATCTGGTTATTTTTTTAATAATAAATAATAACAATTATAAACAATACTAATGAAAATAATATTAATATAATAAAATATAATAAAGAATAATAATAATAAATAAAAATAATAATAATAAATAAAAGTACTAAAATAAAAAAATAATAAACTACGAAAAAAGATTAAAGAAAATAATTTTTTTTATTTATTTATTTATTTATTTTAAAAATGTTTAATTTATTATAAAATATTATAAAAATTTATTTATTACAAAATAAAAATTATTTTTTAAAATTATTTTCTTTAATTTTTTTTTTATTTATTTGCTTATTTACTTATTATAAAAATGACTTTTTTAAAATCTTTAGTCTTTTAATTATTTATTTATACTTGTTCTTTTATTTCTTCTTTTTTCTTTAATATAATAATTTTAATTTTCATTTTATTTGAATTTTATTTAAAATTAAAAAAAAACAGAAGAAGTTCTTAAATATAAGCAATAATTAGCAATAATTAAATTAAATTTCAATAATTAGGAAAATTTTCTAACCGACGTTTCCGATAAACAATATGATAATTAATCACCAAGTTGAATAACAATATTGTGATCATTACATTATTGCCCGAAAGCCCCTGATTGTAGGCTACCATCTATACACGCAAGCATATGAAACATTTGTTCAACTCGAAAACAGGGTATTGATCCAAATATTTTAATTACTATATACAAAAATTAATTACTTTAAATATACACTCTTTTAGTTACATAAAAACATTAATTTCAACAATTTTTGTTACACTGATTTCAATTTTTCATAATTTTATCCAAATTTCTCGAATTTACCCTTTTTTCTCTTGCTTTTTTTCCCTTTTTTCTCCTTTTTCTCGTTTTAGAGCGCCCTCACGACGCCATTTGACAGTCAAGTGAATTAAAATTCTCGATACATATCGATTCATTTCGAGATAAGAGAAATAGTGACAAAAGTGTTTTATGTTCTTTGGTTTTCTATGTTCTATTAGTTAATTACTTTTGTAACTTCCTGTAATGTAAATACATAAATTTTGTAGAAATGATAAAAATACTTTAAGTGGTAATTAAGTGTAACAAAAATGGGATAAATAGAAAAGGTCTACACAAGTGGAACATGGAACACTTATGTAAAATTCTGTCAGTCGTTGTCAGATTTGAATTTTCAAAAGAAATCGAAAAGGTACTATCGATAGATCGAAATTATCGATAGTTTCGTCGTCACTACTTCTTCTACGCTGTTCCAAGCGTTTTATAGTAAAAGTGTCATAGGTGAGTTGAATGTTGTAAATAATCCAAAATACAGTGTAATTAAAATACTTTTCATTAATGTGGACAATTAATTTATTATAATACTCGACAAATTTGATCTTAACAATACATTTGAAATCCTAATTAACCTAATTACACGTAGCGTACGACACCGTAAAACAAGTGTTTTGGAGCATGCAATCATTAATCTATTTACACAATATTAGATCTGTTTTCATGTCAGAAATTTCCAGTTTTCATTAAATTTAATTCTGGAAAATTAAAACTTATTCAATATTCATTTCTAGACGATAAATTTTTGTATGATTTATAGGTTAGGTTGCCGACGTAAGCTCAGTGTCATTGTTGCCACTAGCCACAATTTTAGAAATTCATTTTTTTTCCAAAACAACAATATTTTCAATAGGACATAAATTTTAATAAATTTATTTAGTACTTAATATTTTTTAAGACTGTCTAATATTTGAAGTTTTTTAAGTTTTCATATAATTTCAGGTCACAGGTTTTTCTTTTTCAATAATGGCAGACTCTGATGACGAGTATGATCGTAAAAGGAGAGATAAATTTCGTGGAGAAAGAACGGAATCATATTCGAGAGAAGGTAGAAGAGAAGATCGTCGACGAGATGATTGGGTTGATAGGTGAGAAAGTTAATTTTTTTTCTTTTAAAGTTTGTTCTTACTTTTTTTTTAACACAAAACAAGAATTTAAGAAAAAGAGAATTAACTCTTAAACTCTCAATTAAGACTTTGGAAACCAAGATCAAAACATTTAATTTTCAGGAGGAATCACAAAAAATCCGTTGTTCGATCTCCAAGTTCCAATCCCTTCTCATCTTCCTCTCCTCCGTATCCCTCTTCTATAGGATCAATGTTGGTAAAAAGGTAAACAGTGCAGAATAACTAATTAACACAATTTTTTAATAGCCATTTCACTAGTTCGAATCAGACCACACCTTTTCTTGTGATTTGCATGGATGAAGACATTATTTTTCAATTTTCACGATCCCTTGAGTTTTATAAGCGTTCAAATGAACGAAGTTTATTTCTTTTTTTAAGTAAAATTAAATTTTTATTACAATAATATTGCGTTAATTTCAAAAAAAAAGAATGTCAAAGTTCTAAATGTTTGAATAATCGAGATTTGGTTGTTTCTTTTTTAAATTTAAATTTTATTTTACAAAAATATTGGGCCACTTATTTAAAAACAGTTTTTAGATTTCTTAAATTTAATTTTTTATTTTTATTTCAGCAATGTAGTAAAGAATTATTTTCAATTCAATTTTGAATAAATTTGTCGAAAAAATTTGCAAAAAGTCAATTATTTTCATAAATATCAAAAGTCTTTGCAGGAATTCAATTCTAATAAAAGTTCTCGAAAGAATTCAATTTTTGTTTTGAATTTTAATAAATTCTTCGCAAAAATTCAATTATTTTCATAAATAATGAAATTCATTAGACAAATTCAATTATTTTCACAGATAATAAAATTCTTCGCAGGAATTCAATTTTTTTCATAAATAATAACATTTTTCAGAGGAATTTTCAATTATTTTTAAAAATTTTTATAAACTTCATGATAAGAATTATATTATTATTAAGACAATTATAATTCAATTCTTCGAAAGAATTTAATCATTTTCAAAAAAATTCCATAAAATTCTTCAAAACAATTACTTTTTTTTCAAAAATTTTAATAAAATTCTTCGAAAGAATTCAATTATTTTTAATAAATTGAAATAAAATTCTACATAGGAATTGAATTATTTTTAATTTAATTTCAACTAAATTCCACGAAATATTTGCAAGAATTCAATTATTAAAATAAAATTTTTCGAAAGAATTTAAATTTTGTTTTGAATTTGAAGAAATTCTTCGTTTAAAAAATTCAATTTTCATAAATAATAAAATTCTTTAGATCAATTCAATTATTTTGAAGATAATTAAAATAAAATTCTTCGCGACGATTCAATAAATTTCAAAAATATCTATAAAATTCTTTATAAGAATTCAATTATTTTGAATACAATTTTAATTACATTTCTCGAAAGAATTTAATTATTTAAAAAAATTGTAATACAGTTTTAATTGAATTTGTCGAAAAAGTTTCTAAGAAATTTAATTATTTTTTTTAATTTTAATAAAATTTTTACACAAATGAAAATATTTTCATAAATTGTAAAGTTATTCAGATGAATGCAATTATTTTGATTTAACTGTAATAAAATTTTTCCCAAGAATCTAATTATTCTCATAAATAATAAAATTCTTAAATAAATTTAATAAGTTTCAAAAATATTTATAAAATTCTTTATAAAAATTCACTTATTTTCAAAATTTTCAATACTTAATTCAATTTTCAGTTAGAATTTAATTATTTTCAAAAATTTTCATAAAATTCTTCAAAACAAATCATTTTTTTCAAGTATTTTAATGAAATGCAAGAAAATGTACGCAAGAATTAAATTATTTTAGATTCGAAATTATAAAAATGTTACAAAATAGTAAGATTCAAAATTCAAACTATTTAAAATTGAAGTTTTAGAAAATTTGAATTTTAATAAATTTTAATTAAAAAATCAGAAGTTAGATTTTTGAAAAAATCTTATCAACATTTTTTTAAATTACTTAAATCTTTGAATACATATTATTTAAAATTGAAAAATTTTCAAATTGTTCAAATTTCATAAAAATTGAATTGTAAATAAGTGGCTTCAAGAAATAATTTAGGTTAACTTTTTTTTCACTGAATAAATAATTGAATTATCAAGGAATTTTCTCAAAAGTGATTAAAAATAATTGACTGTAAGAAGAATTTTAGTTGAAAATTTTAAGAAAATTATATTCAAATGTTGAAAATAATTTTAGAAAAGTTGAAGTATAAAAATTTTATTTTGAATAGTTTTATCTAATTAAAGGTTTATTGCTTTTTTGTGTATGCAATTATGTTTAGAGTGAAATGAAATATTCTTTCGGGTCAGGGAATTCTGTCTGAAAATCAGGAAAAAATCAAATCAAATTTTTGTGGCAACCGTGTAAAAGCAAACCAAATTCTTAATTTTTATTGAAATTAGTATGAAAATGTTTTTAATAAAAAATACTTCGTTCATTTGAACGATCAAAACTTTTGTGGATCTTTTCAAAAAAAAATCTTTTTATATTCTTCGATACGTTAGTTTGAAAAATTTAGATTCTTGTCACAAAAATCTGAATTTTCCAAATTGGTATTTGGAAGAAAAAGAAAATTTTTTTTCTCTCAAAAAAGACAATATTGTGAAAAGTAATAAAGACAAATTTCTCATTTTTTATTCATAAACTTTACTAGTTTGGCATTTACATTATTTTTTTTATAAACTTAATTTTTAGTTGATAATTTTAGATTTCTGATTTTATGGTAATTATTTCAGAGAGTGGTCAAGCCGTCCACGAGCCAGGCCTGATTATCGTGAATATCGCGGGGGTGGTGGAGGCGGTGGTCGTGACCGTTACAGCCCCGCTCGGTCACAAGAAATGGCACCACCAATGAAAAGAATGCGCAGTGATTGGGACGATAGACCGCGATATGGACACGATTATTACAGTGGTGGCGGCGGTGGTGGAGGTGGAGGTGGTGGAGGAGGCGGAGGTGGTGGTGGATCTTGGGGCTCAGATCACTATCCTCAACATCATGGAAATCATCACTATAGCAACCACAGTAACAGTAGCAGGTTTGTCAACAATACCTGCATTTGTTTTTTGTTCCCGAATTTACAGTTAACCTAGAAATGCAACTCAATGCAACAAGAAAGAGTAGGAATCTTGAAATATTTCATGACAAATTAAATTTAAATATTTATCATTATGAAATCAATACCAAAACGCAGTCGCTTGACTCCTAAGTTATTAGCAAAAATAAGGTGCAGTGCAAAAAAAGAAATTTTTATTAAATTAATTTATTATTGAAGGCGAAGTTTATTTATTTTTTGGTTCGTTTTTCAGTCGAGAAGTTTCGGGGAATTTTAATAATTCCAATGTCGAAACACAACCACCGATGATGACTTTTAAAGCATTCTTGGGCACTCAAGAAGATACAATCACTGACGAAGAAGCAATTAAACGGTACAATGAGTATAAACTAGAATTCCGACGACAACAATTGAACGAATTTTTTGTTGCCCACAAGGACGAAGAATGGTAAGTTTGTTTTCTTGTACAGCAAACACAGCTCTAAAGTGAATTTTTTTCCTCAGTAATTAAAATTGACTAGATATTTTTTATTCCTTTTTTTTCTTCTTCTAAAGAAATTGAAAAATTTTAAAAACTCCAATTTTACTAGAATAATTTTCAGGAGGAATAAAATGTTTATTTTTTAATTTTCATCATTAAAATGGCAAAGTTACTCGCTCTAAAGTTTTAACAAAAAGGGTGCATTCTGAGTATTGTGATGAAATCTCATTGCTGATGCTAAAATTATTTTCACGGTTTCAAGATATACAAATAAACAAAATATTTCAATTTTCAGAAAATTTCGTTTTTGCTTTTTTGAAAAAATAATTTCAGGGTTGCCACAGGTCAGGAAATTCAGGATAAACTCAGGGAAAGTAGAATTTGTGAGGGAAATCAGGAAAAAGTCTGAGATTTTTTTTTTTTTTTATTATTAAAAGTACTGTAAAAAATTAAATTTTTAGAATTCATAAGGAAATTTTGAATTTTTTTTTGTCTTTTTTTCTTTGCTTTATAAACTATGAAATTACCACAAATTCTAATACAGAACCTTCAATTTTTTCCATTTTTTACAATAATTTATTTAAAATAATTTAATTATTGAAGAACTATCATAAAATTATTATTTACCTATAAATTATTTAATGAATAATTTTACTTAAAAATTTAAAAAATAATTGAATTTTTTAAGAGTTGCGTTTAGAATTGTAACAAATAAATGAATTTCAAATGGTTTTAATTTGAAATTTTAGAAAATTTCAATTTTCAATGAATTTTATCAGAAATATTAAAGAACTTTAATGATTTTCAATAAAATTTCTCGAAAGAATTCAATAATTCTAAAAATTTTTAATAAATTACTTGTCAGAATTCCAATTATTTTAAATTCTTTGCAATAGTTCAATTATTTCCAAAACAATTTTAATAAAATATCAAAATTAAATTATTTTTAAAAGTTTTGATAAATTTCATTGCAGAATTTCAATTATTTTGAATTTTTCGCATTAATTGATTTATTTTCAATAAAATTTCTGGAAAGAATTCAATTCTTCTTAAAATTTTTGATAAATTTCTTGTCAATATTTCAATTATTTATTCAATAAAATTACTAGAAATAATTCAATTATTATTAAAATTTTTTTTATAAATTTCTGGTCAGAATTTCTGTTATTTTAAATTCTTTGCAAGAATTAAATTATTTTTAATACAATTTTAATAAAATATCAGAATTTAAATATTCTTACAAATTTTTGATTAATTTGCATTGTAGAATGTCTGTAATTTTGAATTTTATAAAATTTCAATTTTTACTGAATTATAAATTTTCAAAAATTTTAACAAAATTCTTGGCAAAATTGCATTATTTTCAAAAAATTTCCCCAATTCAATGATTTTCAAAATCTACTGTTTTCAATTAAATAATTTTAATGAATTTAAATAAAATTCTACGCAAACATTTAATTATTTTCATAAATAATAAAAATTTCACAGGAATTCAATTATTTACATTTCTTCGCAATAATTCAATTTTTCTCATAAATAACAAAATTCTTGAGAGGAATTTTCAATTATTTCTAAAACTTTTATTAAAATTCGTTAAAAGAATTCAATTATTTAAAAACTTGTTGATAAAATTCCTTATGAGAATTCAATTTTAAGGAATATTTAATTATTCAATAAATTATTTACATTTGTATTTAAATAATTGAATTCTCGTAGAACTTTCTAATAAAAATTGATTTAAAAATTTATTTCAGTTAAAATTTTTGATAATAATTGAATATTAAAAGCATTATAATGTAAATTTTTAGAAATAATTGAATTTTTAAAAGTTTTCAATTTAAAATCTTTGAAAATCTGAATTTTTATACTTTTCAAAACTAATTTTTTTTGAAAAATTTTAATGACTATTCTAATCTTTGAAAATGTGAATTTTAAATACTTTTAATTCAGAATTTTGTCGTAATAATTTTTTTGAATAATTATAATTCAAAATTTTTTTGAAATTATTTAAAGTTTTTATTTCCTAAAAATATATTTAGTTGAAGAATTTCCGTATAATCGAAAAATCGTAAAATTGAATTGTAAATAAATGGATCTGAAAATTCTCAAAGAACTTTTTAAAAAATTATTAAAAATAGTTGATTTTGAGAAGAATTTTAGTTATTCTAGAAAATAGTGATTGAATTGAAATTTTGAAAATAATTTTGAAAAAGTTACAGTAAAAATATTGTTATAAAATAAAATAATGATTTTAAAACTCAATCATATTTAATTATCATAAAAAAGATTCTTATAGTTCAAAATAACGATTTTATCATTCTGTCATCTTTAATTTAATTATTACTATAAAACATGAAGATATTGATTGCTCCGAGTCGAAGACTCGGAGTGATCGATGTCTTCATGTTTTATAATAATTTTCTTATCGAATTCGTAAATAAATGTAATAGAATATTTTTTTGAGTATCTAATAATTCTTAGAATAAATCAAAATATTTTTTAAGTTCAGGAAGAAAGTAAAAATTTTGTCTAGAAATTAGGGAAAAGTGCGGGAAGAACAAATAAAATTTTTGTGGCAACCCTGAATTTAAATATTATTGTTTGAAAAAATATTTTTTGGTAGCGTTTTGTTTTTAAAAAGCGCTGCGATGTGAGAACAACGCATTTCAGAATACATCCTATGACCAGATATCTGTCTATTCCTACAGCGCACAGCCTTCATCGCTCTATGCTTTGGGCAAGGGCCACCTCGTTCGTTTGTTATTTCACTTTCGCGTTTCGCGCATCGTTGAAGAATTGAGCTGTATATGTATATGAATTAGCTAAAATGATTTTATGAGCTGGGCGCGCAAAGCCCAAGAATGCTCATTGTAGGCCGCGTTTTTAAACCCGCACAACACTTTTAAATCTTGAAATATATAAGCTTGACGAAACAAAAAAAAATCGTCGAAAATACTAATTGCGAGCAAAATATAACTGAAAAAAATCAGGTGAGGCTGCTTTCTGTAAAAAGAAAAAACCCATGTCAACTTTTATAACAACTAATAAATGATTCTTTTATAGGAGATTCATTATACAGGCCTCGGAGAGTGTGACTTTTTTGATTTTAAAAAAATGTGACAGTTTTCGATTCATTTTCGACTATTTTGACTTTTTTTCAACAAATTGCAATAAAATGTCACTTTTTTTTTTTTTTTTTTTTTTTTGAGAAAATGCAACTTATTCCAGTTTTAAAAATATTCCACTGAATACTTTTTATTCAAAATTAATTGAAGACGAATTTTAAATGAACTTTCTTTTGTTTAAATAATTATAGAAAAGTTAAAAATTCCAGAAATAGAAAATCAGATTTTTGGGATAATTTTAAATAAAATAAACGACTTTTTTTCTACTTTGAATCTCGACTGAAACGATTTTATTTTGCCCCTTAAAATCAATCCGAGGCCTGATTATATTCTCTTTTAATCTAAATATTTCTAATTCTTTATTGTGTTTTTTTTTATTTTTAAGTGAAAAAAATAGTTTTTACCAGGAATTTTTGTCTTCACTCTAAATAATTAACTTTAAGGGTTGATTATAAAAAACTTTTTTTTTATGGTATTTTTCTTCCTCTTCTTCAGTATTAAAATTTCAAGGGTTAATTTTTTTTCCCAAAGATAGAGACCGAAAATGGCAAAAGTGGTTTATAAATATCTTTTATAATGTAAATCAAAAATTTATTTACAAAAATTCGTTTAATGCTTTGTTTTATTGTCGCTGTTAGGTTCAAGATAAAGTATCATCCAGAGGAATCCGTGAAAAAGAAAGATGAACAATTGGCCACGTTAAAGGTAAAAATGGTTTTTATTGCAAGTTCTATTAATAATAATAATAATAATAATAAAAATAAATGAAAGATGTTTAAATACTAGAGAAAAATTTTATTAAAATTTTTAAAAATCTTTATTAAATTCTTTTGAAGAATTTCATTGGATTTTTTTTAAATAATGGAGTTTCTTTAATAATCTTAATTGCAAATTTTGAAAGTAATTTAATTCTATGAACAATTTCTTTCAAGTTTTTTAAATAATCGTGTTTCTTAATAATTGAAATTAAACATTTAATTATTGAATTTTATTCAAATTTTGAGAAATAATTAAATTCTTCTCAGATTTTTGTAACAATTTTCTGAAATAATTGAATTCATTCGAGGAATTTTATAAAAATATAGAAAATAATTAAATTCTTTCAAAGAATAAGAATAATAATAATTAAAGGTTTTTATTAGAGTTTTTGTAAATAATTAAATTCTTTTGAAGAATTTCTTTGTGTTTTTAAAATTACGTAGTTTGTTGAATAATTTAAATTGCAAATTTTGAAAATAATTGAATAAAACAAAGAATTTTTTCAACTTTTTAAAATAATTTTTAAAATAATTTTTGAGATGAATTTTACTTTTAAAGGATTTCTTGACAAGAATTTATTTCAAATTTTTTAAAATAATTGAAATCCTCCGAAGAATTCAATTATTTATGTAAAAAAAATTGAATTCTTGACAAGAATTTGTTTCAAATCTTTGAAATTAATTGAAATCCCCCGAAGAGTTCAATTATATATATGTAAAAAAAATTGAATCCTTCACAAAAAATTTATTTCAAAAATTTTTGAAAATAATTGAAATTCTGTAAAGAATTTAATTATTTATGAAAAAAAATTGAATACTTGACAAGAATTTGTTTCAAATTTTTGAAAATAATTAAAATCCTCGGAATTTTATTATTAATAAAAATAATTGAAATCTTCCAAAGAATTTTATTTTTTATGATGATAATTGAATTGCTGCGAAGAATTTTATTAAAATTTTTGAAAATAATTGAAATCTTCCGAAGAATTTTATTATTTATTTATTTATTTATTTATTTAACAAATATACGGGACAAGCCCTTTCGTACATAGTACTCTTACAATCTAAAAGTTGCAACCGCAACTTATATTGTACAATATTATCTGTATGTAATCAACACTAGGTAGTTTTAATTTAAAAGTCGAAAATAAACCTACGCAATGAAGAGGTGAATCTTAAGAAGTTACTATCAAAAAAGTCAACAATATTTGACATCGAATTAGCCTCTCTACTTAATCTTGTTACAAAAGAGTGATATCCGTAGTTTGTTCGATGAAAGGATTCCAAAAACAGTGTATAATTTCTAGTTGCCCTTATAGGGACAGACATATTAAATAATGATAATAAATTTGAACAATTAATTACACCATTTATAATCTTATAAAATAAAGTCAAATCATTAAAAAGAAATCTGGATGCAATTAGTGGAGTATTAAATGATAATCTTAATGTACTGTAGTCATGGGAGTATCTATCAAATTGAACATGAAGTTGTCTCGCTACAAAGCGAAGAAATCTATTTTGAATTCTTTCAATTCTAATTATGTTAAAATCGTAAAAAGGCACCCATATTACAGAAGCATACTCCAGCAGTGATCTTACCAAAGAGAAGTAAAGAATTCTTAGTGTATTAATATTATGAAACATTGATGCGTTTCTAATTATGAAACCAAGAGCTCTTAAGGCTTTTGAAATTACTTCAGATGTATGTCTATTAAATGAAAGGTCACTGCAAAAAAGCAATCCTAAGTCCCGAATACAAGTAACCCTTGTCAATTCTTCTTGACCAACAGTGTAACAATAAATCAGAGTACTTTTCTTTGAAAATGAAATGACATAACTTTTTTTTACATTTATAGACATTTGATTACTGTCACACCATTGAATCACTCGGTCAAAATCAGCTTGAATATTTTGTGGACTTGAACCAACAACATTATAAAGTTTAAGATCATCAGCGTAAAGTAAAAAATGAGAATTTTTAAAAATAATTTTAATGTCATTGATATAAAGAACAAACAAGAGCGGTCCAAGATTCGAGCCCTGAGGAACACCAGAAACTGCTAAAAATGCTTCTGAATACTCATTTTTAAACTTAACCATTTGAAATCTTCCTGATAAATAACTTTCCAAAAATAAAATCATATTTGAAGACAATCCCATTCTACGCAATTTCTCAATAAGTATAATATGATTAACTTTATCGAAGGCCTTTGTAAAATCAGCGTATATTGCATCTACCTGATGCCCATTTTCTAAATTAATTTCCAAAAAATTTGTGAAAATACTGAGGTTAGTGATTGTAGATCGACCACGAACAAACCCATGTTGCTCGTCAATTATTATATTAGAAACCGCAAGATACAATGACTCACAAATAAGACCTTCAAATATTTTAAGAAATTATTTAAGAAGATTATTTAAGAAAATATTTGAAATCTTCCAAAGAATTTTACATTTTATGAAGATAATTGCATTTTTAGGAAGAATTTTATTAAAATTTTTGAACTTAATTGAAATTCTTTGAAAAATTTTAATATTTATGAAAATGATTGAAATCTTACAAAAAATTTTACTTTTTATTAAGATATTTGAATTTTTAGGAAGAATTTTATTAGAATTTTTTGAACAAAATTGAAATCCTTTGAAAAATATTATTATTTATGAAAATAATTGAAATCTTGCAAAGATTTTTATTAAAATTTTTGAAAAATAATATAATTGTTTCGATGAAAATTTAAATTCTTTGTAGGAATTTAGTTAAGATTGTATTGAAAATAATTGAATATTTAGGAAGAATTTTATTAAAATTTCAGAAAATAATTGAATTCTTTTGGAAAATTTTATAACGAATTAAGAAACAAAATTGAATTTTTTCGTGAAATTTTATTGATAATAATTGAATTTTGCAAAGATTTTACTATTTTAAAAAACAATTGAATTGTTTCGAAGGATTTATTAAAATTTTGTTGAAAATAATTGAATTTAGGGGAAGAGTTTTATTATTTATAAAAATAATTGAGAATAGTTTAATTATTTATGAAAATAATTGAATTCTTCCGAAGAATTGTATTTAAATTTTTAAAAATATAAACAAAAATAATTAATTATGTACTTAATAAGTGGATTTTTTAAGTTTTGATTATGAAATTATTCAAAAATTTATATTTGAAAATAAAAAATTTTATAATTTACATAATAATAATAAATTGAATGCGACGTTCTGCGCGTAACGTTTGATAATAATAATAGTAATAATAATAACATTAATATTTCAGAAACGTGTTGAAGTATTTTTGGATTTGCTCGATAGCGAAAATATCGAGAAAGTCTCTGTTGATATCGATCAAACTGATGCTTTGCTACGACTTTTTGACTCTGTTGTTATAAAATTAGAAGGAGGAACAGAGGAGGATTTAAAAATTTTGGATGTAAAACCTCCCAAACCTGTGACGCAGGTTCCAGAACCTGTAGCCGTACCTAAAGAGAAAGAAGAAGTAAAGGAAACTAAGGCACCTGTAGAAAAGAAAGTTGAAGAAAGGTAAATAAAATTATCCATTTTTCTTTTTCTTTTTTACTCTTTTGGTTTTTGACTAAAATTTATCTTCAATTTTTAAATAATAATAATAATAAATTTTGATTGAATAGCACGGAAAGTAAAAAGAGTCCTCGCGCTGAAACCGAAGAAGACAAACAAAATGGTGACGTTGAAATGAAGGATGAAAAGAAAGAAACTGAAGAAGAAGAGGAGGAGGAGACTGAGAAAAAGGAAGATGAAGACGAAGAAATGAAAGAGGAGAAACCTGAAAAAGTTGAATCGACAGAAAACGAAAAGGAAAAGGGTTAGTGTTAGTCAATTAAAAATATGGTGATGATATGAATTATAATGAAAATGATTATTTTTTTCAATTTTTTCTAGAAGTTTCTGAAAGTACTACAAAGAAACGAAAACGAAGTAATAGTAATAGTAGTACAAGCAGTAATAGTAGTTCAAGTTCCTCCGATAGCGATGATAATACACCAGCGACTGAATCAAGTATTTGAAATTAATTGAAAATTTTCTGTTTTACCTTTTTTGGGGGATAAAATTTTAATGAAATATATTTTTTTGAAATTTAGATGTAGAGACTAAGGAGGAGGAAGAGGAGGAAGAGAAAGAGAAGGAAGTCGAAGAGGAGGAGGAGGATAAGGAGGAGAAGAAGGAGAAGGAGAGCGAGAATGAAGCAGAGATGGAGACGGAGAAGGAAAAGGAACGAGACATGGAAAAGGAGAAGGAAAAAAAGAAAGAGAAAGAATCTGTCGAGGAGGAAAGTGTAAATGAGAAAAAGGAAACATTAGAACCCGAAGCTGTTATCGATTTAGCCAGTGAAGATAAAGAAAAAGAACCTCGAGCTCTTCATAAAACAAGCAGTATCTTCCTCAGGAATTTGGCACCTACAATAACTAAAGCCGAAGTTGAAGCGGTAAATTGACAATTTAAATATTCCAACTTTTAAATTTGTCTTTTTTTTAAAGTAATTTTTTTAACAAGCAATTTCTTTTGCAAAAAGTTGATTTTGAATTGAGAAGGAATTTTCTACTTTTATTTTATTTTTTAGATGTGTAAACGATTTAATGGATTCCTGAGAGTTGCAATTGCGGATCCGCAACCCGAGCGTCGTTGGTTCCGACGTGGATGGGTATCATTTGAACGTCAAGTAAACATCAAAGAAATATGCTGGAGTTTAAATAACATTCGGGTAACTAAGCACTAAAATTTTAAAATAAAATACTAATTTTCTATTAATAATTTCAATAACATGTTTAACATTTTTAATTTTTTTAAGTTTATGACTAATTTTTTTAAAAAATCTATTATTTTGAAACAGCTTCGAGATTGCGAATTGGGCGCAATAGTGAATAGAGATCTCTCTCGTCGTGTACGCGCCGTTAATGGAATGACTGCTCACAAACAGGTAGTGAGACAGGACATCAAGTTAAGTGCAAAAATTGTGCACAATTTAGACAGTCGCGTGGGACTCTGGGTTGACGAGAAGAAAGAACAAGATAAGAGTGAAGAAAAGAAGGACACTAAAATTACTGATCAAATGGCTATGGATTTGGAACAAGCTGTGAGTTTTTGTTACGCATTTCTATTTCTATATTTTTTTATATTTAAATTATAATAATTAAATAATTAAATACATTTCTATTTGCGATATTAAAGAAATAATAAATTAAATGGGAAAAAATTTTATTTTAGTCTTTTGGGCTCTCGTCGAAAAATCCTGTTTTGAAAAATATCACCGATTACCTCATCGAAGAGGCCTCGGCAGAGGAAGAGGAATTATTGGGAATGTCTGCCGATCATGAGGAGGGACAACTTGGTGGCGATTCTGATGGACCCATTGAAAGAGATCCGATATTAATAAAAGTTTTGGACAGATTGATTTTATATTTGAGAATAGTACATTCCGTAGATTACTATAACCATTGCGAGTATCCAAATGAAGACGAGATGCCAAATAGGTGTGGAATAATACACGTCAGGGGTCAACCACCTTCGTCTAAAGTTTCCAGCACTGAATTGTCGGAATATTCCCGTAATTTCGAAACCAAAATGTCAGCTTTTCTAGCTCCGATGGTTACCGTCACTGCTGACGATTTCGATAAATTAGGAGCCAAAGATGCCGAAGCGTAAGTTTTAATAATTACAAAATAAAAATACATAATTATTCGGGGTTGCAACAAATCAGGGAAAAATTGGGGAATTTTAAGAAAAGTACTAAAAAAATTTAATAAAAAAATATTTAATTTCAAGAATTTAATTTCTAACAATAATAATTGAATTTTACAGAATTATAAAGTTCAATATTGTTGTAATAAATTTAATTTATTATTACTATATGTAAATTACAAAATTTTTTATTTTCAAATATCAACTTTAAATTTTGAATAATTTTAGATTCAAACAAAATTTAAAAAATCCATTTATTTATACTAATTACTTGATATTACATATTACTTTTAAAAACTTTAATAAAATTCTTCAAAACAATTAAATTATTTTTCAAATATTTTAATATAGATTTTTGCATGAGTTTAATTATTTTCATAAATAGTACAATTTTTCTCGGAAATTCAATTATTTTTAATAAAATTCTATATAAGAATTGAATTATTTTCAATTCAATTTTAATTAAATTTGTCGAAAAGATTGGAAAGAATTCAATTATTTTCATAAATAATAAAAATCTTCAGGAGAATTTTCAATTATTTTAAAAAATTTGAATAAAATTCTTTCCACAAATTCGATTATTTTCAAATACAGTAAAATTCTTCGCGAAAATTCAATTATTTAAAATACAATTTTAATAAAATTTAGTAAAGAATTCAATTATTTTCATCATTTTCATAAATAATAAAAAAATTAAAGGGAATTTTTAATTCTTTTAAAAAGTTTGAATAAAAATCTTCGCATAAATTATTTAAAATACAATTTTAATAAAATTCTACATGAGAATTGAATAATTTTCAATTCAATTTTAATTGAATTTGTCGAAAAAATTTGAATGAATTCAATTATTTTCATATAAAACAAAATTCTTCACAGGAATTTTCAATTATATAATTAAATTCTTGTTTAAAATTTTATCAAAATTTTTGGAAAAAATTGAATTTTTCTAAAGAATTTTAGGAAAATTTTTGAAAATAATTAAATTTTTGAGAGGAATTTTTAAATATTTTAAAAATTCTTTAGAAGAATTCAATTATTATCAATATAATTTTATAATTCAATTCCTTAAAAGAATTTAATTATTTTCAAAAATTTCTTTTAAAATTCTTCAGAAAACTTCAATTTTTTCCAAAAAAATTTTGATATAATTTTTAACAAGAATTAAATTATTACAGATTTAAAATTATAAAATAGTTGTAAAGTTTACGAAAAGATGTATAATTACTTTAAAAGGTTTAAAATTGAATTTTTAAAAAAATTTTATTCAAAATTCAATTATTTTTATAAGTAATAAAATTCTTTAGATAAATTCAATTACTTTGAGTAAAATAATAATAAAACTTCTTCGCAAAAATTCAATTATTTTCATAAAAATAATATAATTCTTGTGTGGAATTCAATTATTTTTATTGATAATAAAATTCTTCAGAGAAATTTTCAATTATTTTCAAAAATTTGAATAAAATTCTTCTCACAAATTCGATTATTTTCAAATATAGTACAAAATTCTTCGCGAGAATTCAATAATATTTTAAGTACAATTTTAATAAAATTTCTCAAAAGAATTCAATTATTTTTAATAAATTTTAATAAAATTCTATGGGTATAAGAATTAAATTATTTTCAATTCAATTTTAATTAAATTCGTCGAAAATTTTTTAAAGAATTCAATTATTATCAATATAATTATAATTCAATTCCTCGAAAGAATTTTATTACTTTCAAAAATTTCTCTTAAAATTCTTCGGAGAAATTTTCAATTATTTTCAAAAATTTTTATAAAATTCCATATAAGAATAAAATTATTTTAGATTCAGAATTATAAAAAGTTGCAAAGTTTGCGAAAAGTAATATCAAAAATTTAAAAGGTTTAAAATTGAGGTTTTAGAAAATTTGAATTTTACAAAATGTTAATTAAAAGTTCTGAAAAAGATAGTTTTTTGAAAAATTTTTATTAAAATTTTTTTTAAATCGCGGATATCTTTAATTATTATGAAATATGAAGAAATTAATCACTCCGAGTCGAAGACTCGGAGTTATCAATTTCTTCATATTTTATAATAATATTCTTATAAGTTGTTGAATTTCAAAAAGATTTAAATTTGAATTATTTGAAAAATGAAATCAAATTTTTGTTGCAACGCTGTTATTTTATTGTTAAACAATAGTAAGAATTATTATTATATTTTTTTTACAGAGAGGTAGAGAAATTTGTTCAAGCAAACACTCAGGAACTGTCAAAAGACAAATGGCTCTGTCCCCTCAGTGGAAAAAAATTCAAAGGTCCTGATTTCATCCGCAAGCATATTTTCAATAAACACGCGGAAAAAGTAGCCGAAGTAAAAGCTGAAGCTGAGTATTTCAACAACTATCTAAAAGATCCGAAACGTCCCCAACTTTCCGAACATCCTGGTAATAAAGCTCCAGCCAGAGAAACTGCACGCGAAGGATTCTCCAACTTCAACTCTGGGTAAGTTTACACCCCTCAAATAAAACTAATATTTATTCAAAGATTATTAATTAAAAAAAAATTTTTGCAATTATTTATTTCAAAATATTCTGCCTATTTCTTTGTGATTGAAAAATTCTACTTTTTTATACTTTCTTTCGCATTGCGCAGTTTTTTTTTTATTTCCTTTAAATAAAAAAAAATTATAACAACAGGCTTTCGAAATATTAAAAAAGATGCGGTACAAACTTGATAAAATCAATTGAAAACAAAGTAAAGAAAATTAATTTTTCACTAAGCAATTGGCAAATATTCAATATAATGTTCCCTTTAATAGACTCGGGAAATGTATTTGAAATTAATTTAATTGTTAGCTTGAGGAAAATTTAATGTTTCTGAATTTTACCATTTCCCTTTTTCGATTGATTTACCAGTACTACCGGAATCGTACCACTACCATTATCCCGAAAAACGTAAGCGAGTTTTTAAATAATTTTGTCAGTATTCTTTGATTAGGAAATCTTTTCTTTTCTTTCTATTAAAGCGAAAGTTGCACCATTCGATTCAAAATTTATTTAATTATTTATTTATCTATACGGGCAAATTGCTAAACTCTTTATTTATCACAAACTAATATTAATATTAATATTTTATTTAATAATAATATTTTCTTATTTGATTAAAATATAATTGTTTATTAATTCATGGTATAAATTTATATGAATTGAAAAAAAATGAAGTAAATGTAAAAATAATCTGATGGTGAAACTTTCCTCTGTATTCTTTTAGAAACTTTCTGTTTTTTTTTCTTTTAGTTTCAAACATGCATCACTTAGTCGCATCTTAATTTTATTTATTCTTCCAAATTCTTCTTTATTTATCTAGTTCTCTTTTGCACATTAATTAAAACCCTTTTTCACTCTTTTATTTCCTGCAAATCATAGCAATTTGTTTCTATTTAAATTCTCTCGATCTGAGGGAATAAAAGTGTCAATTTTTCGTGAAATGTTGAAATTTTTTCCGCTTGTAGATTTGGTGGTGGCTTCGGAGGAGGCGGTGGATATGGAGGAGGCCGAGGCGGATACGGTGGAAATTTCGGCAACAGCGGCGGCGGTGGTTTTGGATTCGGAATGTCTCGCTCGAATCGTGGAGGTTTCAATCGAGGACGGTAAGATACTTCATTAATAAAATAAAGAAAATTTTAACACAAAAAAAATTTTCAAGTATCTGAAACTTTAATAATCTAACTTGATTTGAATTCAAATCATTTCTAAATTTAAAATTCAAATTCAATCTAAAAAAATCTTTTTTGTTAAGTTGGAAAAGTTGGTTCTTTTGGAAAGTTTTGGAAAAAAGCAATTTTTAATAAATATTATTGAATTTTAAGAATTAAATTTTATTCTTATAATTTTAATTTAATTCCATATTTAATTTTATAATTAATTTTATAAAATATAATTTTAATTCAAAAGCTACTAACACTGATTTAAAAATAAAAGTGGAAAAACTAACATTGCAATTTAAAAGGCAGTTAAAAATTGTTTCTTAATTCTTTTTTAATTTTTTCCTTCTGCCCCAATAAAAATTAATAACAAAATGTAAATTACTTAAAGTTCTAGTAAATTAAAAACAAAAAGTTCCAGAAATTTGACTGTATTCACAATTAAAAGTAAAAAAGTAACGCAAGAGCTTTCACATTAGCACCAATCGACATTATTTGTTTAAATAATATTTTCAGAAATGCTCCTGACTCTGCATCAAGGACTATTATTAGTTATAATGACTTGGACCAGCCAGACATGGATATATTTTAACTTTAAAAAAAAGAATCAGTATAATAAAGTATTATTAGATTCATAAAGTACTGCGCGAGAAAGTAAACAAAATTTTGTTGTCAGGCATTAATTTACTATTTTTTTTTTACTATTATTAATTAATAATAATTTTGTCACGCTTGATTTTGTAAAATCAGCACTTCATTTAAAAAAAGAATTTTTGTACTTTGTGATTAGATTAAAAATAGACAAAGTATTATTAAATTGCCACCAAGTACTTAACGGATAAAGAGAAAGAAATAAATATAAGTACAAAAGAAACAATGAGAAAAAGTTTCGGATAAATTGCCTCGACTTTCATATTATCTGAATAAAAAAAATATTAAAATATAAATTTTCTAATAAATAATTAAAAAATTGATTTCAGTTTATACGCTAATTAAAAATAACTCGTACGGCGTTGTACATAGAAAAGAAAGAAAAAAGCCGGTTAAATAAGGGGAACAAATAAAACGTGTTTGTTGCTAATCAGTTGTTTTTTTATTTTCCCCATTCCACTGGTATCCTTGTCCAGTTGGTCTGACGTCTCTTGTAAAAACAGTGAAAGGTTTTTAGTCAATAAATGATTCAAAACTAAAAAAACACAATTCAAGACTATTTTCAAGTTTCGACACCAAGTTTAATTTTCATTATCAAAACTCGATTAAATGAAAGCATTAAATAATTAATTTTTCTTATTTTTTCCATTTTCAGAGGAGGTGGTGATTTCAGACCAGTTATTCATTACCGTGACCTCGATGCACCTCGAGAACCAGATGAGTTTTTATAAAATATCCTCATTTTGAAGACTTTCTTTAAAAATAAAAAAAGATATCAGAAATATGCTAGCACAACTTGAGTTAAAAATAATACAGATATTATTTCATATAAATATTGTAATATGAAACGAAATTTGTTTTAGGGTCCCCTTTAAAATATGTAATATAACGTAATTTTTCACTTTAGGTACCTATGAAAAAAATAATTTCATAGTTTTTTGACACTTGTTTCTTTTTTCTTCTCATTTAAATATTTAAATGTTAAGTCAATTAAAAGAAAACAAAATAAGAAAAAATGGAAATAATTCAAAACTATAATAATCAATAATCAAATATTGAATTGAATGCATATAATATATTATTTTTAACTAAAGAAAATGAAAAAATATATTTTACGTTATGACTAAAATTGAAAATTATTTGAAAAACTTATATAAAAAAGAAACGTTTATTATGTGGTTTTTCATTGAAAAATTATTTCCACTTGAATGAAACTAATGTAATATTATTGTCAGGAATGTTAATAATATTATTTTCAATAATATTCGTAAATATTCGTTTACATTATTCTGAATTATTATTTCCGACTTGAAAATCGTCGATTAAAAAAATTGTGAATGATATAAGACGTATCAATTTTGTCGTGTAATAAATATGAACTACAAGAAAATTATCAAGTCTTTTTCATTTTTCGAAATAATAAATTAATAATAATCGAAACATTTTGTCCTCATGTAAAATTAGGGCTTTTTGATCCCAAATTGTTTTATGGATAAAAATGTTATATCAAAAGTTTGACAATTAATTTGTAAATAGAGTAATTGGTGTTTTTGAGTGAAATTAATTTGTCTAAAATTTTTTACAATAACAGGATATTCACAGGAGAGGAAAATAAGTAAAATACGGAAATTTTATCCAAAGCATTAAAAGAATAGCAAATTATCCAAAATCTTTAAGTGTCTATGAATTTTGTTTCTTTTAAAAAAAATCTGTAAATAGAGTTACAGTTGCAATTTTTAGAAATAATCAATTATTTTATCTATTTTTGAATTTAAATAATATAGAATTCTCGTACAATTTTTGTAAAGAATTTATTTTCAAAACAAATTTCAGCTACAATTGCAGAAAATATTTCAAGAATAATTGGAAGAATTTCAGTTTTAAATATTAGAACTAATTAAATTTCAAAAGATTTTACATTGAAAGTATTTTTAAATTTTAATTGCTGATTGTCAAAAAAATGACAATAGGTATTTAAATATTTATTAAACAAAAATAATTGAATTTTTAGAAAATTTTTTTAAAAATTAAGAAAAAATGAGGTTTTTAAAAAATTGCAATTAAAATTTTTTTTTTATAGTTCAGTTCCAGAAAATAATTTTAAAAAATTGAAAAAATAGGAAATTTCTTCAAATTTCATTAAAATAAATCTTATATTTCAAAAAATTTTATTTTCTCACTTTAAAAAATTATTTTTAAATATTATTGCATTTTTTTAAGAATTGTAACTACAAATTTCGAAAATAATTAAATTTTGCACAAATTTTTGCATTTAAATAATGTAATTATCTTTGAATTCTAATAAGAATTGTTTAAAAGAATAATAACAGGATTTTTAAGAAATAATTAAATTTTAAAAGGTTTCTAATTGAAATTATATAAAATGACAGTTAAAAGAAATAACAATACGTTCTTTAATATTTGTTTTCAAAAAAACTATTGAACTTTTGATTAATTTAATGTAAAAATTGTAAAAAATATTAAATTAACAATTTTGGAAACTTTAAGTTGTCCTTAAATAATCTTTTTTACTTCAAAAACCAAAAAAAAACCTTCATTACATTTGCAATTTTTAATTCTGAAAATAAAAATTATTGAAAATAAAATTCTGAATTTTTATAAAAATAATTGAATTCTCGAACAATTTTCTAAAATTTATGAAAAATAATTTATTTAGTGGAGAATTTTAGTTAAAAATTGTAGAAAATAATTGAATATTGAAAGAGAAAGAAGGAAATTTTTAGAAATAATTAAACTTGATATGTTTTAAAATTAAAATTTTTGAAAATTTTCAAGAATTTATTTTTTTGAAAAATTCTAATTCAAATTTTTTGAAAAATAGTTGAATTTTCGAAAATCTATTATTAGGTATTTAATTTAAAAACTTTCAAGTAATCGAAATTTTGTAATATTGAATTGAATTTTAATTTTGATTGAATATTTTTAAGAAATAATTGAAGACGAATATAAAATTAACTTTTTTTTTTAAATAAAAAAAACTCGAAGAACTTTCCTAAAATTATTAAAAATAATTAATTTATAGAATTCTAGTTAAAAATTCCCGAAATAGATTATTCATAATATTTAAATGTTTATTTCAAAAAATTATTAATCTACTATTTTTTCTTTAAAAATTATTAATGTTGTGAATAATTTTACTCAAAAATTCTAAAAAAGACTTTTGGAAAAATTGCAGTTGTAATTTTTAGAAATAATTAAAATTCAAAAGGTTTCAAAAAGGTTTTTTTTAATATTTTGTCGAAATTACCAGGAATTTCAATTAAAATAAATAACAACAAGAATAATAATTAATAACTTTTTATTAATAAGTAATTCATTTTTTATATATAATTAATATTCCTATACAATATTATACAATAATTATATTACTTGCGCTTCTCTATTTAAAATACTGTTTTTTATCGTGACAATACGATTATAAATTTTTTTTTTACTCATGCAGTTTTAAAAAAATATCTAAGTTCGATCTCGGCACAATTGCTCGTCTGTTCCATCTCCACAGTCATCTATTCCGTTGCATTTTAAATTCTTTGTAATGCATCTGCCATTCCTGTTAACATAATAAGAGTAAATGAATTAGTAAAAAAAAAATTGTAAATTGCAAGTTTTAAAGCATATTATTGCTATTATTATAAAAATAACGTGTGTGTAAAGTGAAATTATGAAAATAAGAGAAAAAAAGTAATATTTCCATAGCATGCAAGAATCTCGTAAAAAGAAATATATTTAACAGGTCGAGAACTAGTCTGCATTTTTGTGCCATTTCTTAAAGAAAAAAAAATTTTTTTTAGCCGCGTTATCGACAATATTTCATACCGCCAATGTGATTTATGACCACATGGAGACCGCTTGTAATAAATTCAAATCTAAATTCGTATTCAAAGAGTTCAAAAAAAAGTCTCATCTCGCATAGACTTTTATTTGCATAATTATACTTGTAAATAATAAAATATGTAATCAATGTGAATGTCAACAAGTCATCGATTAATTTCGTTACGCCCACGATTAAGAAAGTGCTAATTAATTTACTTTTCGACCTGTTTAGATATTCTTTACTTGAAAGAAAAAAAATTTACATATTTTTATCTTGTTCGAAAAAATGTTCTTTAATTTAGAAAACATTTTTAGATTCGAAAAAAATGAAATAAAATTAACGGGCATATTTTTTTTATTGTATCGTAAAAAATCGCTTATAACAGGGTTGCCACGCAACCTGGAAATGTCAGGGAATTTTATAAACCTTGAAAAAACCTGGAAAAGTCAGGGAATTTTGATCGAAATCCTGAAAAATCGGTATTTTCTAAAGTTTATTCTTGAAATCTAATTTTACATAAATATTTCAAAATTAATTAAATTTTAAAAAAGTTGCGTTTACAATTTTCATAAGTACAGATGAATTTCAAAAGATTTTAATTTGAAATTTTGTAAAATTTCAATTATGAATGAATTTAACTAGAAATCGTCTTAAAGAACGTAAATTTTTGAGAAATTTTAATTATTCCAATTCTTCTGAAATTAATTAAATTTTTTAATATATATTTTTAATTGATTATTAAAGATAATGGATTTATAGAAGAATTTTAATTAAAAACACTAAAAGAAATTGAATATTTTGAAGCAATCACAAAAGATTGCAGAAATTCAATTATTTTCCAAATTAGTAAAATTCTTCTTAGAAATTCAATTATTTTTACTTATTTCCAACAATTTTAATAAAATTCATGGCAAAATTCCAATTATTTTCAAAAACTTTTCTCAATTCAATGATTTTTAATAAATCTACTACTTTAATAAAATTTTTCAAAAGAATTCAATTATTTAAAAAAAATTTTTTAATTCTACGCAAACATTTCATTATTTTTATAAATAATAAAACTCATCTCAGACATAATAATTATTTTTAATACAATTTTTATAAAATTCCTCGAAAAATGAAATTATTCTTAAAAATTTTATTAAAATTCATCAAAGAAATTCAATTATTTAAAATAGAACATTATAATAAAATTCGTCTCAAGAATTCAATTATTTTCAAAAATAATATAATTCTTCGCCGAAATTTAATTGTCTTCAACAATTTACAAAAATTCTCGTCAAAATTTCAATAATCTTTATAAATTTTTCTCCGAAATTCAAATATTTTCAAAAACTTTAATAAAATTCTTGGTAAAATTTCAATTATTTTCAAAAACTCTTATAAAAAAAAAGTTTCAAAAACTCTTTTCTCTTTGGAGAAATTCACTTATTTTTAATAAAATTTTAATAAGATTTCCGAAAAATAAATTTATTCTTCAAAATTTTATTAAAATTCCTCAAGAGAATTCAATTATTTAAAAATTAATTTTATAAATTGTCCTTATAAAAATTCAATCTTAAGAAACATTGAATTATTTAATAAAATATTTATTTGCATTTTATTTGTATTTAAATATTTGAATTCTCGTGAATTTTTCTAGTAAATATTGATTTAAAAATTAATTTCAGTTAAATTTTAGATTATTATTGAATATTGAAAGCAATATGAACTTTTCATACTTTTAATTAACAATTCTGTAGAATTTATTTTTTAAAAAAGTTTAATTGAATTTTTCTTTAATTCTTCAAGTTTTTATTTTCTAATATATATTTAATTGAAGAATGTCAGAATAATCAAAATTACGTAAAAATTAATATTGAAAATAATTGAATATTTACGAAGAATTTTATCAATTTTGAAAATAATTGAATTCTTGCGGAGAATTTTATCAATTTTGAAAATAATTGAATTCTTGCGGAGAATTTTATCAATTTTAAAAATATAATTGAATTATTTCGAAGAATTTTATTCAAATTTTTTTTGAGAATAATTGAATTCCTGCGAATAATTTTTATTATCTATAAAAATAATGAAATTCTTGACAAGATTTTTAAGGAAATTTATAGAATTAATTTTTCTCAAAAAGTTTAATGGAATTTTTTTTAATTATTTTAAGTTCTTAATTTCTAATTTATTTAATTGAAGAATGTTAGAATAATCGAAAGTTTAGGGTAAAATTGAAAATTGTAAACAAATGGATTTAAAAATTCTCAAAGAAGAACTTTTTCAAAAATTATTAAAAATAATTGTTTTAAAAAAGAATTTTATTTTAAAATTCTAGAAATGAAGAATTGAATTGAAATGAAAATAATTTTGAAGAAATTACAGTAACAATATTTTTATAATATAAAATAATGATAGTATCAAGTTTTAATTATTATAAAACACGAAGAAAGCGATATCTTTTTGTTTTATAATAATATTCTTATATGTAATTGAATTTAAAATTTTTGAAAAGTCGTTTTTGTCTGGAAGTCAGGGAATTGGGTAAAATTAAGAATAAAATTAAACATTAAATTAAAATTGAAAATAAAATTTTGTAAATTATAAATGTAGTTTTAAAAACCTGGAAAAATGACGTTTTTTAACCTGGAAAACCTGGAAAAGTCAGGGAATTTGAAATGAGGAAAAGCGTGGCAACCCTGTTATAAAGAAGCAGGAGATAAATGTAACTATAGTTTTAAAATTGAAGATTCACTTGCGGGATATTTGAAAATATCCGATTGAATTTATGCAAACGTGACTAGTTTTACTCACTGGCATGTAAATTCGTGCTTATTACAGCGACCTTGGCATCCGTGCGGTTCATCAGATCCATCCACGCAATCCCGCAATCCGTCGCAGAAACGTGCCTTCAATATACATTGTCCATCGTTACATGTGAACTCACTCTCCAAAGGACATGCTAAAATAATATAAATCATTTTATCAGTTAAATTTTATAAGTCAAGGCTTCATGTGTTTTTTCATTTGCTCCATACGTGCTGGGTAATTTAATACTGCGATGAAAAAAAAATTATCATCGCAAATAATATAAATATATTAATCATTTTTCTTAAATAATAAAAAAGTGTCAAGTCAACTAGAAAAGAACAATAAAATTCATGACTAATTATTATTTAAACAACGATTAATGATTGTTTGACTCTAGTTTTATTAATTAATAAAATATCGCAAAAGTGTAGAAAGGAATATTAATTACCTAATGTACAGTTTATCTCGTCTGTTGCGTCCCAACAATCTATCTTCCCATCGCATTTTTTATCTAAAGGAAGACAGGAAGTCTCGTTCCCACACTGGAAGTGTGTCTCTAGATTGCATTCTGGAAAAAAAAATTAATTATTCCTATTAGAATTAATATTCAGTTTTTTCTTTTACAAATCTGACTAGAAAATGGCGAAGTTTTTTCGAAAACGCAGATTGCATTTACATGTGGGATTTTTAATTGGAACTGGTTTTTATTTTGCTCAGAGAACGTTTGTTCTGAGGAACGGTTTTTGTCGGGGAGAAAATTGCTAATATTTCAGTGTTATAGCAAATTTTTTTGTTTGAAAACATTTTTTTCGAATTCTAATATGAAAAATAAGAAAATATTTGTTCAAATTTTTATTAAACATTAAAGTTTAGGAAATTTCGATTGTTCTTGTTTTGCAAAAAAAAAAAAAATTTTTAATTTTATTCTATTGCAAAAGAATTGAATTTCTATGAAGTTGTTTATTCAAAATTTTAAAAATATTTGAATTGTTAAGAAGAATTTTATTAAAACTTTAGAAAATAATTGAATTCATGCAAAAAATTCTATCAACAGTTTTAAATATAATTGAATTCTAAAAATAAATTGAAAAATAATTATATTCAAAAATCAAAATAATAGAAAAAAAAATTTTATTCAAAATTCAATTCTTTAGAAGAAATTTATTTAAAATTTTTGAAATAATTGAATCCTTTTGAAAAATTTTATTGAATTTAAAAATAATTGGTCTCTTTTAAAGAATTTTATAGTTTTAAATAATAATTGAATTTTTTCGAGAAATTTTATTAAAGTTGTATTCAAAATAATAAAATAATTAGATTCCTGCAAAGAATTTTATAATTCATGAAAAATTTGAGTTCTTGCTAAGAATTTTATTATTTATAAAAATAAACTCTTTCTTGCAAAAATTTTTTTTTAATTTTTTAAAATAATTGAATACTACAGAGAAAATTATTTTAAAGTTTGGATTGAATTTTTGAATTTTTGCAAAGAATTCTATTAAATAATTTTTGAAAGAAATTAAATTTTTTTGAAAAACTTTATTGAAATTCTTGAAAACAATGAAATTATGTATTTAAAAAAAATTTTATTAAAATCTTATTAAGAAAAAAGAATTTCATTATTTTGAAAAATAATTGAATTTTTTCCAAAATTATTAGAAAAATTGTATGTAAAATAATTGAATTTTTATTAAAAATAAAAATAATAAAATTCTTTCGAGAAAATTTTTAAATTTTTATTACAAAAAAAAAAAATGAGTTTTTCTTCTACAAATTTTATTATTCATGAAAATAATTGAATTTCTGCGAAGAACTTTTTATTTATAAAGATAATTAAATTCTTGCAATTGAATTTTTTTCTTTGAAGAATTTTATTGAAATTCTATGAAAACAATGAAATTCTATAGAAAAAATTTGATTGAAAATAATTGAATTACATTTTAAGAATTTCATTATTTTGAAAAATAATTGAAATATTTCTAAAAATGATAGAAAAATTGTATGGAAAATAATAGAATTTTTTAGAAGAATTTTCATTATTAATAAAAATAATAGAATTCATTCGAGAAAATTTTTTACGTTTTTTTTTTACAAAAAATTGAATTTCTACAAAAAATTTTATTATTCATGAAAATAATTGAATTTCTGCGAATAATTTTTTATTTATAAAATTAAATTCTTGCAATTGAATTTTTTTTGAAGAATTTTATTGAAATTCTTGAAAACAATTAAATTCTTTAGATAAAATTTAATTGAAAATAATTGAATTTCGTTTCAAGAATTTGATTATTTTGAAAAATAATTGAATTTTTTCCAAAAATGTTAGAAAAATTGTATGGAAAATAATCGAATTTCTGCGAATAATTTTTTATTTATATTTATTCTTAAATTCTTGCAGTTGAATTTTTTTTTGAAGAATTTTATTGAAATTCCTGAAAACAATGAAATTATCTATTTAGAAAAAATTTTATTAAAAAAATTGAATTTCTTTTCAAGAATTTCATTATTTTGAAAAATAATTGAATTTTTTCCAAAAATGTTAGAAATAATTTAATTTTTTTAAAGAATTTTTATTATTTTTAAAAATAATACAATTTTTTCGTGAAAAATTTTTTAATTTGTATTAGAAATAATTGAATTTCAACAAAGAATTTTATTGTTCACGAAAATAATTGAATTATTTGAGAAGAATTTTTTTATTTGTAAAGATAATGTAATTCCTGCAGAAGAATTTTATTATAGAAGTTTAAAAAAAATTGAATTTATAAGAAAATAATTGAATTGTTCCGAAGAATTTGATAGTTTCGAATATAATTAATAATAATGATTCATTGTCAGATAAATAGATCTTCTCTTAATTAATAATAATATTAATTAATAATAATAATAATAATATTAATATTAATAATAATAATAATAATTGTTTATATTATAAGTCAAAATTTCTCCAACGAATTAAATCTTTTAATATTTAATTTAAATCTTTTAATAAAATTATTAAAAAAATTCAAATATTCTCAATACAGTTTTAACATTCTAAGTATAGAATCCTCAAAAAATTTCATTAATTTCATAAATAAATAATAGTTAATTAGTTAATAAGTCTCCTTTTTCAAATTACGAATCTGAACTTATTCAAAAAATGAAGTTGAAATTTAGTAAATAAAACTTTTTTTATAATTTGCCTTATAATGATTAATTGAATACCGCGTTTCGCTCTCGTAGCATTTCCTGGTCAATATTAATTATCATTAAATTTTTTTTCTTATACAAAAAAAGGAAAACTTTATAGATGCCACATAGATGTAATTGAAGAATAAAGTTTTCTTTTGTGAGCACAATAAAAAAAATGTAAAAACAGGTAGATACTGTTAGGCAACAAAGAGAAATGAGAAACTTATAAAAGAAACATATAATGCAGATTATCGCTAACTCACCGCAATTGTATTCATCAGAATGGTCATAGCAATTCATTGTACCATCGCAATGCTTCACTAAAGGGATACAGAGAGTGTTTTTACACGTCCACTCGTCATCCAAACAGTAGTGTTCAAGATCCATACATCTGCAATAAAAAGAAAAAAAAATTAAATAAAAATGAAAATAAAAATAAAAAAAATTTTTAAAAAATAAAAAAAAAAAAAAAAAACAGTACATAACAAATAAAATAAAAACAATTTACATCTTGTACTTTTTCTCGCAAGTATACTTACGAGAATAAAAGTATTTGAAAAAGTATTCAAGAAAATAAGTGGCATTTTAATTTACCTATTTATAGATTTAAAAACGGATTGAATACAAAAACTCTATATTGCTGTCAATCATATTTAGTTGTTAACAATTATTAGATTAAATTAAAACTCGTCTTTTGATAAAAGTACTAGCGGAGTGGAAAAGTACTCTTCATATAAAGTGAAGAAAAGTCCTATACATTTTTCACATTATGGCTACAAGCATAGAGATAGTTAAAGTGAAGCACAAGTCATCCCCTTAAATTTGATGAAAAGAATATTAAACAATATATATATTCAAGTCCGGTATATGAATATTTGCACAAAGCCTACTTTATAATGAAGGCAAAAAGGTATACATAAAAATTATATTGTATTTTCTCGCAGTACTTTTGTAAGTACTTCAAGTTAGCGAGAGAGTTGTTCTAACCGCGCATTAAGACTGGTGATCATCTCTCTCTCTGGCCAGAGAATTATTGTGGCAGAAAACGACTAACTATTATATACAGTTTGTGGTTATTCTTTATTGCACGGAAAACAGATGCACAATAAAAACTGTTTTTACAATGAGGAGACAAAGGGCTGTATTACCTAATAAATATTAAACAGCATTTATGCGCATAATTGAAGAAGAAGAAAAAAGAAACATTGAAAAAGAAAGAAAAACAGTTTTGTAAATTTTTCGAGTAAATAAATTTTTTTATATATACTAGTTATGAATTTTTTTCCTTTTTTGCAAATTTAATTAAATGTGAGGTGGAAAATTATATTCAAAAAAAAAAACATTGAAAAAGAACAAAAAACATTGTAAAAGGAAAAAAACATTGAAAAAGAAAAAACATTGAAAAAGAAAAAAAAAAACATTTAAAAGAAAAAAAACATTGAAAAAGAAAAAAAAAGTTTTGTAAATTTTTCGAGTAAATAAATTTTTTAATATATTATTAAATTAATTAATTTTATTATTTAATTAGTTATTATTATTTAATTAGTTATTAATTTTTTTCCTTTTTTGCAAATTTAATTAAATGTGAGGTGGAAAATTATATTCGAAAAAAAACATTGAAAAAGAAAAAAAAAACATTGAAAAAAAAACATTGAAAAAGAAAAAACACATTGAAAAAGAAAAAAAACATTGAAAAAGAAAAAAAACATTGAAAAAGAAAAAAAACATTGAAAAAGAAAAAAACATTGAAAAAGAAAAAAAACAGCTTTGAAAATTTTTCGAGTAAACAAATTTTTTAATATATGCCACATTGATGGATTTTTTCCTTTTTTGCAAATTTAATTAAATGTGAGCTGCGTGAAAAATTGTATTCGCCTGGAGTTTTTAAAAAATTTCTTTCATGGATTTCGCGAACGGATTTTTTTGATATTTTTATTATTACATGAATTATGTAAAAGAAAATCTTTTTAAAAATAATATGGAAAATTGCATGATCCCCTCGGCCATTTGGAATTTAAATTTGATATCTGTTTTCGAATGTCTCTAATGGTTTATAAAAGATGGAAAAATTTGTTTGCGGATTTTTGCAATCTCCACAAGGTGGATATATATTTTCGTGGGGAAAATTTGAAAGGAAATTTTTCAGCTGGAGAATTATATTACTTTTAATTTTTTTTTTATAAATGTAATTGAATTTCTGCGAAAAATTTCATTGTTATCAAAATAATTGAATTTTGGAAAGAATTTTTTTTATTCATATAAATAATTGAATTCTTTCGAGAAATTTTAATAAAATTACATTGAAAATAATTGAATTCTAGCGAAGAAATTTATTTAAATGAAAAATTTTTATTTAAATTTATTTGTTAGAATTTTAATTATTTTAAATTCTTTGCAAGAATTGAATTATTTTCAAAGCAATTTTAATAAAATATGAGAATTGAATTATTCTGATAATTTTCGCTGTAGAATTTTAATTATTTTGAATTTTTCACATGAATTCAATTTTTTCAATAAAATTTTTTAGAAAAATTCAATTATTCTTCTTTCAATATTTTACTAAATTTCTTTACAGAATTACAATTATTTTTTCAATAAAATTTCTCAAAAGAATTCAATTATTATTTAAAATTTTGATAAATTTTTTGAGAGAATTTCAATTATTTTTCATTTTTGGTATCAATTCAGTTATTTTCAATAAAATTTTCGGAATTTCATTGGATTCCTGAAAAGAATTTTTTTATTTATGAAAATAATTAAATTTTTGAGAGGAACTTTATTCACCTTTTTTTAAATAGTTGAATTCTCTTAAAAATTTTATTGATTGTGATAATAATTGAATTCTTGAGAAGAATTCTATAGAATTTTTTTTAAATAATTGAATTCTCGTGAAAAATTTAATATTTTGCAAAATAATTGATTTATTTCTATGAATTTTATTAAAATTTCTAAAATTAATTGAATTCTTTTGAGGAATTTTGAGAAAATAAAGGTTATTTGCAAATTTTTCTTTTTCTAGTAAATAATCGAGAAAATTTGTAAATAAAATATAAATTTAAAATTTATGAGAATTTTCTTAAAAAACATTTTTTTATAAATTTAATAAATAAAATAATAAACATTAAAAACTTCACTAAAGTCCATTTTTATTCGAAGCAAAATAAGTTTTATAAGCTTTAGTATAGAAAAACAATTTTTCCAAACTTTCTTGATCCACAATTTCTAAGCAAAACATTATGAAAGAAAAGAACTAAATTTTTTTATTCAAAAATATTTCTTATTGTGAAAAATATAAATTTTATTTAACCGACGATCATAAACTTTGTGAACTTCACCCACTTTCAAGGTTCATAAAGAACGTAATTTTCAATGACGAAGACGTTTCAAGGCCTCTTTAGATGACTATAACTTTTCGAAGCATCTGCGCAAAGTGCAATGAAAAAATGTACTTTCTCTAAAAAATTTTTTCCGATTTCCCAAAGGATTAATTTGCGTCTCTAAATTCTTTACAATAAAAATAGGACAAATTTCAATCAACATCTCTCTGTGTACACTGATTGAAATCTTTTCTACATTGCTTGTAAATTGTAATTCCAATCAGTGCGGACTAATTACAATCAATTTAAAAAAAAAGAAAAACAAAATCAAAGCGAAATTACATTTTTCAGAAGAATTAAATTATTCTTAAATATTTTGATAAATTTCTTGTCAGAATTTCAATTATTTTGAATTTTTGAAAAGAATTCAATTATATTCCATTAAATTCTTGAAAAGAATTCAATTATATTCCATTAAATTCTTGAAAAGAATTCAATTATTCCTAAAAATTCTGATACTTCTCTTGTCATAATTTCAATTCATTTTTCAAATAAAATTTCTCAAAACAATTTAATAATTCTTAAAATTTTTGTTAAATTGTTAAAATCTCAATTATTTAAAATTTGTTTCAAAAATTCAATTCTTTTCAATGCAATTTTTATAAAATATCACAATTCAATTATTCTTGAGAATTTTTATAAATTTCTTTGCCGAATTTCTATTCTTTTAAATTTTAGAAAATTTGAATTTTTAATGAATTTAAATAGACATTTTAAAGAACATTTTTTTTCCCGATAAACTTTAATTCAACTCTTTTTGAAATTATTTGAAGCTTTTATTTTCTAATATATTTTTAATTAAAGAATTTTCGAATAAATAAACAAATTTTTGTAAAATTGAATTGAAAATAATAATTAAATTGAAATGAGGAAAATAATTTTGAAGAAACTACAGTAACATGCAGATATGGTGCACTCTGAGTCTTCGATTCGGAGTGATCCATATCTTCATGTTTTATTATAACAATATTTTTTGAAGTTATTGAATTTCAAATTTTTGAAGGAGAAGTTAGTTTTTTGAAAAAAAAATTATTAACATTTTTTTGAATTTAAATGTAATGATTTTCTCTCATTCGATCAATTAAAAAAAAAATTGAAATTAAAATCTTTGAAAACTTGAATTTTTTATACTTTCAACTAACAATTTTGTAGAATGAATTTTTTTTACAAAAGTGTAATTGAATTTTTTTAAAATTATATTTAATTTTTTGGAAGAATTCAATTATTTTCAATGCAATTTTAATAAAAAATCAGAATACCTGTAATTATTCTTAAAAATTTTGATAAATTTAACTGTAGAATTTCAATTATTTTGAAATTTATGCATGAATTCAGTTATTTCAATAAAATTTTTCCTAAGAATTCAATTATTTTTGAATATTTTGATAAATTTCATTGCAGAATTTCAATTATTTTGAATTTTAGGAAGGAATTCAATTATTTTCCATAAAAATTCTCGAAAGAATTCAATTGTTTCTAAAAATTTGAATAAATTTCTTATCAGAATTTCAATTATATTTTCAGTAAAATTTCTCCAAAAAAATTTAATTAGTTGTTGTTTTCAATTATTTAAATGAAAAATTTTTATTTAAATTTATTTGTTAGAATTTCAATTATTTTAAATTCTTTGCAAGAATTGAATTATTTTTAAAGCAATTTTAATAAAATATCAGAATTGCTTGTCAGAGTTTCAATTATTTTTTCAATAAAATTTCTCAACAAAATTCAATTATAATTAAAATCTTTTTAAAATTTTTTGACAAAATTTTATAGTTATTTGAAATTCTTTGGCTAGAATTCAATTATTTTCAATGCAATTTTGATAATAAAATATTAAAATTCATTTCAATTATTCATATAAATGTTGATAAATTTCTTTGTAAAATTTCTATTATTTTTAATTTCAGAAAATTTGAATTTTCATTGCATTTAATTAGAAGTTTTAAAGAACATTTTTTTTTTGATAAACTTTAATTTAAATCTTTTTGAAATTGTTTTAAGTTTCTTTTTTCTAATAGAGTTTTTGAATAATCGATGAAATTTCATAAAACTGTATTGTAAACATTTGTTTACAAATGATTTGGAAATTATCATAGAAATTTTTCAAAAATTATTAAAAATGATTGATTTAAAGAAGAATCTTAGATAAAAATTTTAGAAAATAATAATTATTATATCTTATATTCTTATCAGTTATTTAATTTCAAAAGATTTGAATTTAAAATTTTTGAAGAAGTTAGTTTTTTGAGAAATTTTTATTCAATTGTTTCTGAAAATTTGAATAAATTTCTTATCAGAATTTCAATTATCTTTTCAATAAAATTTCTCCAAAAAAAATCCAATACTTTTTCAAATAATTTATAAATTTAAATTACTTTTCTTTACCTTTAAATTACTTGTTGTAATTTCAATTATTTTAAAATTTTCTCATGAATTCAATTATTTTCCATGCAATTTTAATAAAAAAGCAGAATTTAATTATTCTTAAAAATTTTGATTGCTTGTCAGAATTTTAAGAATTTTTTTTCATAAAATTCAATTATTCAATTATTATTAAAATTTTTTTATAAATTTCTTGTCAGCATTTTAGTAATTTCAAATTGTTTACAAGAATTCAATTATTTTCAATGCAATTTTGATAATAAAATATTAAAATATCTCACTCGGAGTGATCGGTATCTTTATGTTTAAGGGGAGGTTCTCATTGCGGGGGCCAAAATAAACACAAACTTTGACAATTTTTTGCGAGGAACGGCTATGACTTAGCGATGTAATTTTTTTTTCTAAATAAAGATACATTCTTGAACTTTTAAAATATATATTTCATTTTCAAAAAAATGCAAAATGGCGGCCAATATGGCGCATCTAGAAAATAATGTTTTTTTAAATAGGGAAAACGGTGGGCATTCTACACTGCGCAATTTTTAGTCTAAAACAAAAACTCAAAATTTTTTATAAAGGTGACATCCTAAAGAATAGGTTATACCTATAAAATAGTTAAAAAGTTAATAAAATGACAAAATGGCGGACACATTTTTAAAAAAACTGCGTTTTCGCATTATTTTTACATATTTGATCTCTTGTAAAAATCTCTATTGTTAACAATTTTATTATATTATAGGTATAACCCCAGTAGAATTTAGTTACCTTTAATTATCCGCAAACCCGAAGTTGATTGATTAAATAGTTTAGACGCTACGATGCCCACCAGTTTTAAAATCTTGTTTCGAGAAAAACGCGTTTAAGGTTTGAGAAACATTTTTGTGCAATAATTGTATTCTTTGCAATTCTTTGTTCAATTTGCGTATATGATAAATATCTATAGGTATTTAGGGTCGCTCTTTACGATTCTGAGGTCAGATTTGCAAAATTTTTAAAAATTGATTCGATTTGCCTGACATTTGTTACTCAGTGCTCGGGACGGCGGTGAGTTCAAGACTTCATAAAAACGAAAATATTCTTCGGATCAAAAAATCGCTATACACACATATTCTACATATATATAGCTTTAAAAAAATACAATAAAAAAGAAATCAATTTTTTTGACTCCCGCAATGGGAACCTCCCCTTAATAACAATATTTTTATAAGTTATTAAATTTCGAGGAAGAAGTTAGTTTTTGAAAAATTGTTATTAACATTCCTTTGAATTGAGTTGAAATGATTTTCTCTCATTCGATCAATTAATAAAAAGAAGAAAAAGAAAATCAAAGCGAAACAATAGCACGAGACAATTAAAAACGGAAATTTTATTTTAGAACAATGGATTTCTTTTTTGCTAAATTGTAGAGAGAAAAAATATTGACTTTACGTCATGCCACTGCGGTATAAATTCCAAAAATAAATAAATAATGCCCCTCACATGTCTTCGGATCGAAGTGAAATTACAATATTGACATGAGTGGAAGTTCTCACCTGAAGGCGTCGACATCTAATCGATGGCACTTTTGTTTATTGATTAAACAAAGACCCGAGCAGCCAGTGGGGTCCAGAGGATCCGGTCCAGTTCTGCAAATGGGCACTTCCTCGCCGACGAGTGCAACGCACACCTCGCCTTCGAAACAATCGTCACAGTGCCTCGTGGAATTTAAATCTGGCAACGCAATATTTGCAGTAGTTGTAGTAATTGTAGTAATTGTAGTACTAGTAGTACTGCTGGCAGTGGTAGAATAGACTTCGGTTTCCGTTTCCGTTGGCTCTTCGTTTGCCTCCGGAAACGGGAGGCTTGCGTTTAAAAGCACACCTACAGGGAGTGTAGGCACCACGTCGGTCGACACATTCTGCTCGTCCATTAGGTGCTCCATGCCGGAAGTGAAGGAGGTGAAATTCTCACTTGTCGTCACATTCCTTCCCGACGACCTCAAGTATTGTTGAATTATTTGCAGCTTTTGTGGTTCTGAAATCAAAAGTATAATATTTCTTTGAGTATAAACAGAATCATGGTGCGTTGATCCATCACCGGAAGGAGATGGTAACAGCGGAGAAAAAAGTTTCCTTTGCATCTCAATTTCGTACTAAATTATCGATAATTTTCTTGCAGCTATATTTCTTTTCTTTTTTTGTAATCATTCAGGATTTTTTACACTTTTCCGGAGGAATTTTTCAAAATTAATTGAATTTTAAAAGAGTTGCGTTTACAATTATTTTCATAAATAGATGAACTTCAGAAGGTTTCAATTTCAAATTTTATCAAATTTTAATTTTGAATGAATTTAATTGAAAATTTTTAAAAAATTAGAATTTCGACAAATTTTAATAATTCAAATTCTTCTGAAATTAGTTACATTTTTTAAATATATATTTAATTAATTATTAAAAATAATGGATTTATAGAAGAATTTTAGTTAAAAACACAAAAAGCAATTAAATTTTGGAAAATTCACAAATGAACTTCAATTATTTTCAAAAAATCAAAAGTAATAAAATTCTTCACAGAAATTCAATTATATTTAAAAATTTTTTTAAATTCTAGTCAAAATTTCAATTATCTTTATAAATAACAAAATTATTCTCCGAAATTCAATTATTTTCAAAAATTTTCAAAAAGAATTCAATTATTTCATAAAAAATTTTAATAAAATTTTTCACAAGAATTCAATTATTTTCATAAATACTAAAATGCTTCTCAATAATTTAATTAGTTTTAAAAAATTGAATAAAATTTTTCACAAGAATTCAATTATTTTCCCAAAATAATTATAAAATGTTTCACGAGAATTCAATTATTTAAAAAAAATTCGATAAAATTCGACACAAGAATACAATTATTTTCATAAATATTAAAATGCTTCTCAGGAATTCAATGTACTTTTAAAAATTTTAATAAAATTGTACACAAGAATTAAATTATTTAAAAAAAATTAAATAAAATTCTACACAAGAATATAACTATTTTCGTAAATACTAAAATGCTTCTCAAGAATTTAATAACTTCTTATAGAATTTTTTGCAAGAATTCAGTTAATTTCACAAGCAATAAAATTTTTCACGAAAATTCAATTATTTAGAAAAATTTGAATAAAATTCCTCGCAAGAATTCAATTATTTTGCCAAATAATGAAATGCTTCTTAGGAATTCAATTACTTTTAAAAATTTTAATAAAAATTCTATACAAGAATTCAATAATTTTCCTAAATAATAAAATTTTTTATGTAATTATTCTTAAAAATTTTATTAAAAATTTAAAATTCGTCAAAAGAATTCAATTATTTAAAAAATTTGTTCATAAAATTCTTTATGACAATTCAATTTTAAGAAACATTCAATTATTCAATAAATTATTTTTTTTTTGTAATTTAAATAATATTGAATTCTCGTAGAATTTTCCAATAAAAATTTATTTAAAAATGAATTTCAATAAACATTTTAGATTATATTTGAATTTTGAAACTGTTTCAAATTAAAATAATTGAAAATCTGAATTTTTCATACTTTTAACTAACAATTCTGTAGAATTAATTGTTTTGGAAAAGTATAATTGAATTTTTTATTAAATTATTTAATTCTTTGCAAGAATTCAATTATTTTCAATTCAATTTTAATAAAATATCACAATTCAATTATTATTCTTAAAAATTTTGATAAATTTCATTGTAGAATTTCAATTAGTTTGAATTTTTCGCATGAATTCAGTTATTTAAATAACATTTTTTAGAAGATTACAATTATTCTTAAATATTTTAATTTTCTTTGTAGAATTTCAATTATTTTAAATTTTTTGAAGGAATTCAATTATTTTCCATAAAATTTCTGTAAAGAACTCAATTGTTCCTAAAAATTTGAATAAATTTCTTATCAGAATTTCAATTATTTTTTTTTTTAATTTCTGAAAAAATTCAATAATTCTTAAAATTTTGGTTAAATTACTTGTTACAATTTTAATTATTTTAAATTCTTTGCATGAATTCAATTATTTTTATAATGCAATGTTAATAAAATATCAGAATTTAATTGTTCTTAACAATTCTGCTAAAATTTCATTTCAGAATTTCAATTATTTTTAATTTTTCGCTTGAATTCAATTATTTCAATAAAAATGTTTAAAATAATTCAATTATTCTTAAATATTTTGGTAAAATTCTTGTCAGAATTTCAATTATTTTTAATTTTTCGCTTGAATTCAATTATTTCAATAAAAATGTTTAAAATAATTTAATTATTCTTAAATATTTTGGTAAAATTCTTGTCAGAATTTCAATTATTTTTAATTTTTCGCGTCAATTCAGTTATTTTCAATAATATTATTTCTCCAAGAGAATGCAATTATTCTTCAAATTTTTAATAAATTGCTTGTCAGAATGTGAATTATTTTTTCAAAAAAATTTCTCAAAAGAATTCAATTATTATTATTATTATTAAATTTTTTTAATAAATTTCTTGTCAGAATTTTAGATATTTTAAATATAAGAATTCAATTATTTTCAATGCAATTATGCTAATGAAATATCAGAATTCGCTTTAATTATTCTTGAAAATTTGGATAAATTTCTTTGCAGAATTTCTATTATTTTAAATTTTAGAAAATTCGAATTTTGAACAAATATTTAATTACAAATTTTAAAGATAATATTTTTTTTTCATAAACTTTAATTCAATTAATGGAAGAATTTCCGAATAATCGAAACCTCGTAAAATAGAATTGTAAACAAATGGATTTGAAAATTTTGAAAGAACTTTTTCATAAATTATTAAAAATAATTAATTTAAAGAAGAATTTTAGTGAAAAATTCTAGAAGACAGTAATTGAATTGAAATGATGAAAATTATCTTTAATTATTATAAAACATGAAGAAAACGATCACTCGGAGTTATCGATATCCGCATGTTTTATAACAATATTTTTATAAGTTATTGAATTGCAAAAGATTTAAATTTAAAATTTCTGAAGAAGAAATTAATTTTTTTGAAAAATTTTTATAATTTTTTTGAAATTAGTTAAAATGATGAAAGTAATTTTGAAAAAGTTACAGTATCAATATTTTTAAAATATAAAATAATTGTAAATTGATTTAAAATATTCACGCTAATATTGTATGGAATTTGCAATCGGAGAAATTCTATATATGAAAATTCCAACGAGGTCACTATGTAGGTACAGAAACTTTTCTCCGCACAAATGTGTATAAATTTTATTAACAATTTCGTATTTAAAAATTCCCTCTTGCAATGCAAGAAAAATTTTCACATGAAAAGCAAATATTTTCTCTCCATTCGAAACAAAATCTATGGCAATTTCTTCAGACGATAATTTTTTTTCCCCCTTGAACTTACAATCATAGAATTTCGCTCATTGAATTCCACTGGGCGCCCATGAGAAAGTTAATGGAAGTTTCTTGTACTTTTAATAGTAATAAAATTCAAGAAGAGGTTTATCGGAGTATCTCTTTTCAAACAAAAATTATTGTTTCCAAGAATGAGAGAGAGAGAGAAAAACAGAATAAAAAAAAACAAAACAAAACAAAACTGTTTTAACAAAAAAAGCAAATATTAGAATCGGAATAACAATATATTATATATTTATTGAAAATGAAAAGAACTTGTTTTCTGTGAAAAAAACATATAACTTATATTTTAGCCTTGAGGTAAATAAATAATTTTTCTATGAACAGAATATGTATTATGCATTTTTCCAATTTAAAATAATTCCAGCGCATTTTCAAAGTCTAGATAAAAAAGTCATAAATAAAGCAAGTGACAATTTATCTCCATAAAGGAGGTGATAAAAAAGAATACATCGACCGCATCATCCTCGACATCGAAAAGAGATGAAGAAGAAAGAAGAATAAGAAGAATAAAGAAAGAAAGAAAGAAAGAAAGAAAGAAGAAGAAGTTTTGCAGAGAGATCGCGGGAGTTCCATGCTCAACGATTTCCGAAGTTCTTCTCTGCGAATCTGTCTCAAGCAAAAACCGGCTCTCTTAGCAAACATCCGACGTAACGGTCTTGGGACCGTTTTCACGGTAAGATGTGCCTCCATCACCCCCTTTTATCCATATCTTCATCTCTTTTCAAAAGCATATAGTGTACATTTTTCTTATATTCAAAAGCGGGAATTATTTTTGTTCTCCATTTTTCAATTTTAATCGGGGTTGCTCTGCGAATTTTTCAAACTTCCATGAGAATTTTCCAGCAATGAAACAGGGAAAAAAAATTAAACCTGAAAAAGCTACAATTTTGACTATATTAGCAAAATTTTTAACTAGTTTCAGTTATAACACTTTCGCTATTCTAGAGAAACTTATCGCTGTTTCGGGTAAAACTTTTTTTTCGTAAAGGAAAAAATGTTCACTATTCTTTCTTTTGTCTAATTTTTAAAATTTTGGGAAGAAAAAGGGAATTTTAATTCTTTAAAAAGGAATTCCGTTTAAAAACAGTATTTTTCGAAATTATGTAAAAAATTACTAATTGCGTAGGTACTTCATAGTTTATTTTAAAGACTTTTTACAGTTTCCTTCAACTCCTAAAAATTTTTTATTTTCTAGGGAATTGAAAAAAAAATGAAAATACAGTCAAATCTTTATTCAAAGTACAAAAAAAGTCAAAAAAAGTTATTCGATTCAGAGATGTGATATTAAAAAAGTTATTTTTCATTTCCTTGATTTTCCGTTATTACCATAGAAAATTTTTTAGGACTCCGCAGGTATTCCAGATTTTTTCGGTCTAAAAAAAAACCCAGTTTCAGTCGGTTCATAAAAATTTGATTCATTATTTCCCTGACTGTTTCCTGATTTCCATCAAAAATATTTATTTTTATTCTAATCCTGTGCTTAGAACTTTAATTATTCTAAATTTTTGAAAAATTCAATTATTTTCTAAATTTTTATATATTAAAAATTAAAAGTCTTCAAAAACAGAATTATATTTAAAAGTTATTTTCAAAAGTAAATAAATAAAACTC